TGGCAACAGTTACCCAGGATGACTGAAACAAGATACTTTGTCTGGCAACAGTTACCCAGGATCACTGAAACAAGAAACTAAATCGGGCAACAGTTGCCCAGGATGACTGAAACAAGAATGTTAATCTGGCACAAGTTACCCATGATGACTGAAACAAGATACTTTGTCTGGCAACAGTTACCCAGGATGACTGAAACAAGAAACTAAATCTGGCAACAGTTACCCAGGATGACTGAAACAAGGTACAATGTCTGGCAACAGTTACCCAAGATGACTGAAACAAGAAACTAAATCGGGCACAAGTTGCCCAGGATGACTGAAACAAGATTCAATGTATGGCAACAGTTACCCAGATGACTGAAACAAGACACTATGTCTGGCAACAGTTACCCAGGATGACTGAAACAAGATACTATGTCTGGCAACAGTTACCCAGGATGACTGAAACAAGATACTATGTCTGCCATCAGTTACCCAGGATGACTGAAACAAGATACTATGTCTGGCATCAGTTACCCAGGATGACTGAAACAAGATACTATGTCCCGCAACAGTTACCCAGCATGACTGAAACAAGATACTATGTCTGGCAACAGTTACCCAGGATGTCTGAAACAAGAAACTAAATCTGGCAACAGTTACCTAGGATGACTGAAACAAGATACTATGTCTGGCAACAGTTACCTAGGATGACAGAAACAAGATACTATGTCTGGCAACAGTTACCCAGGATGACAGAAACAAGATACTATGTCTGGCAACAGTTACCCAGGATGACTGAAACAAGATACTATGTCTGGCAACAGTTACCCAGGATGACTGAAACAAGATACTATGTCTGGCAACAGTTACCTAGGATGACTGAAACAAGATACTATGTCTGGCAACAGTTACCCAGGATGACTGAAACAAGATACTATGTCTGGCAACAGTTACCTAGGATGACTGAAACAAGATACTATGTCTGGCAACAGTTACCTAGGATGACTGAAACAAGAAACTAAATCTGGCAACAGTTACCCAGCATGACTGAAACAAGATACTATGTCTGGCAACAGTTACCCAGGATGACTGAAACAAGATACTATGTCTGGCAACAGTTACCCAGGATGAGGTGAGGTGAAATTGGGTTTAACGTCGCGTCCAAGATTATTGCACTTATATAGCGACGTGCGTGCACGTGTATGTGTGTGTGTGTGGCCTGATGCCGATTTATAGTGCTAGCTCACTGAGATACCATGCCGCAGTTTAACATGAATACCCCACTCAGACACAGTATACTGACTCCGAGCCGACCAGTCCTTGTTTTAGCCCCTTAATGCCGAGCGCCAGACGAGGTAACAACAAGTACAATCTTTTAACGTCTTTTTGTATGACGCGGCCCGGGATCGAACCCTGGACCTTCCGCTCTCCGGGCGGACGCTCTACCACAAGACCACGGAGGCGGTCTACCCAGGATGACTGAAACAAGATACTATATCTGGCAACAGTTACCCAGGATGACTCAAACAAGGTAAACTGTCTGGCAACAGTTACCCAGGATGACTGAAACAAGATATAATGTCTGGAAACAGTTACCCAGGATGTTTGAAACGAGATTCTAAATCTGGCACAAGTTGCCCAGGATGTTTGAAAAGTTACTTCTTGTATAAGTAAGCCCCGGGTGAGGGATCAGATACACGGTGTGGTATAAGTAAGCCAAGGATGGCATCAACAAGAAATTCTAGTCGGTCTTCAAACAGGTCAAACATTGTGAAAACCCAACCTTATCTGAATTACCACAAACTTATGTATTCTGGAACTTTTATAACCCGCGAACTCTACAGGGTTCAATACATTTCAGTGCGGCCTCATGCCATGTTATCAACAAGATTGCACCAGTATCATGTATACTTATTCAGTGCACGCGCAACTGTTGATAATAAAAAGAAGAATTAAACCGTGCCCATTGAAAGCTACCAGGCATAGCGCAGTGGTTGTGTTTATAGTTCACTACAGGGCTACCATTAAAAATATTTCCGTTAATTCCATATCATATAAGCTTGTTCCGAAGTCCAACTACAGGGTTACGCTGTAGCTGGGCTGCGATATTCAAAGGGAGGAGTGGAAACTATTCCCTATAAAAATGTTCCTCGGTACATGCAAAACACTGCAATGTCATCAGGATGACCCATTGATGTGTGTTTCAGGAAACACAAGACGGTATGTTTCGTAAAACCAAGAAAGATATGTTTCAGAACTCCAGGAAAGATATGTTTCAGGAATCCAGGAAAGGTTAGTTTCAGAAATCCAGGAAGGTATGTTTCAGAAATACAGGAAAGGTACGTTTCATAAATCCAGGAAAGGTATGTTTCAGAAATCCAGGAAAGGTATGTTTCATAAAGCCAGGAAAGGTACGTTTCATAAATCCAGGAAAGGTATGTTTCATAAATCCAGGAAGGTATGTTTCAGGAAACCCATGGAGGTACATGTATGTTTCAGTTATCCCATGAAGGTTTGTTTCAGTAAACCCAATAAACGTATGTCTTAGTAAGCCCAGGAAAGTGTGTTTGAAGCAAATCAGGAACGTATGTTTCATTAAACCAAAAAGGTATGCTTCCTGACTTATGACAAGTTTCAGTACCCATCATTCAATTTGTCAGACACCGGCGTGGCTGATACTGCTATTATGCCATGACCTGAAGCAGGTACGATATGTCTCCACGCCAAACTGGAAACTATATTTTGTTAAATCAGATTTGTGTATCTTTAATTATGAAATAAATCAGATCGTTAATGCATGTTATATTAATATTCATTTTAAGTTACATATGGAATTTATAGATATCACAACTTATACTATATATTTAATACAGTATGCAATTAGAGACGTGTGTGATTTATCTTACAACTATCCACACAAGGATCGATATCTGTGGACTGAAGTCATTCAAAATAATACGTAAAGATTATTTTCGTACCAAAAGGTTGTCACACACTTTTCAAAAGCGAAAATGGCTTTGATGTATTATTATACATGTTCGTCACTGCCGAATTAATTATTTCTAGAGTTCTAGAGTTGTAAGTCGGTGCTGGTACCTGATACCGCTGACACCCTCACTCCATGATGTGCGTCAGCTATCACCCAGACGTGTACATAAAACTGGTTGATAGCAACACTCCTCCCTCTCTTGTAGGCCTGTATTGACAAGTCAGATTAGGTGACAAAGCCGTCTTTTGACAGGGAGGTTTAACACACTACCCCTGTGACTCGCGCGGCCCAGTATGATGAAGCATTGGGGAGTTGGCTTATCTCTGACTGTGCCGGAGTAGAACACACACATATCACAGGTACAGGGGGTCTATAGCACGGAAACTGTATATAACATTGATAGGTGTTTCTTTAAACATCCCAAACAATGATGTATCTGTATATGATTATGATTATGATTATAATTAAGATTATGATTATTAGTATTGACCCGTGAAGATCCGGGTTAGAAATTGTCTTCAGCAACCTACGCTTGCGTAAAAGGCGACTATGCTTGTCGTAAGAGGCGACTAACGGGACAAGGAGGTCAGCTTCGCTGATTTGGTTGATTCAGGTCATCGTATCCAAAGTGCGTGGGTCGATGTTCATGATATCAATCACTGGATTGTCTGGGACGATTATTTACAGACAGGCGTCATAGCTGGAATATTGCTGAGTGCGGGAACAAACAAACAAACAAACAAATTATTATGTACAGATAAAAATAAAAACTGCAGCAAGGAGTGTTTGGGTGATCCTGGCACAGTCAGGATGGTCATTATTATTATTATTATTATTATTATTATTATTATTATTATTATTATTATTGTTGTTGTTGTTGTTGTTGTTGTTGTTGTTGTTCAGCTCAGGGCCCTTGTCCCCTCCACACGCAGCCCAGACAGCGAATGGGACTTCTCCCAGGAAACGCTGCCTAGTCAAACCCACCAAGAACTTTTCGGAGAATGTGCAGACTCCCCAACACTGCAGCCTTCTGCATTACCCAGATTGTCAGAAGGGCTGTATTCCTGGTAGCAAACCCGGGTACTCTCCCAATGTCAGTCAACAGATTGGGAGGTACCAAACCTAAGGCACCGAGAACAATGGGGAGTAGGACAACTTTGTACTTGGGATGCAAGCGTGACATTTCGAAAGCGAGGTCCGCATATTTGCCATGTTTTTCCTCAATCTTGTCAATCACATAAGTGTCAATGGGGACAGAAAATTCAATGATATAAATGATTTCATTGGATTTATCAAAAAGGACAAGATCAGGCTTGTTGGCCTGGATATGTCTGAGGCTGTAAATGGGCCAAAGAATTTTGTATTTATCATTTTCCATGATTATTATTATTGGACCTCCTCCGTGGTCTAATGGTAGCGCGTCTGCCCGGAGAGCGGAAGGTCGGGGTTTTGATCTCCGGCCGCGTCATACCGAAAAGACGTTAACCGATGGTGCTTGTTGTTACCCTGCCTGGCGCTCGGCATTAGGGGCTAAAACTAGGACTGGTCGGCTTGGAGTCAGTAAACTGTGTCTGAGTAGGGTATATTAAACTGCGGCATGGTATCTCAGTGGGCTAGCACTACAAAATCGGTATTAGTCCGGACTAGCATAAGCAGCTACACACACACACACACACACACACCCAAACACACGTGCATATACGTCTTTTTATAAGTGAAATAACCTTGAACGCTACGTTAAACCCCATTTCACCCTACTTATAACCACCATCATCATCATTATGACATTAAACCCCCTAATGACAGTATCAATAAACGATACAACCTCAGACTGGTTCAACAGCTATTTCATTCATCACATGTTGTAGAGTTATTTCATTGTCATGTAGATCAATGGAATCGTGGACCGTGCCACCTATAGTCACCTATTATCTGAGGTGCTTATACTTGACTGTTGAGTGCAAAGTGACTCAAATCTAACACACCTGTCCTATAGGTATGCAGACTCCTGTAATCTGAGAGACGCATGATGGCTGTTTACCTGTTCTCCTGGGCGGCGTGGGTAACGGTACTCGCCCTCATCAACCACGCGGATGCTTCAGGTGAGTTGTCCTATCTCAATCCTGTATAGTAACACTGTCTCCTGCACATGCGCCTCTTGTATCGCAACAAACAACACTTACTATAAAACTGTATCTGCAATAATTATTTTAATACCATCCACACTAAACACGTATGAGTAGAGCATAGTGTGTAGTTATATTTTCATATCGTGGACATTGGCCTATAATCAAAGTTGAAGAAAATACAATACTATTCCGGTTATAAAAGATTTTGGTGCCATACAACTGCTCACCATTTTGGTTAATTTACTTCAAACAATATCTTATAATAGTGACACCCTGTTATTCCGTAAGACCCTCTTTCCGCACGATTGCAGATGGGGACATGTTTACAACATAAAAGGGGCATAATTAAGTACTTGAGGAAACGTTTACGAATTATTTTAAAGAATAATCATGGTTTAGTTATTTTGCTTTTTGTTCAATGACAGAAATATGTTAGTATATTATAGAAGTTGTTGTTCTGCACTGAGGTGAAATCAACTAAAAATATGATATAGTGGTATCACTATATACATAATAATATAAAACCGCTTTGATTATAGTGTAATCTCTTTAAATAAATCTTCCATGTATAAACTCCGATGACAGAGTGATATCGCTGTATAATTTATGCATGTAAATCAGTGAGAACATAATATGGATCATGCATGTATGAACTGAAACGATGGTAGAGAGATGTCATTAAATCGATCTTTATTGTATTACCTGGACCGATGTGATGTCATTATATCGATCTCACATGTATAAACTAGACTATGTTAGAGTGATGTCATTAAATCGATCTTAAATATATAAAACTGGAAAAATGGCAGAGGGATGTCATTATTCGATCTTCCATGTATCAACTGGAACAATGATAGTCGGATGCCATTGCTTTGATCTTACATGTATGAAGGGACCTATGGTAGAGTGATATCATTAAGTCGATCTTACATCATGTATAAACGGGACCTATGGTAGAGTGATGTCATTAATTCGATCTTACATGTATAAAGGGACCTATGGTAGAATGATGTCATTATTCGATCTTACATGTAGAAAGGGACCTATGGTAGAGTGATGTCATTAATTCGATCTTACATGTATGAAGGGACCTATAGTAGAGTGATGTCATTAATTCTATCTTACACGTTTAAACTGGACCGATAGAAGAATAATGTCATTAAATCGATCGTAAATGTATAAACTGGAACGATGATAGAGTGATGCCATTTATTCGATCTTAAATGCATCAACTGGAACGATGACAGAAGGATGTCATTAACTCGATCTTAATTTGAAACGGGTATCAAAGCTGTGTTTTGGACCTTTAGTTTGCACTCTCTCGGCAACTTCTTTTTCCAGTAACATATTGATCACGTTTGATATTATTTGTTGGTCATTCCAAGTTTAAGGTGTATTCTTTCTTTTGTCCTGTAATTAATACGATAATATACAGCAAAACGGTCGGTACTTTTGAAATAGTTCGTTTAATTCGGGAGTACGTTACATACTTTTCGTTATAACGATGCTCTTCTGTCTAGCGATGCAAAAACCTAACATATATTAGGTAGACCGGGTTGCCGGGTGACTACCGTCACATGTACACCAGTATTTGCTATAATGCCTAGTCCTATTTCTACTGGGTGATATTGATGCATTGGAAGTGTATGGGGCAGTAGAGATGTCAGCATTGTGAGAGGCTACGCGGGGCGGATTCCTCACGTGGGTACAATGTGTGAAATCCGTATGGCCGTGACATTACCGGATAATTACTAAAAAAAAGACAAAAAACAAGTCCAAAGATGAGCTGAATAATTTACGAATGTTATTTTCAAGCTTATTATACACGCTTATCTGCTGTATATATGTATATAACGAATTACGGTTATAACGAAAAAAAATGAGTGGTCCCTTTGAGTTTGAAATAACCGTAGTTTTCCGTAGTATATATATAACACCGTGGGAAAGAACGTGTCGCCGCCGTTCTGTCCCACACAGCGCTGTCTCAAGGTAAACAGTTTCGTGGGGTCAGATTTAATATTCAGTCTTTATTGTGGTATTAAAAGAACTACATCTTAGCATTTACATATTGCGACTGATGTCCGGTACTTGACGGCGTGCTTAAACGTGATTTTACTAATATAGAACTGTAGTAGATATCCCCACATTAGATGATTCATCGCCCAGCCCTTCGGATCAATGCACTAAACCCAAACGTAAATACTGACATCTTTAATCGAAGTTTTTGAATGTGATGAAGTCAATACCAAAGTGTTCTCGAAGACAACATTGAGACTAACAGACGACTTACACAAATAACGCGTTGAAATTATTTCAAAGCTTTCGAGGCCATTTGGTACAGTGTATTCAAAAAAAATTAATATTGGGTCAGGAGTTAATAAACTGAATTGATACAAATATGCATCGTTTACACAACTGAAGTGCCCTTTGATATATAGTCGTGCTTGCATAAATGGGCTTTCAGTTCCAACGTCAGGAGTATATATGATGCACTGTATCAACATATTAATTAGGACAAATACAATGAACCGAGGGACACATATCGCACAGTGGGTATTACTTGCAGTGAAAGGGAGACGTGTGGTATGACGGTCGCAAGCAATGACTCAAATATTGTCGGGGTACAAGTCCCTGCGTCTTTGTATGATATTGCCACTTACCTCGGAATAATGTAACACAATCGTCATGCTTGGACAGTTATGGACTTTATTATACGGTCTATATACGGGAATATGAGTTATAATTGACTCTCGTAGCACTCGAGGAGATATCGCCGAGATTTATGTGGCCTGGAGTGGGGAGATTTGGGTCTGTGTATACATGGGTATAAATCAGTGTGCTACGTTATGGGAATTGTAAATACCTGTCCAGTCCCCCGGTATCCAAGCGCGCACGGTTAGTGGCATTGTACACCCAATCTACAAGGGTTATAAAACAACCAACTGTCCTTGACATTCCAGAATTCTGCAAAAACATATCAGTCGGCAAATAAAAATGTATGTGAGTCAATGAGTTGACATCTACGCTGCTTTGAACGGCATTTCCTTCATATCACGGCGTGTCAGCATCGTTTTTGAGGAATGTCCTTTCCCTTTGTGAAACACACGGGCGCGGGAATGATGCTGACAAACCAAGAGTGAAGATTCGAGTCTCTGGTTTCGATTCTCCTAATGGGTAAAATTTGTGAAGCCAACTTCTGGTGTTTCTCTACAAACACGACTCATATACACGTATTTATATAAATAGTACAATAAAATAGTTTCCTGTCTAATAGACAGATGCAATAATAGTATATTATTAACGACAAATTGCCTTGAATACGACTAAAAGAGTGTATTAAAGCATTTCCAGAGAGAACATCAAATTTGGAGTTTGTCAGAACTTTCAGAACTTTGTATTTCTCCATAAACCACCGCTAGTGGTACACGAGCAATGTATTACATAATTTACAAATAATATTGACAACAAGATGACTATAATTGATATAAACCTAGATGGAGGCAATCAGGCCCTGCAGCTCTATTGAGCTAAGCCTTCCGTAGAAAAAAGCGACATTATGAACGTGCTGTGCCCTTTAGAATGTAACTTTGCAAGGATGGCTAAATTTGATGTGATCGACATACTTCTAAAAGCAATGTGATTATAACTTTCTCGCATTCATACCGGTAAACGTCTCGATGAAAAATAATGGTTAGAATATCAATCCGTCAAGACCATGCAGTGTAAGATATATGTACACCGGCATTGATACTCCACCGACAAATTAGTCCTCTTAAGCTGATCTTCTGCAACATGTGCCATTTGGTCTGAACTTTTGATTTAACGATAAAAAGACACTTGTATGTTGATACCTCACCATGACCCTGTCACGGAACAATGGAGATTCACCCTGTTTGTGTGATTTTGATTTTGAATATGTTCGTGATATTGTGGTACAACCGAAAAGGATTAAGTATTCGGCGGAGTATGAATGCTATAGGAAAGAGGTCGTTGTTTCATCCAATGGCAGTGTCTACGATCTCTGAGATTAGATTCGTCTGTCTCTGCGAGAACGGATAATCACATTTATCATCACAAACTGGCTTCCTCAGGAGATATCGGTTGAGTGAGATCAAACGATATCAAAATCAATGATTTCTCTAGTCTCGGGTGGTCAGATTCCCTGACTTGGTTGATGCATGTCATTTATCTATCCAAAATGTGTGAAGATCGATGCTCATGATGTCAATCACTGGATTGTCCTCATCCAGGCTCGATTATTTACAGATTGCCCTCATATAGCTGGAACAACAAACGAAAAAAAAACAATCTTTCTCTCACTGCGACTGTTTCGCTGTACTTTGTACACCCAAGCCACTGGTCGTCTAAGGCACCGCAACAAGCTGTGCAGAGTTGCGTCCCTTGGGCATGCCAGAAACCTATGATTGTGGGTTCGAATCCCCGTTCACCCCGATTATTTTTCTAGGTTTGTCAGCACCATACCCGTGTTCATGGGTTTCAACGAAGTGGTAAACGTCTGAGACCTGCATCACTTCGGGCTTTCCTCCCACATTAAGCTGACACGCTGTGATATAACTGGAATACTGTTAAAAGGGGCGTCAAACCCAACTCACTCACTCACTCACTCACTCATTCACTCACTCAATCCATCAATCAAGCCACTGGTTATTATTTTTTACAAACAGAAAAAAGTTTCAACAATGGTTTTGGCCCTTGCGTGTTTTGATATAATTATGTCAACACTCGTCAATAAACACGGCGGTGTTTTAAACTTTTATTGACTCATTTTGTTATATCTGATTTCAAAAGACACCCGGATGAGGTTCTGTATCAGTCAATTAACCTTTATAAATTCAAAAAGACGAAGTAATAAATATTAACGGAACGCCAACAAAGCATCACATAATGCTAATGATATGTAAGAGGTTCCAGATAAATAGGCTGTACTGTTACTTTCGATGTGGCGTGGCCATTGACCATGATTTCACATGGCCAGGCACTTTAACGGACCAATCAGAAAACAGAATTTGCCAGGATAGAACAGTAAGCTCTCGGTTGTCTGTGATAGATTCACTTTCTGTCTTCTTTAAAGTAAATGACATAGAACTGCTACACTTCAAGTTGTGACAGGTCCACTTCCTGTCTTGTATAACATGTATGATATACAGCTCTTTGATACCTGTCTGTAGTAGGTTCACTTCTTGTCTTGTACAACGTGTATGATAATACGCTCTTTGATACCTGTCTGTAGTTGGTTCACTTCTTGTCTTGTACAACGTGTATGATAATACGCTCTTTGATACCTATTTGTAGTTGGTTCACTTGCTGTCTTGTATAACGTGTATGACATAGCGCTCTTCGATACCTGTCTGTAGTAGGTTCACGTCCTATCTTGTTTATCGTGTATGATATACCGCTCTTTGATACCTGTCTGTAGTAGGTTCACGTCCTGTCTTGTATAACGTATATGACATAGCGCTGTTTGATGCCTATCTGGAGTAGTTCACTTCCTGTCTTGTATAACGCATATGACGTATCACTCGTTGATACCTGTCTATAGTAGGTTCACTTCCTGTCTTGTATAACGCATGTGACAAAGCGCTCTTTGATACCTGTCTGTAGTAGGTTCACTTCCTGTCTTGTATATCGTGTATGATATACCGCTCTTTGATACCTGTCTGTAGTAGATTCACTTCCTGTCTTGTATAACGCATGTGACATAGCGCTCTCGGAGACCTGTCTGTAGTAGGTTCACTTCTTGTCTTGTATAACGCATAGGACATAGAACTGCTACACTTCACGTTGTGACAGGTTCACTTCCTGTCGTGTACAACGTGTATGATATACCGCTCTTTGATACCTGTCTGTAGTAGGTTCACTTCCTGTCTTGTACAACGTGTATGACATAACGCTGTTTGATACCTGTCTGAGAGTAAGTTCACTTCCTGTCGTGTACAACGTGTATGATATACCGCTCTTTGATACCTGTCTGTAGTAGGTTCACTTCCTGTCTTGTACAACGTATATGACATAACACTGTCTGATACCTGTCTGAGAGTAAGTTCACTTCCTGTCTTGTATAACGCATGTGACATAGCGCTCTCGGAGACCTGTCTGTAGTAGGTTCACTTTCTGTCTTGTACAGCGTGTGTGATATAGCGCTCGTTGATACCTGTCTATAGTAGGTTCACTTTCTTTCATGTGTAGCGATATAGCGCTCGTTGATACATGTCTATAGTAGGTTCACTTTCTTTCATGTGTAGCGAGTATGACATGGCGCTTTTATTGACCGAATTGTCTTGCACAAGGGACAAGTATATGACTATGAGCTTCATCGCACTTAAAATTGGTTGTGACAAGTTCACAAACTGTCATGTATAATGTATATGAAATAATAATGCATGATACTTGTCTATTCCAGAGTAATATAAGTCTTGTTATATACTTATGTGTGACATAGCTCTGTTCATGTTTGTTTCTGGAAGGTGCACCCCCTGTCTTCACAAACCCTCCCGACAGTACCACAAATATCAATGTGGCAGAGAACACAGCTGTGACGACATCAGTGTTTCAGGCAGCGGCTTCTGACGGTGAAGGCGACGCCCTTACATACAGTCTAGTAACGCCACCTACTGAGTTTACAATCACGGCAGCAGGGGAGATATCAGTGAATGGAAACATCAACTTCGAGGCGGTAGCTTCATATATACTGACTGTAAGGTACGCAATAACTTCCATCCACGAGCTGGGTGAGTTGGTGAGTGAGTGAGTTATATTACGGCTTAGGAGTTTACTACAAGCACGGGTGTGGTGCTGAGAATAAAGCGACAAATCTCCTTCCATGTCCAATAGAAATCTCTGCATAAAGCAGAGTCGATAGAACGATTCCGACCATACCATGTGCCCATGTTTATGAATCACTATCAAATAGTGATGATACCAGGTGTTCGCGAAAAGGTGAGCGTATCCTGTCCCAGCGTTGGCACATTCACAAAAAATGCAAAGGCAAGTCAATTGTTCGCCTTAAAAAAGGGAACATATGGTACAAGTCAAAATAGGGAATTGCATGAATCCTAATGAATCCTAATCAAGGCGAATCTGTGATTTGAACTCTCGATCACAGTGTTCGCAACCTTGTACAGCGAATTGAGCAGATGTGAAGCATTTTTTAAATAATGTATCGTGCATACGTAACTGCTGGAAAAGTGAAAGCTCGTGTATTTTATGTACTATGTAACATCTGCCAAACTGATCAGTGTTTTGGCTTGTGTATGCCTGTCCATCTCACTGAAGAAGGATTAAAAGTATTGATGTTCAATGGGCTATTGACTATAAGATAGTAAAACCAAGCGGTGCTTAACCTTTTTCCTCCTGTATATATGCATTGGAACAGTGGCCATCGCAATAACTGAAGTTTATCCTTTCATTCATTTCTCAAGAGTGAACGATGGAACAAGCGACGTAGATGTGACCCTCACCTTTGATGTCACAGACGTTGACGAGAAACCAGAATTCACAAACGTTGCTACAGATGGCAGCACAACAACTCCTATTGCAGAAAACTCTGCTGTTGGAACTTCCATTTTCTTAGCCATGGCAACCGACCCTGAAGGAGCAAGTGTTACGTTTTCACTGGTCAGCCCGCCGGCAGTCTTCACCATCAGTACTGGGGGAGTGATGACAGTCAATGGGGCTTTGAACTTCGAGAACGTGCCGTCATATACAATCACAGTCCGGTAAATTTGATTACATAATATGTAGCCACAAATAGAACAAATAAAGAAATGTAATTTCTTCGGTTAATTCATCACCATGCGTCGTCAGTAACCAGTAATAGCCATATTTTATATTATACATAGTATCATCCCATATGTATACCCGCGGGAAAAGTAACTGAGCTTCATATAAAGTGGTGTAAATGTCGTTCTTCAAAATAACTACATAATTTTTGTCATTCGTCTGATCAATGTTTTATCACAATCAATTCATTGACAAAAGCTATACCTGGTTACAAGAGACAGACAGACACACCCTAAAAGAAGGGTGGTGTAACGATTACAACCCTGGTCATCTAATCTCTGGAGCTTCACTATACCTGGGTTGTCTAACCATGCAATGGTGGTTTCTCCTTGGCTCAATCCGTGTAGTCACTGACCCGAAAATCTGTAAATTCTACGGAACATTCCCACTTTGATACAATGAGGACACCTATATAGCCTTCATGCGGAGATTCTGGGGAGCACGTATCCTCTGTATTCTGCATACTGTATCCACAGAACATTGAAATGTCTATGCTGAATAATTGTTGACAACTTCATGCTAGTGATGTTAAGTGCTGCACAATATTTGTTGACAACCTTTTTACTAAAGTACAAGAGCTAAGATAGATAAACTAACGATGTTAATGTACATGTTTTTTTTAAATTTGAGATCCCTTGTTAGCAGTAAAATGGGTTGAACAAAATGCCTACTTTGTCTAACCAGCAACGCTACTCACCCATGGATTGTCTAATTGCTTTTGTAAAAATTAGACGAAGCAGGTTGAATCCTGTGTAACAACTCTATTCACAATGTCTATATCGGATATGACCACCAATGGGGTTGATACAGGCGAGGCATCAGCGGCGCATTGAAGATGATTGAAAACAGCCTGGAGGATGTTGTTCCAAATTTCACCAAACAATTACCGACTGGTTTTGGTCCTGTCGTAGGGGTCGTTATGTCTCATCCCTGACATGTTCTATGGGGTAGAGGTCGGGAGACACAGCCAAGGCAGTACAGCAATGTTGTGCTGCATCCAAAATTATGTCACAACACGTGCAGTGATGGCGGACATCATCCTGCTGCACAAAGTGTGGACCATGATCACGAACGATGTCGTCCCGGTAGCGTACGCCGTTCAAATTGCCACTGACAATAATGATTTGAGTTCTCCTATGAGTTGTTTAGTTGTGCCTGACAGTGACACGGAAGCAAAATTGGGCGTATCGCTGGACGTCGGGGCCGGAAGTTGTGTTTCCTCAACCGGCTGCCTACGGATCTGCCACTAACTTGTCTCTACCCAGGAATTGTCCGCAGTTTGGAATCATTTCAGAAGATGCACCAAACGAAAAGGTTGTCTTGTTGACGTGACTGTACAGTGGAAGACCGCCCAGTGGCAAATCATGAGTATTGCCCTGCTGCAGAATGTATCCAAAGAGATAATGTTGTCTTTCAAGGATCATTTAAATGTCTGGCAACTTTTGAGCCATTCCTGTTTGTAAAATACCCACGGCCTGTGAACCTTGGTTTTCAGCAACCTGTGGCATTGGGAAAGCGTTAGGTATTGTTAAACAAAAGTGCTTTTGGAACACATGAACACGTCAACAATAATTGTGTGCTGTTTCAAACATTCAAAAACAACGTGTGTGAGTATCATGCTCCTAACAAACACGTATACATTAAACTTGTGTGTCTTCCGTGAACATGCGCGTGCAAATTGTGAACCACGACTTTAGAGTCGAGGAGATGACTCCATGAATATGCTTTCAAAGTTGCATTATTAATTTCAGAATAAATGTATATTTATTAAACTTTACATGTAGCGCGGTATTTCATACCCATAAATGGTAAATCAAGAGAGTTTCAAGTTCTGACAAGGCTTATGTCAACGATTTGTCGCATGTACTTACTTTCAGAGCTACTGATGGAACTAATACCAATGATCAAACAATGACAGTGTCTATCACCAATGTGGATGAGGCGCCAACCTTCACCAGTCCCGCTGCAGATGGCAGTACCAGGACCAACGTAGCCGAGAACTCTGTCACAGGAACATCCGTGTATGCTGTGGTAGCTTCTGATCCCGAAGGGGCTACCTTGACCTTCAGCCTGGTGACACCTCCTGCTCAGTTCACCATCACCACCCTCGGCGAGATACAAGTAGCCACTGCCACCATCGACTTTGAAACACTAGCATACTATGCCTTGACAGTTAGGTTGGTAACCATCCTCATTATATCACATGTAATACTCACTGCTGAAAAATAGTGTTAGTTAAAGTAAAAAGGGAGTACCTAAATCTCTTCGTTTCTCTTTAAAGTGTCTCTAGATAAAGATGGTTTGCGTTATCATAGGAAGGGTTCCTTTACAATGTCATATGTCACGTGAATGTTGTTATTCGATACACCTTTCGACATCAATTGATACGTTGTTGAAAATCAACTGTGGCCATTTCTGGATACTATATTCAGAAGATGTGATCGACTTTACACATGTGATCTATGACGTGGTGCTATGGACATAAGCCAAGAGGAGCAGTGAGTTGCAATACAAAACATGGTTTAAGTATGAATATCTTCATTGCATTATGTTCTCCTTTCAGAATAACTGATGGAACAAATCCTGTTGATGTTGTCCTTAACGTTGATTTAACCGACGTCAACGAATCACCAAGCTTCACAAATATTGCATCAGATGGCAGTACTAATGTCAATATAGCCGAGGACTCTGGGACCGGGACGTCTGTTTTATCTGTGGTGGCATCGGACCCCGAAGGAGATACACTGACAATAACTCTGGTGTCTGCCCCTACCGAGTTCACTCTCAATGCAGCAAACCAGATTCAGGTGAACGGAGCTCTGGACTTTGAAACTACACCATCTTACACACTTACGGTCAGGTAAGAAATACGTTCTGCTACCTTCAATGCCATGATGCTAGTAGATAAGATTACGAAAATATATTGAATGGTATTGAGTATCCACCTTCTTCACTGTGTATGTTTTCAGAGTAACAGATGGAACAAATGCAGATGTTGACCACACCATGACGGTGACCATCACAAATGTAGATGAGGCGCCCACCTTCACCAGTCCCGCTGCAGATGGCAGTACCAGGACCAACGTAGCCGAGAACTCTGTCACAGGAACATCCGTGTATGCTGTGGTAGCTTCTGATCCCGAAGGGGCTACCTTGACCTTCAGCCTGGTGACACCTCCTGCTCAGTTCACCATCACCACCCTCGGCGAGATACAAGTAGCCACTGCCACCATCGACTTTGAAACACTAGCATACTATGCCTTGACAGTTAGGTTGGTAACCATCCTCATTATATCACATGTAATACTCACTGCTGAAAAATAGTGTTAGTTAAAGTAAAAGGGAATACCTAAATCTCTTCGTTTCTCTTTAAAGTGTCTCTAGATATAGATGGTTTGCCTTATCATAGGAATGGTTCCTTTACAATTTCATATGTCACGTGAATGTTGTTATTCGATACACCTTTCGACATCAATTGATACGTTGTTGAAAATCAACTGTGGCCATTTCTGGATACTATATTCAGAAGATGTGATCGACTTTACACATGTGATCTATGACGTGGTGCTATGGACATAAGCCAAGAGGAGCAGTGAGTTGCAACACAAAACATGGTTTAAGTATGAATATCTTTATTGCATTATGTTCTCCTTTCAGAATAACTGATGGAACAAATCCTGTTGATGTTGTCCTTAACGTTGATATAACCGACGTCAACGAATCACCAAGCTTCACAAATATTGCATCAGATGGCAGTACTAATGTCAATATAGCCGAGGACTCTGGGACCGGGACGTCTGTTTTATCTGTGGTGGCATCAGACCCGGAAGGAGATACACTGACAATAACTCTGGTGTCTGCCCCTACCGAGTTCACTCTCAATGCAGCAAACCAGATTCAGGTGAACGGAGCTCTGGACTTTGAAACTACACCATCTTACACACTTACGGTCAGGTAAGTAATACGTTCTGCTACCTTCAATGCCATGATGCTAGTAGATAAGATTACGAAAATATATTGAATGGTATTGAGTATCCACCTTCTTCACTGTGTATGTTTTCAGAGTAACAGATGGAACAAATGCAGATGTTGACCACACCATGACGGTGACCATCACAAATGTAGATGAGGCGCCCACCTTCACCAGTCCCGCTGCAGATGGCAGTACCAGGACCAACGTAGCCGAGAACTCTGTCACAGGAACATCCGTGTATGCTGTGGTAGCTTCTGATCCCGAAGGGGCTACCTTGACCTTCAGCCTGGTGACACCTCCTTCTCATTTCACCATCACCATCCTCGGCGAGATACAAGTAGCCACTGCCACCATCGACTTTGAAACACTAGCATACTATGCCTTGACAGTTAGGTTGGTAACCATCCTCATTATATCACATGTAATACTCACTGCTGAAAAATAGTGTTAGTTAAAGTAAAAGGGAATACCTAAATCTCTTCGTTTCTCTTTAAAGTGTCTCTAGATATAGATGGTTTGCCTTATCATAGGAATGGTTCCTTTACAATGTCATATGTCACGTGAATGTTGTTATTCGATACACCTTTCGACATCAATTGATACGTTGTTGAAAATCAACTGTGGCCGTTTCTGGATACTATGTTCAGAAGATATGATCGACTTGACACATGTGATCTATGACGTGGTGCTATGGACATAAGCCAAGAAAAGCAGTGAGTTGCAATACAAAACATGGTTTAAGTATGAATATCTTTATTGCTTTATGTTCTCCTTTCAGAATAACTGATGGAACAAATCCTGTTGATGTTGTCCTTAACGTCGATATAACCGACGTCAACGAATCACCAAGCTTCACAAATATTGCATCAGATGGCAGTACTAATGTCAATATAGCCGAGGACTCTGGGACCGGGACGTCTGTTTTATCTGTGGTGGCATCAGACCCGGAAGGAGATACACTGACAATAACTCTGGTGTCTGCCCCTACCGAGTTCACTCTCAATGCAGCAAACCAGATTCAGGTGAACGGAGCTCTGGACTTTGAAACTACACCATCTTACACACTTACGGTCAGGTAAGAAATACGTTCTGCTACCTTCAATGCCATGATTCTAGTAGATAAGATTACGAATATATATTGAATGGTATTGAGTATCCACCTTCTTCACTGTGTATGTTTTCAGAGTAACAGACGGAACAAATGCAGATGTTGACCACACCATGACGGTGACCATCACCAATGTAGATGAGGCGCCAACCTTCACCAGTCCCGCTGCAGATGGCAGTACCAGGACCAACGTAGCCGAGAACTCTGTCACAGGAACATCCGTGTATGCTGTGGTAGCTTCTGATCCCGAAGGGGCTACCTTGACCTTCAGCCTGGTGACACCTCCTGCTCAGTTCACCATCACCACCCTCGGCGAGATACAAGTAGCCACTGCCACCATCGACTTTGAAACACTAGCATACTATGCCTTGACAATTAGGTTGGTAACCATCCTCATTATATCACATGTAATACTCACTGCTGAAAAATAGTGTTAGTTCAAGTAAAAGGGAATACCTAAATCTCTTCGTTTCTCTTTAAAGTGTCTCTAGATATAGATGGTTTGCCTTATCATAGGAAGGGTTCCTTTACAATGTCATATGTCACGTGAATGTTGTTACAAAACATGGTTTAAGTATGAATATTTTCATTGCATTATGTTCACCTTTCAGAATAACTGATGGAACAAATCCTGTTGATGTTGTCCTTAACGTTGATATAACCGACGTCAACGAATCACCAAGCTTCACAAATATTGCATCAGATGGCAGTACTAATGTCAATATAGCCGAGGACTCTGGGACCGGGACGTCTGTATTGTCTGTGGTGGCATCAGATCCGGAAGGAGATACACTGACAATAACTCTGGTGTCTGCCCCTACCGAGTTCACTCTCAATGCAGCAAACCAGATTCAGGTGAACGGAGCTCTGGACTTTGAAACTACACCGTCTTACACACTTACGGTCAGGTAGGAAATACGTTCTGCTACTTTCAATGCAATGATGCTAGTAGATAAGATTACGAAAACATTGAATGGAATTGAGTATCCACCTTCTTCACTGTGTTTTCCTTCAGAGTAACAGATGGAACAAATGCAGATGTTGACCACACCATGACGGTGACAATCACCAATGTAGATGAGGCGCCCACCTTCACCGGTCCCGCTGCAGATGGCAGTACCAGGACCAATGTAGCCGAGAACTCTGTCACAGGAACATCCGTGTATGCTGTGGTAGCTTCTGATCCCGAAGGGGCTACCTTGACCTTCAGCCTGGTGACACCTCCTGCTCAGTTCACCATCACCACCCTCGGCGAGATACAAGTAGCCACTGCAACCATCGACTTTGAAACACAAGCATACTATGCCCTGACAGTCAGGTTCGTAACCATTTTCACAGTTACACATTTAATACTCAATACCGAAAAAAAGTGTTAGTTAAAAAAAGTGAAATACCTAAATCACTTCGGTTTTCCTTAAATTGTCTCTAGATATAGATGGTTTACGTTATCTTAGAAAGGTGTCCTTTTACACATGTGATCTTTAACGTGGTGCTATGGACATAAGCCAAGAAAAGCAGTGAGTGTCAATGCAAAACATGCCTTCTGTATGAATATGTTCATTGCATTATGTTCACCTTTCAGAATAACTGATGGAACAAATCCTGTTGATGTTGTCCTTAACGTCGATATTACCGACGTCAACGAATCACCAAGCTTCACAAATATTGCATCAGATGGCAGTACTAATGTCAATATAGCTGAGGACTCTGGGACCGGGACGTCTGTATTGTCTGTGGTGGCATCAGACCCGGAAGGAGATACACTGACAATATCTCTGGTGTCTGCCCCTACCGAGTTCACTCTCAATGCAGCAAACCAGATTCAGGTGAACGGAGCTCTGGACTTTGAAACTACACCGTCTTACACACTTACGGTCAGGTAGGAAATACGTTCTGCTGCTTTCAATGCCATGATGCTAGTAGATAAGATTACGAATATATATTGAATGGTATTGAGTATCTACCAACTTCACTGTGTATACTTTCAGAGTAACAGACGGAACAAATGCAGATGTTGACCACACCATGACGGTGACAATCACCAATGTAGATGAGGCGCCCACCTTCACCAGTCCCGCTGCAGATGGCAGTACCAGGACCAATGTAGCCGAGAACTCTGTCACAGGAACATCCGTGTATGCTGTGGTAGCTTCTGATCCCGAAGGGGCTACCTTGACCTTCAGCCTGGTGACACCTCCTGCTCAGTTCACCATCACCACCCTCGGCGAGATACAAGTAGCCACTGCCACCATCGACTTTGAAACACTAGCATACTATGCCTTGACAGTCAGGTTGGTAACCATCCTCATTATATCACATGTAAAACTCACTGCCGAAAAATAGTGTTAGTTCAAGTAAAAGGGAATACCTAAATCTCCTCGTTTCTCTTTAAATTGTCTCTAGATATAGATGGTTTCCCTTATCATAGGAAGGGTTCCTTTAAAATGTCATATGTCACGTGAATATTGTTATTCGATACACCTTTCGACATCAATTGATACGTTGTTGAAAATCAACTGTGGCCATTCTGGATACTATATTCAGAAGATGTGATCGACTTTACACATGTGTTCTATGACGTGGTGCTATGGACATAAGTCAAGAAAAGCAGTGAGTTGCAATACAAAACATGGCTTAAGTATGAATATTTTCATTGTATTATGTTCAATTTTCAGAATAACTGATGGAACAAATCCTGTTGATGTTGTCCTTAACGTCGATATAACCGACGTCAACGAATCACCAAGCTTCACAAATATTGCATCAGATGGCAGTACTAATGTCAATATAGCCGAGGACTCTGGGACCGGGACGTCTGTTTTATCTGTGGTGGCATCAGACCCGGAAGGAGATACACTGACAATAACTCTGGTGTCTGCCCCTACCGAGTTCACTCTCAATGCAGCAAACCAGATTCAGGTGAACGGAGCTCTGGACTTTGAAACTACACCATCTTACACACTTACGGTCAGGTAAGTAATACGTTCTGCTACCTTCAATGCCATGATGCTAGTAGATAAGATTACGAAAATATATTGAATGGTATTGAGTATCCACCTTCTTCACTGTGTATGTTTTCAGAGTAACAGATGGAACAAATGCAGATGTTGACCACACCATGACGGTGACCATCACAAATGTAGATGAGGCGCCCACCTTCACCAGTCCCGCTGCAGATGGCAGTACCAGGACCAACGTAGCCGAGAACTCTGTCACAGGAACATCCGTGTATGCTGTGGTAGCTTCTGATCCCGAAGGGGCTACCTTGACCTTCAGCCTGGTGACACCTCCTTCTCAGTTCACCATCACCATCCTCGGCGAGATACAAGTAGCCACTGCCACCATCGACTTTGAAACACTAGCATACTATGCCTTGACAGTTAGGTTGGTAACCATCCTCATTATATCACATGTAATACTCACTGCTGAAAAATAGTGTTAGTTAAAGTAAAAGGGAATACCTAAATCTCTTCGTTTCTCTTTAAAGTGTCTCTAGATATAGATGGTTTGCCTTATCATAGGAATGGTTCCTTTACAATGTCATATGTCACGTGAATGTTGTTATTCGATACACCTTTCGACATCAATTGATACGTTGTTGAAAATCAACTGTGGCCGTTTCTGGATACTATGTTCAGAAGATATGATCGACTTGACACATGTGATCTATGACGTGGTGCTATGGACATAAGCCAAGAAAAGCAGTGAGTTGCAATACAAAACATGGTTTAAGTATGAATATCTTTATTGCTTTATGTTCTCCTTTCAGAATAACTGATGGAACAAATCCTGTTGATGTTGTCCTTAACGTCGATATAACCGACGTCAACGAATCACCAAGCTTCACAAATATTGCATCAGATGGCAGTACTAATGTCAATATAGCCGAGGACTCTGGGACCGGGACGTCTGTTTTATCTGTGGTGGCATCAGACCCGGAAGGAGATACACTGACAATAACTCTGGTGTCTGCCCCTACCGAGTTCACTCTCAATGCAGCAAACCAGATTCAGGTGAACGGAGCTCTGGACTTTGAAACTACACCATCTTACACACTTACGGTCAGGTAAGAAATACGTTCTGCTACCTTCAATGCCATGATTCTAGTAGATAAGATTACGAATATATATTGAATGGTATTGAGTATCCACCTTCTTCACTGTGTATGTTTTCAGAGTAACAGACGGAACAAATGCAGATGTTGACCACACCATGACGGTGACCATCACCAATGTAGATGAGGCGCCAACCTTCACCAGTCCCGCTGCAGATGGCAGTACCAGGACCAACGTAGCCGAGAACTCTGTCACAGGAACATCCGTGTATGCTGTGGTAGCTTCTGATCCCGAAGGGGCTACCTTGACCTTCAGCCTGGTGACACCTCCTGCTCAGTTCACCATCACCACCCTCGGCGAGATACAAGTAGCCACTGCCACCATCGACTTTGAAACACTAGCATACTATGCCTTGACAATTAGGTTGGTAACCATCCTCATTATATCACATGTAATACTCACTGCTGAAAAATAGTGTTAGTTCAAGTAAAAGGGAATACCTAAATCTCTTCGTTTCTCTTTAAAGTGTCTCTAGATATAGATGGTTTGCCTTATCATAGGAAGGGTTCCTTTACAATGTCATATGTCACGTGAATGTTGTTACAAAACATGGTTTAAGTATGAATATTTTCATTGCATTATGTTCACCTTTCAGAATAACTGATGGAACAAATCCTGTTGATGTTGTCCTTAACGTTGATATAACCGACGTCAACGAATCACCAAGCTTCACAAATATTGCATCAGATGGCAGTACTAATGTCAATATAGCCGAGGACTCTGGGACCGGGACGTCTGTATTGTCTGTGGTGGCATCAGATCCGGAAGGAGATACACTGACAATAACTCTGGTGTCTGCCCCTACCGAGTTCACTCTCAATGCAGCAAACCAGATTCAGGTGAACGGAGCTCTGGACTTTGAAACTACACCGTCTTACACACTTACGGTCAGGTAGGAAATACGTTCTGCTACTTTCAATGCAATGATGCTAGTAGATAAGATTACGAAAACATTGAATGGAATTGAGTATCCACCTTCTTCACTGTGTTTTCCTTCAGAGTAACAGATGGAACAAATGCAGATGTTGACCACACCATGACGGTGACAATCACCAATGTAGATGAGGCGCCCACCTTCACCGGTCCCGCTGCAGATGGCAGTACCAGGACCAATGTAGCCGAGAACTCTGTCACAGGAACATCCGTGTATGCTGTGGTAGCTTCTGATCCCGAAGGGGCTACCTTGACCTTCAGCCTGGTGACACCTCCTGCTCAGTTCACCATCACCACCCTCGGCGAGATACAAGTAGCCACTGCAACCATCGACTTTGAAACACAAGCATACTATGCCCTGACAGTCAGGTTCGTAACCATTTTCACAGTTACACATTTAATACTCAATACCGAAAAAAAGTGTTAGTTAAAAAAAGTGAAATACCTAAATCACTTCGGTTTTCCTTAAATTGTCTCTAGATATAGATGGTTTACGTTATCTTAGAAAGGTGTCCTTTTACACATGTGATCTTTAACGTGGTGCTATGGACATAAGCCAAGAAAAGCAGTGAGTGTCAATGCAAAACATGCCTTCTGTATGAATATGTTCATTGCATTATGTTCACCTTTCAGAATAACTGATGGAACAAATCCTGTTGATGTTGTCCTTAACGTCGATATTACCGACGTCAACGAATCACCAAGCTTCACAAATATTGCATCAGATGGCAGTACTAATGTCAATATAGCTGAGGACTCTGGGACCGGGACGTCTGTATTGTCTGTGGTGGCATCAGACCCGGAAGGAGATACACTGACAATATCTCTGGTGTCTGCCCCTACCGAGTTCACTCTCAATGCAGCAAACCAGATTCAGGTGAACGGAGCTCTGGACTTTGAAACTACACCGTCTTACACACTTACGGTCAGGTAGGAAATACGTTCTGCTGCTTTCAATGCCATGATGCTAGTAGATAAGATTACGAATATATATTGAATGGTATTGAGTATCTACCAACTTCACTGTGTATACTTTCAGAGTAACAGACGGAACAAATGCAGATGTTGACCACACCATGACGGTGACAATCACCAATGTAGATGAGGCGCCCACCTTCACCAGTCCCGCTGCAGATGGCAGTACCAGGACCAATGTAGCCGAGAACTCTGTCACAGGAACATCCGTGTATGCTGTGGTAGCTTCTGATCCCGAAGGGGCTACCTTGACCTTCAGCCTGGTGACACCTCCTGCTCAGTTCACCATCACCACCCTCGGCGAGATACAAGTAGCCACTGCCACCATCGACTTTGAAACACTAGCATACTATGCCTTGACAGTCAGGTTGGTAACCATCCTCATTATATCACATGTAAAACTCACTGCCGAAAAATAGTGTTAGTTCAAGTAAAAGGGAATACCTAAATCTCCTCGTTTCTCTTTAAATTGTCTCTAGATATAGATGGTTTCCCTTATCATAGGAAGGGTTCCTTTAAAATGTCATATGTCACGTGAATATTGTTATTCGATACACCTTTCGACATCAATTGATACGTTGTTGAAAATCAACTGTGGCCATTCTGGATACTATATTCAGAAGATGTGATCGACTTTACACATGTGTTCTATGACGTGGTGCTATGGACATAAGTCAAGAAAAGCAGTGAGTTGCAATACAAAACATGGCTTAAGTATGAATATTTTCATTGTATTATGTTCAATTTTCAGAATAACTGATGGAACAAATCCTGTTGATGTTGTCCTTAACGTTGATATTACCGACGTCAACGAATCACCAAGCTTCACAAATATTGCATCAGATGGCAGTTCTAATGTCAATATAGCCGAGGACTCTGGGACCGGGACGTCTGTATTGTCTGTGGTGGCATCAGATCCGGAAGGAGATACACTGACAATAACTCTGGTGTCTGCCCCTACCGAGTTTACTCTCAATGCAGCAAACCAGATTCAGGTGAACGGAGCTCTGGACTTTGAAACTACACCATCTTACACACTTACGGTCAGGTAAGAAATACGTTCTGCTACCTTCAATGCCATGATGCTAGTAGATAAGATTACGAAAATATTGAATGGTATTGAGTATCCACCTTCTTCACTGTGTATGCTTTCAGAGTAACAGACGGAACAAATGCAGATGTTGACCACACCATGACGGTGACCATCACCAATGTGGATGAGGCGCCCACCTTCACCAGTCCCGCTGCAGATGGCAGTACCAGGACCAACGTAGCCGAGAACTCTGTCACAGGAACATCCGTGTATGCTGTGGTAGCTTCTGATCCCGAAGGGGCTACCTTGACCTTCAGCCTGGTGACACCTCCTGCTCAGTTCACCATCACCACCCTCGGCGAGATACAAGTAGCCACTGCCACCATCGACTTTGAAACACTAGCATACTATGCCTTGACAGTTAGGTTGGTAACCATCCTCATTATATCACATGTAATACTCACTGCTGAAAAATAGTGTTAGTTAAAGTAAAAAGGGAGTACCTAAATCTCTTCGTTTCTCTTTAAAGTGTCTCTAGATAAAGATGGTTTGCGTTATCATAGGAAGGGTTCCTTTACAATGTCATATGTCACGTGAATGTTGTTATTCGATACACCTTTCGACATCAATTGATACGTTGTTGAAAATCAACTGTGGCCATTTCTGGATACTATATTCAGAAGATGTGATCGACTTTACACATGTGATCTATGACGTGGTGTTATCGACACAAGCCAAGAAAAGCAGTGAGTTGCAATACAAAACATGGCTTAAGTATGAATATGTTCATTGCATTATGTTCACCTTTCAGGATAACTGATGGAACAAATCCTGTTGATGTTGTCCTTAACGTTGATATTACCGACGTCAACGAATCACCAAGCTTCACAAATATTGCATCAGATGGCAGTACTAATGTCAATATAGCCGAGGACTCTGGGACCGGGACGTCTGTATTGTCTGTGGTGGCATCAGACCCGGAAGGAGATACACTGACAATATCTCTGGTGTCTGCCCCTACTGAGTTCACTCTCAATGCAGCAAACCAGATTCAGGTGAACGGAGCTCTGGACTTTGAAACTACACCGTCTTATACACTTGCGGTCAGGTAAGAAATACGTTCTGCTACCTTCAATGCCATGATGCTAGTAGATAAGATTACGAAAATATTGAATGGTATTGAGTATCCACCTTCTTCACTGTGTATGCTTTCAGAGTAACAGACGGAACAAATGCAGATGTTGACCACACCATGACGGTTACCATCACAAATGTAGATGAGGCGCCAACCTTCACCAGTCCCGCTGCAGATGGCAGTACCAGGACCAACGTAGCCGAGAACTCTGTCACAGGAACATCCGTGTATGCTGTGGTAGCTTCTGATCCCGAAGGGGCTACCTTGACCTTCAGCCTGGTGACACCTCCTGCTCAGTTCACCATCACCACCCTCGGCGAGATACAAGTAGCCACTGCCACCATCGACTTTGAAACACTAGCGTACTATGCCCTTACAGTTAGGTTGGTAACCATCCTCATTATATCACATGTAATACTCACTGCTGAAAAATAGTGTTAGTTAAAGTAAGAAGGGAGTACCTAAATCTCCTCGTTTCTCTTTAAATTGTCTCTAGATATAGATGGTTTCCCTTATCATAGGAAGGGTTCCTTTACAATGTCATATGTCACGTGAATATTGTTATTCGATACACCTTTCGACATCAATTGATACGTTGTTGAAAATCAACTGTGGCCATTCTGGATACTATATTCAGAAGATGTGATCGACTTTACACATGTGTTCTATGACGTGGTGCTATGGACATAAGTCAAGAAAAGCAGTGAGTTGCAATACAAAACATGGCTTAAGTATGAATATTTTCATTGTATTATGTTCAATTTTCAGAATAACTGATGGAACAAATCCTGTTGATGTTGTCCTTAACGTTGATATTACCGACGTCAACGAATCACCAAGCTTCACAAATATTGCATCAGATGGCAGTTCTAATGTCAATATAGCCGAGGACTCTGGGACCGGGACGTCTGTATTGTCTGTGGTGGCATCAGATCCGGAAGGAGATACACTGACAATAACTCTGGTGTCTGCCCCTACCGAGTTTACTCTCAATGCAGCAAACCAGATTCAGGTGAACGGAGCTCTGGACTTTGAAACTACACCATCTTACACACTTACGGTCAGGTAAGAAATACGTTCTGCTACCTTCAATGCCATGATGCTAGTAGATAAGATTACGAAAATATTGAATGGTATTGAGTATCCACCTTCTTCACTGTGTATGCTTTCAGAGTAACAGACGGAACAAATGCAGATGTTGACCACACCATGACGGTGACCATCACCAATGTGGATGAGGCGCCCACCTTCACCAGTCCCGCTGCAGATGGCAGTACCAGGACCAACGTAGCCGAGAACTCTGTCACAGGAACATCCGTGTATGCTGTGGTAGCTTCTGATCCCGAAGGGGCTACCTTGACCTTCAGCCTGGTGACACCTCCTGCTCAGTTCACCATCACCACCCTCGGCGAGATACAAGTAGCCACTGCCACCATCGACTTTGAAACACTAGCATACTATGCCTTGACAGTTAGGTTGGTAACCATCCTCATTATATCACATGTAATACTCACTGCTGAAAAATAGTGTTAGTTAAAGTAAAAAGGGAGTACCTAAATCTCTTCGTTTCTCTTTAAAGTGTCTCTAGATAAAGATGGTTTGCGTTATCATAGGAAGGGTTCCTTTACAATGTCATATGTCACGTGAATGTTGTTATTCGATACACCTTTCGACATCAATTGATACGTTGTTGAAAATCAACTGTGGCCATTTCTGGATACTATATTCAGAAGATGTGATCGACTTTACACATGTGATCTATGACGTGGTGTTATCGACACAAGCCAAGAAAAGCAGTGAGTTGCAATACAAAACATGGCTTAAGTATGAATATGTTCATTGCATTATGTTCACCTTTCAGGATAACTGATGGAACAAATCCTGTTGATGTTGTCCTTAACGTTGATATTACCGACGTCAACGAATCACCAAGCTTCACAAATATTGCATCAGATGGCAGTACTAATGTCAATATAGCCGAGGACTCTGGGACCGGGACGTCTGTATTGTCTGTGGTGGCATCAGACCCGGAAGGAGATACACTGACAATATCTCTGGTGTCTGCCCCTACTGAGTTCACTCTCAATGCAGCAAACCAGATTCAGGTGAACGGAGCTCTGGACTTTGAAACTACACCGTCTTATACACTTGCGGTCAGGTAAGAAATACGTTCTGCTACCTTCAATGCCATGATGCTAGTAGATAAGATTACGAAAATATTGAATGGTATTGAGTATCCACCTTCTTCACTGTGTATGCTTTCAGAGTAACAGACGGAACAAATGCAGATGTTGACCACACCATGACGGTTACCATCACAAATGTAGATGAGGCGCCCACCTTCACCAGTCCCGCTGCAGATGGCAGTACCAGGACCAACGTAGCCGAGAACTCTGTCACAGGAACATCCGTGTATGCTGTGGTAGCTTCTGATCCCGAAGGGGCTACCTTGACCTTCAGCCTGGTGACACCTCCTGCTCAGTTCACCATCACCACCCTCGGCGAGATACAAGTAGCCACTGCCACCATCGACTTTGAAACACTAGCGTACTATGCCCTTACAGTTAGGTTGGTAACCATCCTCATTATATCACATGTAATACTCACTGCTGAAAAATAGTGTTAGTTAAAGTAAGAAGGGAGTACCTAAATCTCCTCGTTTCTCTTTAAATTGTCTCTAGATATAGATGGTTTGCTTTATCATAGGAAGGGTTCCTTTACAATGTCATATGTCACGTGAATGTTGTTATTCGATACACCTTTCGACATCAATTGATACGTTGTTGAAAATCAACTGTGGCCATTTCTGGATACTATATTCAGAAGATGTGATCGACTTTACACATGTGATCTATGACGTGGTGTTATCGACACAAGCCAAGAAAAGCAGTGAGTTGCAATACAAAACATGGCTTAAGTATGAATATGTTCATTGCATTATGTTCACCTTTCAGGATAACTGATGGAACAAATCCTGTTGATGTTGTCCTTAACGTCGATATTACCGACGTCAACGAATCACCAAGCTTCACAAATATTGCATCAGATGGCAGTACTAATGTCAATATAGCCGAGGACTCTGGGACCGGGACGTCTGTATTGTCTGTGGTGGCATCAGATCCGGAAGGAGATACACTGACAATAACTCTGGTGTCTGCCCCTACCGAGTTCACTCTCAATGCAGCAAACCAGATTCAGGTGAACGGAGCTCTGGACTTTGAAACTACACCATCTTACACACTTACGGTCAGGTAGGAAATACGTTCTGCTACTTTCAATGCCATGATGCTAGTAGATAAGATTACGAAAATATATTGAATGGTATTGAGTATCCACCTTCTTCACTGTGTTTTCCTTCAGAGTAACAGACGGAACAAATGCAGATGTTGACCACACCATGACGGTGACCATCACCAATGTAGATGAGGCGCCCACCTTCACCAGTCCCGCTGCAGATGGCAGTACCAGGACCAACGTAGCCGAGAACTCTGTCACAGGAACAGTCGTGTATGCTGTGGTAGCTTCTGATCCCGAAGGGGCTACCTTGACCTTCAGCCTGGTGACACCTCCTGCTCAGTTCACCATCACCACCCTCGGCGAGATACAAGTAGCCACTGCAACCATCGACTTTGAAACACAAGCATACTATGCCCTGACAGTCAGGTTCGTAACCATTTTCACAGTTACACATTTAATACTCAATACCGAAAAAAGTGTTAGTTAAAAAAAGTGAAATACCTAAATCACTTCGTTTTTCCTTAAATTGTCTCTTGATATAGATGGTTTACGTTATCTTAGAAAGGTGTCCTTTTACAATGTCATATGTCACGTGAATGGTGTTATTCAATCCTTTTGACAACAATTGATAACACATGCATTATTGAAAATCCAATGAAAGCAGTTATGTTACCTCTATATAATATAATGTGTTTCTGAAATGTCACACTTTTTTATGGATGCATTAACTGCATAACATACCAAAAGGTACAACAGTTACTGAGGCCATTTCTAGATAATAAATTCAGAAGATGTGACCGGCTTTACACATGTGATCTTTAACGTAGTGCTATGGACATAAGCAAAGAATAGCAGTGAGTGTCAATGCAAAACGTGCCTTATGTATGAATATGTTCATTGCATTATGTTCACCTTTCAGGATAACTGATGGAACACATCCTGTTGATGTTGTCCTTAACGTTGATATTACCGACGTCAACGAATCACCAAGCTTCACAAATATTGCATCAGATGGCAGTACTAATGTCAATATAGCCGAGGACTCTGGGACCGGGACGTCTGTATTGTCTGTGGTGGCATCAGACCCGGAAGGAGATACACTGACAATAACTCTGATGTCTGCCCCTACCGAGTTCACTCTCAATGCAGCAAACCAGATTCAGGTGAACGGAGCTCTGGACTTTGAAACTACACCGTCTTATACACTTACGGTCAGGTAAGAAATACGTTCTGCTACCTTCAATGCCATGATTCTAGTTGATAAGATTACGAAAATATTGAATGGTATTGAGTATCTACCATCTTCACTGTGTATACTTTCAGAGTAACAGACGGAACAAATGCAGATGTTGACCACACCATGACGGTGACCATCACAAATGTAGATGAGGCGCCCACCTTCACCAGTCCCGCTGCAGATGGCAGTACCAGGACCAACGTAGCCGAGAACTCTGTCACAGGAACATCCGTGTATGCTGTGGTAGCTTCTGATCCCGAAGGGGCTACCTTGACCTTCAGCCTGGTGACACCTCCTGCTCAGTTCACCATCACAACCCTCGGCGAGATACAAGTAGCCACTGCCACCATCGACTTTGAAATACTGGCATACTATGCCTTGACAGTTAGGTTGGTAACCGTGCTTAAAGTAGCACATTTAATACTCACTGCCGAAAAATAGTGTTAGTTCAAGTAAAAGGGGATACCTAAATCTTTTCGTTTCTCCTTAAACTGTCTCTAGATATAGATGGTTTACGTTATCCTAGGAAGAGTTCCTTTTACAATGTCATATGTCACGTGAATGTTGTTATACCATCCACCTTTCGACATCAACTGTTAACACAAACGTTGTTGTAAATCAAATCAAAGTAGTTACGTTACCTACATGATATACTATGTTTATCAAAATGTTACATTGTTTTATATACTTCTTTACTGTATTAGATACTAAAGTACAACAGTTACTATGGGTATTTCTGGATAATACATTCAGAAGATGTGACCGACTTTACACGTGTGATCTTTAACGTGGTGCTATGGACATAAGCCAAGAAAAGCAGTGAGTGTCAATGCAAAACATGCCTTATGTATGAATATGTTCATTGCACTATGTTCTCCTTTCAGAATAACTGATGGAATAAATCCTGTTGATGTTGTCCTTAACGTTGATATTACCGACGTCAATGAATCACCAAGCTTCACAAATATAGCATCAGATGGCAGTACTAATGTCAATATAGCCGAGGACTCTGGGACCGGGACGTCTGTATTGTCTGTGGTGGCATCAGACCCGGAAGGAGATACACTGACAATAACTCTGGTGTCTGCCCCTACCGAGTTTACTATCAATGCAGCAAACCAGATTCAGGTGAACGGAGCTCTGGACTTTGAAACTACACCATCTTACACACTTACGGTCAGGTAAGAAATACGTTCTGCTGCTTTCAATGCCATGATGCTAGTAGATAAGATTACGAAAATATATTGAATGGTATTGAGTATCCACCTTCTTCACTGTGTTTTCCTTCAGAGTAACAGACGGAACGAATGCAGATGTTGACCACACCATGACAGTGACCATCACCAATGTAGATGAGGCGCCCACCTTCACCAGTCCCGCTGCAGATGGCAGTACCAGGACCAACGTAGCCGAGAACTCTGTCACAGGAACATCCGTGTATGCTGTGGTAGCTTCTGATCCCGAAGGGGCTACCTTGACCTTCAGCCTGGTGACACCTCCTGCTCAGTTCACCATCACCACCCTCGGCGAGATACAAGTAGCCACTGCCACCATCGACTTTGAAACACTAGCATACTATGCCTTAACAGTCAGGTTGGTAACCGTGCTTAAAGTAGCACATTTAATACTCACTGCTGAAAAATAGTGTTAGTTCAAGTAAAAGGGAATACCTAAATCTTTTCGTTTCTCCTTAAACTGTCTCTAGATATAGATGGTTTACGTTATCCTAGGAAGAGTTCCTTTTACAATGTCATATGTCACGTGAATGTTGTTATTCCATCCACCTTTCGACATCAACTGTTAACACAAACGTTGTTGTAAATCAAATCAAAGTAGTTACGTTACCTACATGATATACTATGTTTATCAAAATGTTACATTGTTTTATATACTTCTTTACTGTATTAGATACTAAAGTACAACAGTTACTATGGGTATTTCTGGATAATACATTCAGAAGATGTGACCGACTTTACACATGTGATCTTTAACGTGGTGCTATGGACATAAGCCAAGAAAAGCAGTGAGTGTCAATGCAAAACATGCCTTCTGTATGAATATGTTCATTGCATTATGTTCACCTTTCAGGATAACTGATGGAACAAATCCTGTTGATGTTGTCCTTAACGTCGATATAACCGACGTCAACGAATCACCAAGCTTCACAAATATTGCATCAGATGGCAGTACTAATGTCAATATAGCCGAGGACTCTGGGACCGGGACGTCTGTATTGTCTGTGGTGGCATCAGACCCGGAAGGAGATACACTGACAATAACTCTGGTGTCTGCCCCTACCGAGTTCACTATCAATGCAGCAAACCAGATTCAGGTGAACGGAGCTCTGGACTTTGAAACAACACCATCTTACACACTTACTGTAAGGTATGTATCAGCCATATTCTAACAAGGAGGTACATGGTTGAACTTTGAGACTGTATCGGATCACACAACAATGTTGCATGAAGTCGTCATGAACGTTTTGTTTACATTATGGTGCATGTGTGTTCGTTTGTCTTATTTAAACTGAATGTGACAACACTTATTGTGATACCTCCTTGTCAGAATGATGAGATGTAATTGGTCCACGTGATCGTGATAAAATGCTATGTATCCCGACTTGGCGGAAAATATATTTCTCAACGGTAGAATAAATCCCTTATACCCCGACACGAATAAGACAGGCTGCCTAAAACTACATGGATCCCCTGTGATACTGTTAAAACATATAGTTTTCAACCATATGCATGCTTCAGGGTAACCGATGGAACGAACACACCTGTGGACCACACCATGACAGTGACTATTACTGATGTGAATGAAGCTCCAACCTTCACCAACCTTGCAACAGATGGAAGTACAAGAGTATCCGTAGCGGAAAATTCAGTGACAGGAACATCCATATTTGCTGTTATTGCTAACGACCAGGAAGGAGATCCCTTAACAATATCGCTCGTGGCGCCACCAGCTCAGTTTACAATCGTGTCCGGTGAGGTTCAGGCTGGAGCTATGACCACTGACTATGAAACACAAACGGTTTTTGTATTGTCAGTCAGGTAAGGCTGATTACTGAGTATTTCATTTCTGTGTGAGTACAGATAAGTTTAGTTGAGTTCCTTATTCAGGGTATTCCGTGTAAAACACGCTTACGTCATGTTTGGATGGGGCGGTAAATCAATATATTTTTAAATGAGACCAGTTCAACGTGAATGAATATGGAAAATATTCGATTCTGAGATGTTTCAAATCACAATAACCACCTCTAATTGAAACACGTGATTTGACGGTCACATTGCCCCGAGAAAAATAAAATAATTTCTTAATCGGTTCGCATTTGAACAATTGAATCATGTGTATAATTATGGGTTATAAATTATTTTATATATCCGACTGTGTCAAATTTGTTGCTTCAGAATGAGATTGTGACGTCATAATGTGATTTGAATTGCTTAATTGACTTCAGCTCACTTCATGCTGGATACACGTTCGCTCCTAGTTTAAATTAATTCCGTTTACATCTACAGGTAACCTTGCTCCACATTGAAAACATACCACGTTTTGCTTTTCTACAGAAGAGGCATACGGTCTTCATTTTGGGAAGGAAATCGATTGGTTGATGGTTGTTGAGTGTTCGTTCCAGTTGGAGTGAAAATACCAACATCATTCTATAATAAGAACAAAGGCTATTTTTAGAAAACTGCGGTTATAACGAACTGAAAGGGACCACTAATTTTAGTTCGTTATAACCGTAGTTCGTTATAAGCATGTATACAAGAAATGACCGGGACTAAAAATAAGTTCGTTATATCAGTCAGTTCGTTATAAGCGTGTTCGTTTTAAACGTAGTGTACTGTATAGTTATATGCAAAACGTTTTTAAGGGTGACTGATGGTACATCAACTGTGGATGCTACACTCAACGTTGATATTCTGGACATCAATGAGCCGCCTGTTGTGTCAAACCTCGCGACAGATGGCAGCTCATCCGTTAATGTTGCTGAAGACGCTGGTGTAGGTGCCTCTGTGTTTGATGTCACAGCAACTGACCCCGAGGGCGCCACCTTGACCTTCAGCCTTCTCAGTGGACCGGCTGAATTTACGATAACTTCCACTGGACAGGTGCAAGTTAATGCAGCACTGGATTTTGAAACCACCCCTTCATACACACTTAATGTCAGGTCGGTATCCCTCCTACACATCACAAACATAAATTGTTAGATATAGATCAGCGTTACAGTTATTCAAGTACAGTGAGCTGTATTGATATTGTGTTATTGCGTGTGTTGTGTGCCACCAGTAGGGCAGGACATGACTACCCTTTTCACGAACACCCTGTGTCATTACTGATTTGCAGTGTCCCATTCATATAGTTTTCACAGCTATTTTGCCCTTCACGCTAAATGGAATATGTAGATGATCATCTGGACTGATTATTCTCTTGCATTGAGACTTTATTGTATATTATGCACAGGGTAAGCGATGGAACAAATGATGTCGACCGTGTACTAACTGTAGGAATAACAGACGTGAACGAAGCTCCTACCTTCACGAACGTTGCGACTGATGGCAGCACGAGAACCTCCATTCCAGAAAACTCCGCAACTGGGACGTCCATCTTTACGTTGGTCGGTACTGACCAGGAAGGAACAGCTGTCATATTCACACTGGTCAGCCCTCCCAGCGTCTTCTCCATCACCGGAGCAGAGATTCAGGTGGCAGGGGGACTCGACACAGAGACTACAGCAACATACGCGGTGACTGTAAGGTAGGAATACGCACAAAACTAGTACACACATGGCATCCAATTAATATCACGACGGAAGACACTGACAATGGGTTTTACACATTCATGTGTGATCCAGGGCTCGTCATGACAACAATATATCCTGCTATCGTGATGTAAGTTTACGTACATTATTGTCTTAACACGAGCGTGTGAAACACAAGGAATGAGGTGAGGTAAAAATTGGGTTTAACGTCGCGTCCAAGATTATTGCACTTATATAGCGACGTGCATGTACGTGTGTGTTTGTGTGGCTGCTTGTACTAGTCCAGACTGATGCCGATTTATAGTGCTAGCTCACTGAGATACCATGCCGCAGTTTAACATGAATACCCCACTCAGACACAGTATACTGACTCCGAGCCGACCAGTCCTTGTTTTAGCCCCTTAATGCCGAGCGCCAGACAGGGTAACAACAAGTACCATCTTTTAACGTATTTTGGTATGACGCGGCCGGGGATCGAACCCCGGACCTTCCGCTCTCCGGGTGGACGCTCTGCCACTAGACCACGGAGGCGGTCAACAAGGAATGAGCCTACCCATGTATTAGTGGAGTGGAGATGAAGGAAAAGCCTATGCTACTACTCCCAAGCGCGTTCCCTTTATACAACATATAATTAAAGCACCTGCGGTTTGACATGCTTAACAACACTATCGTGAACTACACATTTGCTTCCATTACATTGAATGTACATTATTTGTTTTTGTCTTATTTCTTTGTTTGTTTGTTGTTAAAGGCCACACTCAGCAATATGTCAGCTCTATGAAGGTGGTCTGCAAATAATAGAGTCTGGACGACACAATCCAGTGATTGATATCATAAGCATCGATCCACGCAATTGACATACGATGACATGCATCAAGCAAGTCAACATCCATTCAATCGCCTCGGACGACAAACATAGGCTCCCTTAGTTAGGGACTTTATTCTCACCCGCAACCTTCAAGCGTTCCATGTTGCAGTTGTGAGAAGCTAGATGAAAAATGTTTGTCCAACATACCGCTTTAGAAACTAGGTTTTGGAAATAATTAGTCCATACTGCGCTGTGTCTCTTTATATGTCATTATCCATGATGCTTGATGTTACAATATGTTTTTTTCAGGATATCTGACGGAGTAAATTCTGTTGACTCCGTCTTGAATATTGACGTGACAAATGTGAATGAGGCTCCCGGTTTCACTAATATTGCAACTGACGGCAGCACGAGGATATTAATCATGGAAACAGCGAGTATTGGTACGTCTGTGCTTAGTGTAGGAGCACTTGACCCGGAAGGTGACGCTGTGACCTTGACCTTAGTGTCACCTCCTACAGAGTTCATCATAAATGCCGGGGGACAAATCCAAGTAAATGCTGCACTCAACTATGAAACAACGTCGACATACGTCCTTACGATACGGTAATATTTTACTGCCGCTTCAATAACCTTCTCATACGTGACCTTTGGGATGCAGTTTTGGTCCGGTGACATTATCTCATTGAAGCAGACACGTGTTCTAAATTAAAGATGTTGTAAACAATTCATGAACTTGAACATGTTAGTTCATGTTTACGTTTGTTGAACTGTTGTAACTGACTCATGTCTATTACGTCAGTAATCTTTAGGGTTGGTGGGGTAGCCTAGTGGTTAAAACGTTCGGTCGCCACGACCCGTGTTCGATTCCCCACATGGGTACAATAAGTGAAGCCTATTTCCGGTGGCTCCGCCGTGATATTGCTGGAATATTACTTAAAGCGGCGTAAAACTATACTCACTCACTAGTTATCTTTAAATATGAAACAAACAAGAACTGGTTATTCAATGGTGATGTATTTGCTCGGGTATCACAGGCGATATTATTTGTATCATATCAATAAGTATTTCAAAACAGGTCAGACTAGTAACGATTAAAAATGTTTGTAACTATTTTGGTAAAATCCAATTTTCAAGCGCATGCTTTCTTTTGCCTAGTATAAATCTGATTTACGTTTTAAGTCCACGTCAGATGCATTCCTATATTGCAGAGCAACTGATGGTACCCTGCAGACAGACATTCAGATGAGGGTGGACCTTGTCGATGTCAATGATGCGTCTCCGATCATCACAGGTCCACTAACTGCCCAACAGGATGAGGAGAAACCTGTAGGCACTATCGTGCCTTTCACATTCTCTGTGTCAGACCCGGATGCTGGTGATGTCCTCACGTATTCTTTGAGTGGTAAGTGACAGTACCGAATCACGATCATAAAAGCTTGAGTCCTTTGTACGATTCCGACTATACCATGAGTCGAGATTATGAATCACTATCAAATAGTGATGATAGTGTCCGAGAAATGGTATATCCTGCTCAACCTGTGGCTTCCGTCGTAAACACATCCAAAGGCAAGTCAATTGTTCACATGAGAAAATACGGGACCAAAAAAAGTGCAAAAAAAGAAACAGACCAACAAGAAGGAGAGCACAATTTATATCCAGGAATATCTTATATCTTATATCCAGGAATCCATGCTACCTACTTCATCATGGACACCAGCTCAGGACAGGTGAAGCTGGCCCAGGTTCTTGACTATGATGTCAGTGGAGCCGTCATTACCTTCGACCAGTTGATGATGACAGTGACTGACTCGTCAGGGAACAATGCTGTAGCAACTCTGATCCTCACACTGAAAGATCTCAATGACAACGCCCCAATCTGTACCCAGACTGTATATACCGCTGATGTGATAGAAAACGCTCCACTCAGTAAGTGTAACCTAAACATATATGATGATAATGTATATCCCGTGATTGTAAAACCAAATCAGTGGTCACAGCACAATGGATTAAGCTGACCGTTCTTCTGTAACAGATTCTGACGTTGCCACAGTAGTGTGTACAGATGCGGATGCTTCATCGCCCAATGGAGATATTTCAGTAGTTATCACCGGTGGAGATGACGGTAATCCGGATGAGAAGTTTAGTGTTTCTGGTCAGAAGGTGGTCACTACTTTTATACCTCTGGACTATGAGACCAAGACCTCTTACAGTCTAAGAATGGAAGCAGTGGATAGTGGTACGACACCTCTTACTGGAACCACTACTGTCATTGTTAATGTAAGTCCTTTTCTTGTTTGTTTTGCTTTATACTGAAATAAAATTCCCAGTATACGATGACAGCTTGAAAAATGTGTAATCTGGACATGACAAACTCGTCACCAAAATAATATTAATGATAACAATCAGGAGCCATCTCTTCTGGTCACCATTGCTTTGCCAACCTCTGAAGGACCCAGTACTATTATTATTTTCATAATGTTCTCAACATGTATAATAATGAAGTAATTTCACAGTTCTATTTGTGATACAACTTTAACTATTCTATGTTCAAGGTTCTACCAGAGAATGAAGGCACGCCTGCATGGGGAACCTTTGTGCCCGCATACGTATCTGGAACACCCTATCCAGTGTCAGAGAATGTCAACATTGGCACATCTGTTGTTACCATAGCAGCAACAGATTCAGATGCAGGGAATGATGGGACAATCACGTACACTCTGCTCTCAACAACAGCTGGTGAGATCATGCCTGTCTTGAACTATTGTGACATCAAGAGCATCTTTCAATAGCAAAATATTCATCTTTGACAGCTAAATCTTTTTTGTTCACATTGCCTTTTATGTCATACGTAACAATATGTCTTTTCTTCCATTTAGCTGGAGGGATCAGTGTGGCAGGGATTTTCCACTTAGATTCCGTGTCTGGGAAAATCTCAACAATGGCGTCTCTCGACCGTGAATCAGTTGCATCCTATGATGTAACAGTGCGAGCATCTGATGGGGGAACACCTGCCAAGACAGTAGATCGAACATTCACTATCTCTGCAGAAGATTACAACGACAATGCACCTGTCTTTACATCAGCGCCATATTCCAACTCCCCTCTGGAAACTGCAACAACGACTGCAGGGACAACAATAGTAGCAGTAGCCGCAACAGATGCTGATGCAACTTCAACTTTGGCATATGCAATAGAGGTTGGAGACTCCACTAGATTCCAGTTTGGTGCATCTGGTCTTGAACTGAAAACTGCAATAAACCTTGATAGTCCGGACAATGACCCTGACTACTATGTCCTCAGAATCATCGTGACAGATGGTGGAACTCCAGAACTGACTGGAACGACCTCTGTGACGGTATCCATCGTTGCAGTTAATGACCACGATCCTGCATTTGCTGCTGGATTCCCTTCAACTGTCCCGGTATGTAGTGCTTTTTTTCAAAATGTGATGCAATCGTGTATGATTATCTCATCTATTTATAACATTACTCACTGAGAAATTGACTATGCCTTATGATTTTAGTTTGCAGAAGATACTGCAGTGGGAACAGTTATTGAAACTGTGGCTGCCACAGATCCTGATGCTGGCATTGATGGACAAATCACGTATTCCATTACTAGTAAGTAAAAGAAATAACCGTTTTCATCAAAACTGATGCTGTAATGGGTATTTGGTCAGTCAGTATAATGTCGGTATTAAAGAAAATGTTCAAATGAAACATAAGATGTATACAACTTCCAGAGGGTGATTGGCCAATTATAGGTTACAAATCACAATAACCTCGTCTGATAGAAACAGCCGATAGAAAACCGCATCACCAATAAGCTAATAGACATAGAAAAATATGATGTTCTCAAACATTGAAGAGCAGAGTAGCCGTAATCACAATATTCAACGAATGTGTGGCAATACATTTTGGGCACAAAACAGGATAGAAAGATACGATTCCGACAATGTCATGAACATGTGTTTATGAGTCAGTATTAAACTGTGATGATACCAGGTGTTTTCGTAAAAAGGTGACTAGTGGCACCCGTCACAAAGACTGCAAAAGCAAGTCAATTGTTCACCTGAAAAAAGACACGGAAAGATCATTGTCAGTGTTTCCTTAATTCAGTGCAACAACCCACTTAAAACGTCAACGAGTTCACGCTTATTTATGTCATGGTAGAATGGAAATAAACAGTGTGTTATCAGTGTAGGGATGCATTACCTGTTGATTGAACCGCGCTAAATCACCATTTAAATTTTCACGCGGGTTCTGTTCCTAAGCTAGTTCTTCACAGCAAACACAGTGTATGTTTATTCCAAAACACAGATATCTCATAACGATGTATAAGTATACACCGGACATAACTCTTTTAATTTGCAGATGGGAATACCAACACCGACTTCAGCATAGATCCAACTTATGGTATCATCAAGCTACAAAACACATTAAATTTTGAGACGACCCCTTCCTACACTCTGGAAGTGACTGCTAGTGATGGTGGAGGGACAGTGAGATCCGCCACAACAATAGTGACAGTCTCAGTCACCAACATCAACGACAACTTGCCGTCATGTCCTTCATATGCTGTGTACGTGACTGTACTTGAGAGCAGCAGTGTCAATGATGTGGTATGTATGACTTTAAAATGTTATTTTACATATATGAGTGAGTGAGTAAAATTAAACGTCACATCGGCAATATTTCAGTTATATCGTGACGACTGCAGATATGAGCATAATGTATTAATTCAAGTATCAATTATTGTGCATGTTTGACAGTTATTTGAACATGTCCTGAGTACCAACTATGGTTGTGTGCAGGTAACAACGCTATCCTGCACTGATGCTGACACAACTGATGTCCTGTCTTATACAATTCTCTCTGGAAATGCTGATGGAAGTTTTGCCCTCGATGGAAGCACTGGTTCTCTTTCCTTAGCTGGAAGTAAGTTGTTGTGGTATTATTACTTTCTTTATCAAAATAAGAAAATCATCTGTATTTTAAAATAAGTGCATATTCCAATGTTTCCAACTATTGTTCAATATTTTCAGCTGTGGACTACGATTCTGCCACTACGTCGTACACCCTGCAGATACAAGTCAGTGACGGGACCAACTCGAGGACTGTCACTGTTTACGTAGATGTCGGTGCGGTAAATGAAGTCACGCCCACTTTTGCAACACCTTTCCCTGCAGTGTCTGTATCTGAGAGTGACTCTCCTGGATCTACAGTCCACACCTACACTGCTGCAGATTCCGACTACGCACCCCATGCTGTCACAACGTATGCTATCAGCACAGGTGAGTAGCTTAATCCTACATGCTCAGTGGTATATGTTTCACCATTTGAAGCTGACAATACTGAGATTGGTTTTAGTGTAGGCAACAACCAGCAAGGTTAAATATTGATTGATTACCTGTATTGTCATAGTATTTGAAATAGAACATTGGTTTTTAATGTACATAAGTTAACTTTAGAAACCCAACAATAACAACACAACATGTGTGTTACCAGATTGTGTAGAAGTGTTTCAAACAATGTTAGTACTTGGGAATTGACGGTCTTGACACAATTCTAGACAATTATGAGCAGAAATCCAAAATGGGAACAATGTATCAATAAGGAATTTGTCCATACGCAAATAAATACTATGTGGAGTACAGATATTATACATGATGCAACAGTTGTTGCACTTCACAGAACTTTATTTTCATACATCTTTACATAAGATGAAGCCCAACTTCTCATTAGTAAAAAAAAGATTTTTATAGTGATGAAATTTTGCCTCTATCATATATTCAGTGACTCAAGGAGGACTGTCCCTGTTCAGCATTGACCAGTCCTCTGCTGTCATCACCTTGGCCTCCAGCGTGGACTATGACTCCCTCCCTGCTGGCACCAAGTTCTATCTCCTCACCCTCACAGCTACAGATGGGGGTGGTCTTCAGGCAAGTACCATGTAGGCTGCACACATAGATCCCATAACATCTTATAAAAGGGTTATTTGTCCATTTGCAACATACTTATTCACTTGCCACTATTATCTTTCTCGTAGGGCACTGGCACAGTAACAGTTAGTGTGACAGACGCCAACGACAACATCCCCTCCTGCTCTCAATCCAGCTGGTCACAGAATGTGGCAGAGAATGTCGGTAAGAACATGTTTGGTAAAATATTCTGGTATCTACACCAAAACGTAACATGGCGTCCAGTTTATTGTTTGTGTTTACCTATATACCTTCCAGACATGCGCTTTAAAGACGATGGTTATGTGTATTCCTCAGATTGTATAATCCATGCCCATTATAATTAATTGTTTCTGAATTGGTCTGTTTCAGCTACATTCCCCACAACACTTATTGCAAGTTTGGGATGCTCAGATGTTGAAGATGGGACATCATTGGTGTATAATCTTGTGCAGAGTCCAGGGTCCCACTTTGGGGTAACTTCAGGAGTTGTAACAATAGAAAGTGAGTAGAACCTCATAACAAGTGCCAAAAGAGTGAGTGATTGTGGGTTAAATGTCGCTTTTGACAGTAATCCAGTTATAGGTCGGCATGTTATCTAAATGAGCAAAGAAAGATTTGAACCATTTCGCTAAGCACTGGTATCATGCTTACAGAAAAAGCATCGATATAGACATTTATCCTCGATTCAGATCAAACCTTTAGAGACAACAGTGAGCTGTTGTGCCTCAGACTTATGTTACCACTAGCCTTCATGTATCCTGTTATATATCAACAAAACCATTCTAACACTTCAGATGCTGTCGATTACGAGGCAAACACTGGTCACACTTTGACAATCACTGTCTCTGATACCGGCAGCCCTGTACAATCAACAACAGTCACAGTTAACATAAACGTCATCAATGTTAATGATGGCCCACCTACATTTTCTGGAACATTTTCCTCCACCATTGCTGAAGACAGCACCATTGGGATCTCTGTTGCCGACGTTGAAGCCACAGACCCTGATGGAAATAATGCTTTTGGAAGCCCTGTTTATTCTATTCAGGGTGGTGACCTCAATAATCAGTTTACCATAGATTCAAGTACAGGACGAGTGTCAACTATTGCTAACCTGGACAGAGAAACAAAAGCCTCGTATGATCTTGTCATCAAAGCCAAGGAAAGTGGAGACATTGGAACCGCCACAGTTATACTTACTGTAACAATCACAGACGTCAACGACAATACACCATCCTGCTCTCAGAATTCTTTTGTTGTAACAGTCAGTGAAGCTGAGAGTGCCGGATTTGGTGTCAACACATTCACTTGTACTGATGATGACACCACTGGAACTGTATCATACACTTTGTCAACTGGAGATACGACCAAGTTTGAAATGAGTTCAAATATTCTTCAGTTAAAGTTACCACTTGACTATGATTTTGGTGTGACAACATATGATGTTATTGTGACAGTATCCGACACTGCAAATAGTGTATCCATCCCTGGAACAATACACGTTGGAAACGTTAATGAGGCTCCGCCAGTGTTTTCCCCAGGTAAAAAATCTCAAATATACCATTGAACTTTATTGTAAGTGGGTCCTTAAAAATGATATATCATTATCACATTTTTTTCCAGCTGAGGACACATTTATAATAAAATACTACAAACAAATTCCAAATCACCAAGTCCTAGTGTCTGTTTTGTATAATGCATGTAAGGATGTAAATGTGATTCATGTGTCCATCAAGTACGTAACGATAAGTGTCCAGCTCACCCTTTTAACAGTCCAGCGCTCAACAATCTGATTGTGCAATGATTTATCCCTTTCTATAGCTTACATAGGGGTGTTCAACGGTACACAGATTCTTGCGTATTGCAAAGAAACATACTCATAAAATAGTATCTGACATGATTCAGCGTTGTCACAGCCTTTTGCGCTTTTCATAACATACCTTGTTTATTTCACTTTCAGTGATATATCCAGTATCCCACAGTGAAAATCTGGCACTGGCTTCCACAATAGCACAAGTTACAGCAACAGATGCAGACTCTGCTGCCACAGCAGATGGACAAATCACATTTGCCTTTGTAGCATCCTACCCTTTGTTTGCATTAGACTCAACTTCAGGCATCATCACGCTAGTGTCATCATTGGACAGAGAGACGGATGCAACTCACGACCTTCTAGTTACAGCAACAGACGGAACCACGACAGTAACAGCCACTGTCAGTTTGACTGTCACAGATGAAAATGACAACACTCCTGTGTTTGGCTCTGGGTCCTACAGGTATGGTTCTTTCTCTTCATCATACACAAATTGCACCCAGTACATGCCATGCCACTGACAACTTCAAATTGAACACTAGCAAAACTATTATCTGATACATAAGCGTTTTGTTATGAATGGATGGAATGAATGGTGCATTTTATCTTTCTTCTCAACAGTGGCAGTGTGTCTGAGACAGATGCTGTTGGAGCTAGTGTGGTGGTCACCATTGCAGCAACTGACATAGATGACCCTGCAATGGGAGGAAATGGACAAATAACATACTCAATCATCGGTATGTGAAGTGCAAGCAAAAGTAATACTAAGTGTGTCTTATACTGATGTTCTATTTGATGATACCTTTTCCCGAAACCATGTATAAACACCTTTACACTTCATTTGTTACAGGTGGTAATACAAACAGTGACTTCACAATCGATGCCAGCAATGGAGAGATCAAAACAGCCAAACTGTTGGACTATGAGACAGCAGTGTCCCACTCATTGACAGTGAAGGCAGTAGACAGAGCAGGTGATGCACAATCCAGGTCTGCCACAACAATTGTATCAATAACAGTCACTAATGTGAATGAGCATAGTCCAATATTTACCCCAACAACTATCATCAAGGCAGTACCAGAAATGACAGCCATTGGAACTCTCATACATCAGATTCTTGCAACTGATGCAGATAGTGGCACAGATGGAGATCTTACGTACACAATGACAGCTCACGCCACATTTGCCCTAGCATCCGATGGAGCTCTAACCTTAAAAGATAATCTGAACTATGCAACTGCCAGTACACACTCTCTTACTATGACAGCAACTGATAGTGGAACACCACCTAGAAGTACAGACGTTAGTGTTACAATCAACGTAGTTGACGACAACAATAACACGCCATCATGCTCCCCTAGTTCCACAACTGTCATTCAAAGAGAAGACCATACTGGTAATGTGGCTACTTTGTCATGCAGCGACTTGGATACAGGAGCAAGTGGAACACTTTCCTACATTATAGAATCCGTGAATGCTGTTGCTGGAAGTGGTTCATTTTCTGTTGATACGAGTGGTGCTGTCACTACAACAGGCTTGGATTATGAAACTGCAACTTCGCACTCCATCATAATAAGAGTCGAAGATGGTGCTGTCCCTGCGCTAAGCACATCAACTACAGTGATTGTGTCAGTGACAGACGTAAATGAGGCTGCTCCAGTATTCCTTGGAACGCCGTTCAACCCTTCCATGGCAGAATCGGAGGCAGTAGGATTTACGGTACTTACTGTGGCTGCAACTGATGCTGACACCGCAAATACTGTTACATATTCCCTGACAGACACAACAAATCTACTCATAGGATCTGCTACAGGAGTAATAACGCTGAAGGTTCAACAAGACAGAGAAACCAATCCAACTGTGACTGTTGATGTATGTGTCACTGATTCAGGCACAGTTGATGCAATCAAATCCACATGTGAGACTTTGACACTCACTATAACAGATGTCAATGATAACCTGCCAGTGTTTAATCCATCGTCATATACAACAAACGTAGATGAGAACACAGCTACAGGGACGACTGTGATGACAGTAACTGCAACAGATGCGGACGATCTAGGCTTTGGAACAATTACCTACTCCATACTAAGTGGCAACACAGACACTGTATTTAGCATTGCAGCAGGTGTTATCACAGTTACTGACAATACTGGCTTGGACTTTGAGAGGACCCAACTCTTTACTCTCACAGTGAGGGCTACTGATGGCGGGGGCCTGACTAGTGACGTCATAGTGTCCATAGGTGTCAATCCTATCAATGAAAATTCTCCAACATTCGCCCCGGCATCAAGCACAGAAATTGTTCCTGAGGACAGTGTACTGGGACATGTTGTTATAGATCTTGATGCTACAGACACTGATTCTGGACTAGATGGACAAGTAACCTACAGCATCATATCGGGATCACTTGGGAAGTTTGTGGTTGACTCATCAACTGGCATTGTGAGAGTAAGTGACGTCCTCGATGCCGAATCTGTGTTATTATACACTGTTACAGTCCAGGCAACGGATGCTGGCACTAATCCATCAACACTGAGTGGTACCTATATCCTAACTGTATCAGTGACTGATGTAAATGATGCAGCACCATCGTGCACTCAGGCATACTACTCCACTGCCATAACTGAATCAACAGGACCAACAACGTCAGTTCAGCAAATCGTGTGTTCAGACTCGGATATAAACGCACCAAACAATGCCCTCAGTTATACCAAAATTGCAGGGGATCCAGGGAACCTGTTTGACCTGGATACTTCTACAGGATTGGTTTCTGTTGCTGCAGCAGCATCCTTTGATAGAGAGACAACTGCTTCATACCTTCTGAATGTTACTGTTACTGATGGTGGAGCCACACCGCTCTCTACAGTCATCCACGTCTTTGTCAGTATCACAGGTAGGTGATAGGTGTATCACAAGTAGGTGTAAATCGTGTTTACTCATGATTATAATTGTGTGAGGAACAAGTAAATACATAACATATTTCTTTATAGACGAGAATGACAACACTCCAGCATTTGGCCAGAACCCGTACACGCCCAGCATAGCTGAAGATGCCACCCCTGGATCAGCTGTTGCGACAGTAGCAGCAACAGATACAGATGCGGGTTCAAATGGTACATGGCAACACGCAAGATAAAATAAAACCTACAATCAGAATCATACCAAAATGATATGTTCCATCTCAAATATTGTTTCATTTGATGACAGCTTTAGATATATTGAATTGAGAATGATCACTCCATTACACTCTCATGCGTTGTTTTGTTTTGTTTTCAGGAGATGTAGTTTATTTCATTTCATCTGGCAATTCACTGGGTCACTTCACTGTGGACTCTGTGACAGGAGTTGTGTCTGTCCAGGCATCTCTTGACAGGGAGTCTTTATCTTCATATGTTTTGGAAGTCAAGGTTCAGGACAAAGGAACCCCTACAAGCCTTACTGGAACATCAACTGTTTCGATTACAATAACTGATGTCAATGACAACTTTCCTCTTTGTACCTCATCTGTATACACAGGCAATGTTCCAGAAGATGCTGCCCCAGCCACGTCCGTTGGCACTGTGTCCTGTCCAGATGCTGATGATCCTCCTAACAATAATGTTGTATACACAATCACAGCAGGCAACACCGGGAGCGTGTTTGCTGTTGGGTCTACATCAGGAGAGGTGACAGTGAATGCAGGACTTGATGCAGAAACACTGAGTGTGTACAATCTTATAGTGCAGGCTTCTGATGGAACCCTCACTACCTATGCCATTGTAACAGTCACAGTATCGGATGTCAATGAACATGACCCGGTCTTTGCGCCACCTGGACCCTACTCCGAGTCATTCAGTGAGGATACAGCTTTAGGAACTACTATTAAGGACATTAATGCCAACGATAATGATGTGTCTAATTCTGTTCTATCATTCAGCATAACTCTAGGAAACACAGATAACAAGTTTTGGATTGATCCAACATCAGGGACAGTTGTTCTTCAGGCAGCTCTTGACAGAGAAACCACAGACACATATTCCTTGACAATAGAAGTAGCTGATGGAACTGGAGCTGGAAGTCGCACAGCAACGACTCAGCTAACAGTATTAGTCCTCGATGTAAATGACAATGACCCGGTCTGTGCTCCTTCCAACTATATCAACACATTACCAGAAGATTCCAGTATTGGAACAACTGTAAGCAGTCTAACATGTTCTGATGCTGATTCTTCTACCCCTACCCTTGCTTACAGTATCACAACAGGCAACGGGGATGGCAAATTTACCATCGATGCTGCTTCTGGGGTGGTCACCATATTTGCTTTGCTCGATTATGAAACAAAGACTTCCTATAGCTTGGAAATTCAAGTATCTGACCAAGGGGGTACTGCAAGAGTTATCACTGTTCCTTTGAGTTTAGATGTAACTCCTATAAATGAAGCAGCCCCTGTATTTTCTGCGGTTACTCCTGTGGCTATTCAGGAAGACATCTCCATAGGAACGCCTGTGTGCACAGTAACAGCTACAGATACTGATAATGGTTTACTTCATGGGACAATTAGGTATTCTATAACAACTGGAAATGGTCTTGGACATTTTACAATCGACAAAGGAACAGGTGAAATCAAGACTGTAGGTAATTTAGACAGAGAAAGCATGGCCTCATACGCTTTGAAAATCCGTGCTACTGACGACTATGCTGGTTCAGGTAATGAGCGTAATTCTGAAGTGGATCTCAGTATAACAGTGGGTGATGTGAATGATAACATCCCTGTGTTTGTACCAGTCATCTACATCAAAGATGTCCTTGAGACAGCACCAAGTGGATCTACAGTGGCAGTAGTGACTTCGCGAGATGACGATGATGTCCCAAATGCAACACCTGTGTACACCATCTTATCGGGAAACACAGGAAATGTTTTAACATTTGTTGGAAATGAACTCATACTGGATACAGGAAAAACTTTCAATTATGAAATATTGACAAAGTATGACCTTGTTATTCAAGTTTCAGACAGTGGAACCCCATTATTGTCATCGAATGGCCGAATCATCATAAACGTACTATCAGAAAACGAGTTTGCTCCGATCCCTGCTGTCCCGAATGACAGCATTACCGTGAGCGAGCTCATTCCAGTGGGAACCAACTTTTACAATGCAAGTGCAGTAGATGGCGATGCAGGAACCGATGGAGAATTCTTATGGAGTATCACAAATGGAAATAGCCCTGAACTTTTCTTCTGCAGCCCACAGCTAGGAGAACTGTATACATCGTCCGTTCTAGATTACGACACACCTCCCAACTCTCACAATATTACTGTTGAAGCACAAGACAAAGGTGGCTTGACTGGGTCATTCTGGCTTGAAATTGTACTTCAGGATGAAAATGATGAATATCCAGTATTTTCTCAATCAATCTATACTCCTTTTCTGTATGAAAATGTCCCTATTGGTAGTGGTGTCACAACTGTTACTGCAACAGACAAAGACTCGGGGATCAATGGACAAGTCACCTACTCAATATTATCTGGAAGTGGCCAAACATACTTTGCAATTCACAGTACAACAGGTGTCATAACTACAGCCAAGGATATTGACCGTGAAGAGCATATAGAATTATTCCTTATTCTACAAGCCATCGATGGTGGAACGCCTCCTCTGTCTACTGTTGGAGTCGTCAAGGTGATCATAGTTGACCTTAATGATAATGCTCCTACATTCACACCTGACTACTTTGTTCAGAGTCTGTCAGAAGACACAACTGTGGGAACTAGTGTGACGACCGTCTATGCCAAAGATGCAGACTCTTCTGCTAACAACAATAACGTCTTCACCTACAGTCTCACTGATGCCTACTTTGATGTCAACCCAGGATCTGGGCAGATTTCAGTCAAAGCTCCTTTGGATAGAGAAACTATTTCAAGGTGATCAAACGTACAAATAGTGTCTGAAACATATTCCAATATAACACATCAACACCAGAGTAACTAGCCTCGATTATCTCCCCAAACAGATTCCATTTGGGGTAAGGTGCGAAATAGCTCTAAAAATAAAATTAAAATAAACAAAAAATATATAATAATAATGGAGTTCGTTATTGGTCATGTCTATATAATGTGTATATTCTGATCATTTTTGAGTTTTTAATCATAAGAGCTATTTCTATATTTTACAGCCACAACCTTACTATCTATGCAACAGACCTCGGGTCACCAGCCAATACGGGAACAGCACTTGTGACAGTCAACCTCCTAGATATCAACGATAACATACCGGACATAACAGGAAGCTACTCCACTAATCTGAGTGAGGACATCAGCCCTGGAACCATTGTGTTCACTATTGCAGCCTCTGACATAGATAGTGGTGTGAATGCTGAACTTGTGTACTCTATTGTGTCTGGAAACACTGATGGAGATTTCAAGGTTTGTCATCTGTTCACAGCATACACAGTCTTAAAAATCGATTTCTGATATATTAAACTGTGACCCTAAAATGACTTAAATGATATAAAATGTGACATAATCTATTGTTATTTGATTTTAAATTTCAGATAGAAATTGGGAGTGGTATTGTTCAAGTGGAGAATTCACTGGACAGGGAGAGAACCACGTCCTACAACCACGTCATCCATGTAACTGACAAGGGTACACCTCCACTGACTGCTTCTGTTACCACCACGATAGTAATCGATGATGTGAATGACAACAATCCAATCTTCAACTTATCACCATACACCTTCAACATAGCCGAAAACGTTCCTTCTGGGTCATCAGTTGGTACAGTACAAGCTACAGACCTAGACAGTCTAACAAATGCAGCTCTGACGTATGAGATTGTTGTCTTCTGGATTGGCGAAGCATCCCATTTCAACCTTGATCTTTCATCTGGAGTAATCACTACAGCAGCGAATCTGGACCGAGAAACTATTGACACATACAGTTTGAGATGTCGTGCTAAAGATGGTGGCACTCCACAATTAACTGGAGATGTGAATGTGACAATCGTGATTGATGACTTGAATGACAACCCACCCGTCTTCAACCCCATACAGTATACTGGATCGGTAAATGAAAATACGGTTGTGGGAACGAGCATATTGACCGTTACAGTCACTGATGCAGATGCCCACAATGGTGCCATAACTCTGTCAATCGACACTTCAACTCCTGAAGGGGTCAGAGGGGACCAGTTCTTAATAGTTGATCCTACTTCAGGTATTGTCAGTGTCAAGTCTGTTATGGACAGAGAGGTTGACGTGGAATTCAATGTGACCATTTTAGCTGTTGACAATGGGACAGTTCCACTGACAGCCTCAGCTATTGTTCACATCACAGTCATCGATGAAAATGACAATACCCCTGTCTTCAGCACAACCTTCTACAACGCTGAGATCGCCTACACAGGTTCCTGTGACAACACTATTTTGACTCTGACGGCGACTGATGCTGATTCCGGACCAAATGGTCAAGTGTCCTACTACCTTTCCCAGAATCCTTATGGATTTTTCTTTGCTGTTGGTGCCAATTCAGGTATTCTGATATATTTAGGCATTTATGAGATTATATGACTCATACAGTTTCTCACTATATAGTCTTGACTAAAGCAGTATGTTTGTTTCAAATCATTATTTGTGAATCTCTTATGTACTTGTCTCAAAAAAGATGAACGCCGCCCACCACTGCACTAACACTATTTTGACTTGAGTGCGACTGATGCTGATACTGGATCCGATGAACTAGTGTCCTAATCCTTTTCCCAGAACCCTTATGGATGTTTCTTTGTGGTTGATGCCAGTACAGGTATTTCAATATACTAATGCCAATTCAGGTACTTCAATATATTAACCTATGTATAGGATTATAAGATTTCTTGTTTTAATTACATTCTAAAAAGTATGTGATTTTCTTCCCCAGTATCTGGGATATTCTTGAACAGATGACAAGTGCTGATCATGTTAATATTTATTATATCTAGGTGTTGTGACGCTACAGACCCCAGTGTCAGTGAACACAAAGTATGTACTGGAAGCCTCAGGGAAGGACGGTGGTGTTTCTTCGAGAACCACCAACCCTGCAGCATCAATTCGTGTGGACACATTCGACCCCAACACAGTGGCCGTCATCATCAAACTTGGCATAAGCAAAGCCGATTTCCTCCTTAGAAAGGATCAGTTTGTGTCCCAATTCAAGACTGTCATGTCATCCAAATACCCATCTTGTCTTGTACGGGTCTGGTGCATCACAGAGCGATCGGGGGAGACGGCAGTAGCAGCACCAACAAGAAGGCGACTCCTGGCCTCAAGGTAATTGATGATAACTGTGTTAAACATACGATTACACCGCCTTAGCTAAAGTAAAGGTTCATCAACAGAGGATCTCCCAGGGTATAGTTATCATTAGCCTTATACACGAGAGGGGTGACAAAGCGTGGACATCGGAGTAGTCAACCTCCGCTCAGGTATACTTTCACCCAAAGAGGCCAACCAAGATTGTTAAGGGTGTGTCTTAAAAAACTTAAATGTGATTCGACAGATTACCATTTAAACTAACATAAGTGATAAGATCATCATGATTATGTGCAGCGTTTGCACTTTAAAAAGATGTTTTATAATTATACAATGAAGGCCCAAGTTACCGCCTAAAAGGTAACTGAAAACTAAGGGAATTTAACATTTATTATAAATAAGTAATAAAAATACAATGGGCGGTCTCTGAATATGGAACCTTGTCACAATAACTTATATTCAGATGCTATTTCTAACATAATTACAAATGCATATTCATCAATGTTGTTATTAATCTGATTTAGAACGTTAATACTGATATGTAAACTAGGGAACTAATTGATGTAAATACTCTGGTGTCATTGTTCTGTCGATACTCTAGTAAATGGTGTCTCTGGGATGCTCTCTTTCAGTCCAGTAGATGTCAACCTTGTTGTTGTTGCGGACAACTCAACCGACTCGTTAAGCAACCTGTCCCAGGGGAAGACTTTCCTCACTTCCAGTGCTGTCACCAGTGTGGTAGCGTCCGACCCGTCAGGGACGCCATCATCTTCTCTGCAAGGTGGGTTATCATTTAATGTAATGATGTCAAGCAGCATCAGCATCAACATCAGCAGCAGCAGCAGCAGTAGTTGTAGTTGTAGTACCAGGATTTAAAAGGTGTAAGGGACAATCATGGCTCGCGGTTTCTACTTGGGTTGGAATGCATTGCAGTATTTACATTTTTAACATTGCGTATTTGCCTTTCATAACTATTTCTAGTTCATATACTCCTACTTCTCTTCCCATAGGGTCAGCCTGGGACTACTTTGTGATCCAGAACGCCAGCCCCTACACGGAGACTGTCACCCCATGGCATCAGACCACAGTCGGCATCGTCTTTATCACCCTCGCCTGCCTCCTGACCGTCGTCCTCATCGCCATCACCATCTTCGCCATCGTCTGGTGGAGGAAGAAGAGAAGGTTGGTCCTTTCAACGCAGAATTGATGAATATTTGTGAACAAACATAAGATAACAGACCTCATGGTTGAAAAATCACATTTTGACTTCTCATTATATTTTAAAACTACACAATCTTAGGAACACAAAAATACAATTCACAAGCTTCAATTCATATTTATCACTGAGATGCATGGCAAAGTACGTTCCCGCAGTCTTATAACTGTTTATGTATAATAACTGCTGTTTTTAGAAATAATGGCGGATTAATTGAAAGTAGATATGTATTGAAATGTTTTGAAATGATGTTTTTATTACAATAGAAGAAGCGATATTTTTGTACATGGTGATTTTTATGGAAGTAAGTTGACGTGAAACGTCTTTCTTTATGACGTCACCGCACAATTGTATCCCATAAAATGAACCTAGTTTTTACAACAGGTATCTGGCATTAGACTGCCTCTAGATTTTTAGTAACCAGGAATGTTCAGTTGGTTCTCCTGGATATAACTGAAGTGTATAGTCAGACATTTTATGTAGTAGGTGTATTTTACCTGGTTTTCTCCTGTACTATAACCACAAGTATGAATGTGTCAGAATACAGATGATTAATTCAACACTCTATGACTATGACGTGGCGTCCTTGTTGCAGGCCGATAACCCCGACAAAACAGCCAAAGAAAGAGCAGAATCACAACAGGTTCTTCCAAACAAAACGTAAGCATATCGAAGTTTTAAATATATCAGCTCATCGGTTGAATAAAAGTCGGATCAATACGTGGTGGCTTTGTCTAACTAACTTCTCTTTGAACCTCTCTGCAGCAACTGTCCCTGATCTTGACGTAAAGAAAACAAAGCAGTATCCTCCCGCAGTGTTTGCGGCTGTTCCCCGGACGCCGGTAGGTAGCAGTAGCAGTGAACGTGTGAGGGAGTTGGTTTAACGCGGCTTTGAACAGCATTCGTGTTATATCACGGCGAGTCAGTTTAATGTGGGAGGAAAGCCCGAAGTAATGCACGAGCACGGGTATGGTGCTGACAAACCTAGAAACATACTCGGTGCGACCGGGAGTCGAACCCACGATCATAGGTTCCTGACATGCCCAAGGGAGGCAAAGTGAATTGCGGCGCCTTAGACGACTGAGCCACCCGTGCCCTCAAAATGACTCGTGACTCAACTGGTTGCCCACATTACATTCCGACTCTCTCTTAGGCCATAGACCCGTGAAGATACGGGGTACAATAGGTCTTCAGCAACCCATGCTTGCCGTAAAAGGCGACTATGCTTGTCGTAAGTGGCGATTAACGGGATCGGGTGGTCAGGCTCGCTGACTTGGTTGATGCATGGCATCGATCCCAAATGAGTAGATCGATGCTAATGATATCAATCACTGGATTGTCTGGTCCAGACTCGATTTTTTACAGACTGCCGTAAAACAGCGGCGTAAAACAGCAAAACAAACCAAACCAAAATCTTAGAGCGTATATTTTGGATCAGCTGCTAACGGGACCTACTGACTAAAAAACTGAAATTAGAAAACAAGGACTTTTGAGAAATTTGTTTTACACTGTTTTACAATTAGTTGAAATGATAACGAAACACGATATTTTATCCCCGCTGTTGGATAGGATTACATATGAAAAGATGCTTCTAATAGAAAATAGTCGAGTATCTTTCGGTATCTTGTTATAATTATTATACGTGTTTGTTTTTTATTCATAAGTTGCTGTACTAATCCGGAATTTGAAATGTTTGTTAAAGTTGTTTTCGGCCACCTACATTGAATTTTAGGCTAAATATTATGTATAGGAACTAATAAAAATTAAAAGTCCTTTTGGGTAAGTCAGCTGGTGTGTACACCAGTTTCTCTCGCTGATACACGATATGAGTGAGTGTGTTTGTCCGCTTATAATAAACAATAATACCGTAGGCAACACCGGACATAGGCGTCACACATTGTACCTCAGTGGGGAATCGAAACCGTGTCTTGACTTGACGAGCCAACACTTTAACCACTAGGCTACCACCCTAGATACCCCGTGTACTGTATCAATCAGTACATCGACTGTAATCACATCACTGTTTTCTCCGTTGACCAGCCACACGCATCAGTAAATCAATTTGCTGCTCCACTGTTATCATCACCTTTACCATGTTTATAATCTCAAGCCAGTGGGAGGGCCGTTGGGGTAGCCTAGTGGTTAAAGTGTTCGCTCGTCACGCCGAAGGTCCGAGTTCGATTCCTAACATGAGTACAAAGTGTGGAGCCCATTTCTGGTGTCATCCGTTATGATATTGTTGGAAACTTGTAAACATATCATCAAAAATGGTATGTTTTGAGTACATATACTGCGAGATGTCTATAAGATGTGAAATAAATAATGTATTTTGACGTGGCTAGCCACGGGTTGAGACGACTAAGGAGGAGGAGTACTTCCGCCCCATGGAGACGAAGAGAGGCTACAGTAACGTGAGTCCCCCGAGGACACCCCGCACCGTACTGCTGTCGCCTAAAACTGGTACAGCTGAACACATCATCATCAACAGACAGTTTGACGGAGCAGCTATAGATCCAGGTTAGCCAGCGCGTCTGTCCGTGTTTTTGATCAATGGTTCAGTGACATACCAATACTATGTCTCGGATGCAGTGTACCCGTATAGATCCGGGTTAGAGTAGATCTTCAGCAACCCATGCTTGTCGCAAGAGGCGACTAACAGGTTCGGGTGGTCAGGTTCGCTGACTTCGTTTATGCATGTCATCGTATCCCAACTGCGTAGGCCGATGCTCATGATGGCAATCATTGGATTGTCTGGTCCAGACTCTAATAATTTAGTCTGTCGTCATATAGCTGGAATATTGCTGAGTGCAGCGTTAAACAACAAACAAACAATAGAAAACTATTGTAAAATTGCTGTTTCCCCATTAGGGATTAACAGCGGTTTGAATGTAGTCATAATTTGGTGTCACTTTCTTTTTTATATATGTATTATTTTGAAAAGGTTTCTGTGTCACACAGTTAACATACCTTATCAATATGTAAAGCTGTATGACCATAAAATAATAAAGGCATTTAATACATTATCATGATCTCAGTAGGTTATGCTTTGAAGTATAAGAAGTCAATAATAACAAGTCAATCAATGAGCTGACCCATGAAGATCCGGGGAAAGGCGACTATGCTTGTCGTAAGAGGCGACTAACAGGATCGGATGGTCAGGCTCGCTGACTTGGTTGATGCATGTCATCGTATTTCAGTTGCGTGGATCGATGCTCATGATGTCTGGTCCAGATTCGATTATTTAGAAAGCCGTCATATAGTTGGAATATTGCTGAGTGCGGCGTTATACAAGAAACGAACGAACAATCTATGAGCTGCTATCGCCATGGTGACGATGTGTTTCATTACTTCCAGCCACTGGCAAGGTGTACGAGTACAATACTCGGACAAATGAAAGACGCTGGTTGTCGACACCGGAGGGCAAAGCAGTCGTAGCCAGAGACAGCATCGTCTAGATATCGCCCATGACACAGACACAGAAGACTGTGCTCGCCCTTCCGTCGCTACATACAATGCAAGGGAGATAACTCGACTACCACTGTTGTTACTTGGATAAACAATCTCCATCTCACGTTCGCCCTGTAGCTACTGCAATCCCTATGTCGTCCTATTGTGTAGATAATTTTTTAATTTTGTAACAATTACATTTACCGTATTCGACGTAATAAGCACCCAGGGCGCTCTCAAAATTAGAAATAGGGGGCTCTTATTAGAATATAATTTTGGTGAAAGAGTCGAAAGATCGTAAATGATACAGCCTGAAATGATACAAAAGTAAAAGTCTGTGCGTATTATACACGACAGATATATTTTTCCAGAATTTAATTGCCCGTAATTAAGGGTGCATATAACACACGAGTGCGTATTATACACGAATAAATGTACACGAATTGTGGACATTGATCAGTCGGAAGGGTGCTGATTGGGATTGTTCACTAGCCCATATATTTGAAAATATCGCCGTGGCGCTTATTAGAGCGGGGCGCTTATTACGTCCAATACGGTATGTTTAAACATGTATATCTACGCGATCGTTTGTAAGGTGTGTTTTAACACGCACTATTCGGTGTTAAATTCCAACATACGCACAACTAACATGTCACTACCTCAAAACTGACAGAACAGACACGTGATAACACTCAGTTACAGATGTTTCTTAGCTCAGTTTTATTCAGCAAATGTCCACTACTTCGAGTCAAAACACCTCACCTCACCATTTGTACTTTTATATTGGTAAGGTTGTTTCCGCATCAGTAGTTTTGTGACAATGGCAAGTTTTGCCTGAGTAATAATAATTCGTTAGATGTGTTTTATGTCATATAATAACATATTGATTATGTTTCAAGACAATTAATAATTATTATAATGCAATATGATGTTAATTGAGTTGTGTTGTCACACGATTGTTGATACCGTCCACGTTCTGATGAATCTCTCATTTTTTTGTTATTTCTTCGTTATTTATATTTATATTTTAAGAGATGTATATATCAAAATGAGTACTGTTGCATACAGACTATCTTTATACTATCGGAATGATTATACAAATATTTCTTTATCTTACTGTTGTTTCAGATATTTTTTACTGTTCAATAAAAGCTTTAGAAGCTGTGCTTTTGTATGTCATGTTTCGGATCAGGTATGGAAAAAAAAGTTGAACCTATCCGTCGGATTTGGTTTTCCTGACAACTGATAACAGTCGTGCAAAAGACTCGCATTTACTCACACAAGGGGTTTACCTTAACAGTCCAGTTACTGATGTGGGTATTTTTAAAGATGTTAACTGATGATCATGACTGTGAATGGGATTGCGATATGAGTTATTTCACGCTAGAGCAGAGGAAAACGGGTTGTGACATGCTACTGCCCTCAAGTTCAGCCAACAGTCTGCCGTTTGTGAATTCGGTACAAATTCGCCTGTACACTCGGTTAGGGGAGGTGGCGAGATTGGGTTTAACGTCACGTTCAACATTATTGCACTTATGTGCATGCACACGAGTGTGTGTGTGTGTGTGTGTGTGTGTGTGTGTGTGTGTGTGCGTGTGCGGCTGCTTGTTCTAGTCCGGCTTATGCCGATTTTATAGTGCTAGCCCACTGAGACACCAATCCGCAGCTTCACATGACTACCCCCCTCATACACAGGAAACTGACTCTGAGCTGACCAGTCCTTCTTTTAGCCCCTTAATGCCGAGCGCCATGCAGGGTAACAACGAGTACCATCTTTTGGGTATGACACTGCCAGGGATCGAACCCCGGACCTTCATCTAGCCGGGCGGACGCTCTACCACTAGACCTAGCAGGCGGTCGTACACACGGCTAGTCCATGATAGATCCTAAACAGTGGTGTGTACACTTGGACAGACAACCTCTGCCTAACACAGAGAGAACAAGTGATTACATATACTTCACAAAATGTTAATTGACATCTTGATGTTTGTTTGTTTGATTGCTTGTTGTTTAACGCCGCACTCTGGGCCAGACAATCCGGTGATTGACATGAGCATCGATCCATGCAATTGGGATCGATGACATGCATCAACCAAGTCAGCGAGCCTGACCACCCGATCCCGTTAGTCGCCTCCTACGACAAGCATTGTCGCTTTTTACGGCAAGCATGGGTTGCTGAAGACCTATTCCACCCCGTATCTTCACGGGTCACATCTTGATGTATGAATTACAAACTGAGATAAGATGCTATGAAGAGAAATGTTTGATATTTACATACGATAAATTTTGCATGTAATATGTCCTGACGGGTGAGAGGGCACACGTTTCTCAGTCGTATAAGGCGCAGCGTCCCTTGGAAGCACCAGCAACCTTTGATTGTGAATTCAAATTCCAGTTCTCCCCAATTATGTTCCAATGTTTTTCAGCACCTACCTGTGCGCGTTTGTTTCACCAAAGTGGTAAACGTCTGAGACCTGCATCACTTCAGGCTTTCCTCCTACAATAAGCTGACACGCCGTGATATAATTGGAATACTGTTCAAAGCAACCTAACTCACTCACTCACTATCACTGGTGACGTCATGACTTTTTGAGTTTTGCTGTATGAACAGTAAACATTTATAAAACATTTGGAAAATGTCTGACATTTACATATGATAGTGGCGGTAAGGTTTCCCATTGTTGAAAACGTTGGTTCGTCACACCGAAAGCAGGGGTTCGATTCCCCACGTGGGAAAGTGTCTGAAACCCATTTCTGGTGTCCAGTGCTGTTATTAGAGGGAATAGTAGCAAAAGCGGGATAAAACTCACTCATTCATTGACAATGCATTGTTATCAATCACGCGACCCCAAAACGTTTGCGACCGCCTCCATGGTCTAGCGGTAGAAGTCCGGGTTCGATCCTCGGCCGCGTCATACTTAAAGACGTTAACATGTGGTACTTGTTGTAACCCTGTCTGGCGCTCGGCATTAAGGGGCTCAAACAAGGACTGGTCGGCTCGTAGGCAGTACACTGTGTCTGAGTGGGGTATTCATGTTAAACTGCGGCATGATATCTCAGTGGGCTAGCACTATAAATCGGCATGAGCCCGTGCATGCACGTCGCTATATAAGTGCAATAATCTTGGACGCGACGTTAAACCCCATTTTACCTCACCTCACCTCACCTCACCTCACCTCACCTCACCTCTAAACGTTGGCAGCATACATACACAACAAATCTCACTATAAACAATGTAATAATTGAAGTTGACATTTTGACAGTACTTCTAACCAAGTTCTGCGTCAGGTGTGGTCAGATTGTTTACACAAGTTGATCAAGTTGTTGTGACAGTCGCTTACTGTATATGACGTCGTCTTTCTTCTTGGTAACCTTGTAAATCTCATCTCATATGCATGCAAAACACGGATCACCAACGTGCCGTAATGTCCAGTACCGTAACAGCAGTCAGCTGAATACATAATATAACACTGTTGATCTGGCATGATTGCACCAACTAGCGTTAATACAGCTGTACCTTAAATCTTCGGTGACCTACCTATCTCATTTGGTAGCAGGGTAACTCGCATTAATTTCAGGCCACATTTTAGGCTTGGGGTCGACACTCCCATTAATTTGGTGACGTGTTATTTTCATGATTTCCAGTACGCGGTCACCTCTCTGACGGTATATATCATCTACTTGCCTCCTTAAGTTTTAGCCTTGAATATGGTAACGGCATACCCGCAATGAGAGTACTGATAGAGTTGAAGTGCTTATTAATAGGTAAACACGGGGCACATATCTTCATTCGGGTAGTGTATACGCTGGGATAAGATTAGAGCATGACTTTCTCTGGAGATTTGAAATGTATTTAACCTCTTACTAATATTCGGTGAGTAAATTACGACTATTATTCTCTCATATTTAATATTTTCTAGCGTTTGTGTACACTCAAATTTATGAGATGTATTATCATATGTATGATATTATAATAATGTGACAGCGTGTGAGTTTCTCTAATCAGAAACCATAGAACAGTATCTGCTCCTGTTGCTTTGAACGAATACAGAACTAAGAACTATTTAAAGAGTAAATATAAGCTTTAACTTTCTTATTGAAGTGCCAGTGAAGTGAGTCTCATAAAAGCAAATGAAAAATACCTACCCTTATCTGTAGATTGCGAGAAGACGAGATGAGGCGGCTGTTGGCGGTATTCTTGTGTTGCGGCGTCTCCTTCATCTGTGGTATGTTGCACTGCCCCTTGTCGTTTCAATCCTACTTTAATCTGTCATAAGTGTAAACTATCTGTTTCATTGGTAACATGAAAGTGTCATGAATTATGTGTATAGTAGTATAGTACCCACACCGCAATGGTAACAGGGAACTCTACAGTTAGTCCTTCATCAGGCCTATATATTAACGGAATAAAACAGTGTTCAAACTATCTGAAGCCGAAACAGATAGTTTTCGCCAATACATCTATATGTATTACATTTTATAATATAATGGATACCAACGGAAATAAAGGAATCCGTTGTTGTCATTTACAGATAAATATACAAGTATAAAAGGTCAGGTAAGTGCTACTTTATAAACAAACATGGCGTCGTGCTTGTCTCTCGCTCGGCGATCGAGTCAGAATTGACCGTCTGGGATATGGGCAAATTACTTGGATAAGTATTATCATTAACAAAATCATAGTTAATTATACCTTAAACCAGTGTCTAAAAGTGGTGTAGCTGGGAACTTTTGTAGATGTATACAATTTTGGTGATATAGATTGCAAATACAAATAACGAGCACGCTAGCGGGATCAGTTTCAATACCTGTGCTTCTAAACCTCTGCGGCTTGGGTCCGAAATATGTCCGAAATTTTACCTTGTTTCATTTTGTCGATGCGTGTGACATCTGACTGCAATTCGTAACGCTATGACAGCCCAGGCAGACGCTAAACAAATGTCACGTCTCATAGACTAGAGTAGCTTCCCTTTGATAAAGGGCAGTTACTCTAGCTGACGGAAATATTGATTGCCGCTAAAGCCGATCGCTGAGAAAGTTGGAAGTACATTGACTGTCACGTTACGACTGACTAATCACTGACCTTTTGACGTAATATATTAGTGCGCACATTCCAGGAAAACTTACAATACAAGAGGTAGAGGTTTTTGCTGATGTCTGTTTAGAATATGTTTTAGTGATATAATACTACATATACAAAGAAGATTTTGTTTCGCTAATTTGATTCAGATTTTCCCCTCTGTCTATTTAGTGCTATTTTCCAAATTTAATTTTGACTTTCGCAGTCGTAGAGGAAGTGCGTCAAACTTTCTATTTCTGCTTTTTCATTAGTAAATGTAATAGCTCATTTCGTCATATCTCGTCTTACAGATTGGGGTATTAGATGCATAATATATGTGTAGAATATCAGTATTTTGTATCTCATAATTATGTCAGTGGAAGGTCTTTAATAGTATTCGTTCTGATTTGCATATTTCATCATAACGCCCCTCTGCCAGTTTTCGTCATTCCAATATTTGGTAACTGCTACATCTGAGAATAAAGTTCACGTTTATCGTTGTACATTGTACGCAGACCACGTACTTCCTGTGTCAACAAAGGACTTTGTTTGATACCTAAATATAAACGCTGTAAGACCTTTCACTATGCATCCACAAAATCATCTACAAATGTTACAGTAATATATAAAAATAGATTTTCCTCCAGTATGTTTTCGTTTCGGGTGATACGTTGGGATAGTACGTCATCGTCATTCTTTACCCATTTGTACGTCGAGGATTTGCATTTTGCAAACCGTGTTCACAATTGCAACAATCGGTATAAAAAGGCGATCTTGTGCGTCGTAAAACTGCTGTCTGGGGGAAGTTAAAGTAACCGGGCAGGAATCTATAAAATGCCAAGATGTTTTTAAGATAAGTTATTAAAAAATAACTCTTTTAAGGCGCATCGTAATCCCCAAACAAACACCGTTATAAAAAGTAAAGAAATGATATGGCGGGGTCAGGCATTGAGGGTGAGTGCAAGTGCGCACGTGCAATGTATGCCCAGTTTCTCCTTGCGTGCGATACCCAACACCCATGACAACACGTTAATTAAACAGTATGATAGTGACGTGGTGACATAACCACTGGAGATGCATGGCGATCTGAAGCAGGGTTGTATTTGCTAGCTAGGTACTGTAAGTGCTCCGACAACAAGTGCTAGGTGATATTAGTTCAAATAAACACTATGACAGATGTACATGTAAATGTAAATATTGTAATGAATGGTTCATCAATTGAATTAAATACGCCTGTCTAAGGTGCTGATTTATCGTTTAGGTTTTCTGTAAACGTTGATCCAAAATAGACAGTAAATTACACAAATCAACGTTTTAATCTTAGCATGAATGTTACACCATGTTACATTTGACTTAATGCTCTATTTGTTCAAATAAAATAGTCTCAGTGACAGTCATGTATTAATAAGTGGGCCCTTTACACACATCGATATATTTACGATATTGCACCCATTTCATAAACAGATTCGGTGTTATATTTTGCATTATCTACAACATAAATTCATCATGTTTTCTAATTTAATTTACAAGTTGCGTAATATAAGAATATTGATAATTGCTTTAAATAAAAATGATTTTCGCTGAACATAAACGATTGTAATCATACGAGCAGTTAATGTGCTACTATGGATGGTAGTAAGCTATTTGAGCAAATCTAATTTAACTCAATCAACGACCTATACCATCTTGGATTGTTGTGCAAACATCATAATAGGGAATCCAAACAGCACACCCTAATGTCCATGTGGTCAAGTGTTCACATTTAGCGTTGTTTACACATTGAGTACCAGTACATGCGGCGCTAAGGAGAGGATTTTGTTTTCTCAAAACCAATAGATATTTATCTGTCTGGCGTAACTGGGGAGTGTTGTACATTGTACGTGGAGGAAATCTATCGTAACTGGGGAGTGTTGTACACTATACATAGGGGTATCTAGGTAACTGGGTAGTGTTGTACATTTTACATAGGGGTATCTATCGTAACTGGGGAGTGTTGTACACTGTACATAGGAGTATCTAGCGTAACTGGGGAGTGTTGTACACTGTACATAGGGGTATCTATCGTAACTGGGGAGTGTTGTACACTATACATAGGGGTATCTAGGTAACTGGGTAGTGTTGTACATTTTACATAGGGGTATCTATCGTAACTGGCGTAGTGTTGTACACTGTACATAGGAGTATCTAGCGCAACTTCGGTAGTGTTGTTCACTGTACGTCGAAGGCATCTATCTTAACTGGGGTAGCGTTGTACACTGTACGTGGCGTGGAGGAAGTCTATCGTAACTGGGGTAGTGTTGTACATTGTACGTGGAGGAAGTCTATCGTAACTGGGGCAGTGTCGTACACTGTACGCGGATTGTATCTACCTTAACTGCGGTTAATAAACAGTTCTTGTTTGTTTCATTGTTAGCCACAATAAAACATAGGTGTATACTTTCTTTAGTGTCGCCAGTTTATTTTTATTTCAAGTATCAAACCTCGGGGGATTTATTAAAGATGCACACATTTATTCTAAAAATGTAGATCTATGGTGCGGAAATGAGAAAATGATGTTATGTTCCTACATAAAGAAATGGAAAAATACTCAACTTGGTGTCTGCAACTACCGTAAAAGTATTATATGTCGAATAACATACACTTCAGTCGGTATCGGTCCACCTCCATCAGTTGTTGATCATCTCTCCGATCTCCTGCAGGTCAGCCGGCAATCACACTTCCCAAGGATGACGGCACAAGCGAGGTGACTATTCCGGAGGACACGACATCGGGGACGGTCATCTTCACCGTACAACCTACTCCGGCTGCTGGGACGACGTGGACCTACACCCTGACCCCCTCCACCAGCCCCTTCTCTATCAACATCGGCGGCAGCGTCACTTTGTCAGGGCCTGTTGACTACGAGTCCGCCATCAAGTCCTACACGCTGTACATTCAGTAAGGCAGCATTTCTCACAGCAATGCCGAGGTTTGAAAACGGCCGTTTAAAGCCATTCCAACTGCCATCTTTAAGAACTGTTTAGAAGTCTGTGTGAGATGTGTACATGGCTATTATTTAACATCACTTGCATAGTTTTTATTAAACGCAACACCGAATGCTGACGTAAGGCTGTCTTCAAAGGAGCGGCTTTTTTAAATAATATTTGACAAGATCAAGTCATTTAACGAATTTTATTATTTCAGAAGTGTAACATATTGCAATTTTTAGTGATTACTGCTGTACTCTTGTACTTTATCCTGCTCTAAATGGACCAGTGATAAAATAATTATAAATACAAGTTGTCAGTTACCAGTAAATGTGCATCACCGATACCTTTCGTTACGCCTTCTTTGTCTTTTAGATTGAATGTTGACATATTAATGGGCATATTTTATTTCAATATTGAATTCAGTCATGCAGTCCAACTTTACTAAGTAATATGGACCAGAAAACGATCGGTTCAGATGGGACACAATTGTAACTGATAAAGACATCATATTGACCTCACCAACGCATGGTTGAATGTACTCGCTTCCTTTTCAGAACTGACACGTTGTGTTATATAGATTGTTCAAAGAAGGGTTAAGCCCTAGCTCAGTCATAAATGTAGACCCTCGTTAAGGACAACTTACAACTTCTTCACACATCTTAAGATGCTCGGGGGCACGGGTGGCCCAGTCATCTAAGGCGCCGCGATTCGCTGTGCAGAGCTGCGTCCCTTGGGCACGCCAGAAACCTATGATTGTGGGTTCGAATCCCGGTTCGCCCCAATTATGTTTCTAGGTTTGTCAGCACCATACCCGTGCTCGTGGGTTTCACCGGAATGGTAAACATCTGATACCTGCATCACTTCGGGCTTTCCACCCACATTAAGTTGACACGCCGTGATGTAACTGGAATAATGTTAAAAGCGGCGTTAAACCCAACTCACTCACTCACTCACTCTTAAGATGCTCACATATTGCTGTTCTGATGTTGTTTGGATAGAGTTGGAATGGAAATATAAACAATTTCACGGGAATGAACAAACATATATGACGCCTTGGACATGCTACATGTATGCTTTGTAAAAATTCAAATGTTAATACGCGAGTAATTGTTTCACACTTTGGTAAGCTGGTTATTACTAGTTTTGTTTTGGTGCAGGGTGACTGACGCAGTTGGACCCACCGACAGGATCCTCACTGTCTTCATCAGCAACGTGTACGACGTCAGCCCGACACTCACGCCCCCCTCGCCCATTCCCACTATAGAGGAGGAATTGGTCGTTGGCACCACTGTGGCAACCTTCACGGCAACAGACTCGGAGACAGTAGACGGGGATACACTGTACTTTTCATTACTAGGTAAGAGTGCATGAGTGAATGGGGTGAGCCCATGATCATGGGTTAGAATCCCAGTTCGTTCTGATTATTTTTTTGTGGTTTGTCAGCACCATACTCGTACTGCTGGCTATCACTATAGTGTTTTCGCCAAAGACCTGCAAAATTTAGGACTTTCCACTCACATTAAGCTGACATGCACTGACATAGCTGAAATACTGTAAATACACAGCATTAAACCAAAGTCTAATCATTTTGGACATAGGTACAATGTAACCTTCGACTTTTGTATTATTCAGAACATTGAACACGTTTTGTTCTCGCAAATAACTTCGTTAAAATTTATATTTCCCTTTATCTGATCTATTTACTGGTATATCGGACTGTAGACTAGTGCTTTTCAATATGCAAGGTTTGAAAGATCACTGTCTTTAATATCTGAATTTACTATGAAATGAATTGATGACAATAATGCGGAACGCGATAGGGAGCGTTTCTCATCCCAATTTATCTGAATTAAACTATAAGAAAGAGTTCGAATCCCAGCTCATCTTGATTATGTTTATTAGTTTATCAGCACCATAACCGCCTGTGTGGGTTTCATCAAAGTGGTAAACATCTAAGATCTGCATCACTTCTGAGATTCCTCCCGCATCAAGCTGACACACTGTGATAACCGGAATATGGTTTAAATTGGTGTTAAACCAAAACTCACTCACATAAAGGATAAGGTATGAACATTTACATGAGTTCGTATACTTGTTAGTTCAGTATACCCCCTGTTAAACGGTAACATATGTTTTATTATCCGCCCCGTGCTATTGGTCAACAGGCGCGGACAGCAAGTATTTACAAATAGACGCTACCACCGGCGGCACACTTACAATCAGGGACCGCATCGACTATGACGTCGGGCTCACCTCTTTAGACGTCACCGTGCAGGTGTCAGACAGTGGGGGCAACACTGCATCACAGGCAGTCACCTTCACCGTCAACGACATCAACGACAACAGTCCGATCTGCTCACCAGGGTCTGTCGTCGTCACTGTACCAGAAGGCACTGGAGGAGGTATGTATGTGTAGGATAATACACGTCAGAGGATATTTAAAACCCTGACTCCCCTCGGTTTTATCCCGAGGATTAGGGTTTTAAATAATTAATAATTTAAAAACCCGAGGGTACGTTTTTTCATATAACTTATAAACCGGAAAAAGAAGCTTAAAACAACATTTATCAATATCTTTATGGTTCTGTGAACCTAAAAAAGCGGGCGTAAAATATATGTTTGTTGGCGTACGGACTTAAAAAACATTTCGTAAAAACATTGTGATATATCGGAGCCACTCACTGAACTACAGATATGATTTGGTTGGTTGGTTGGTTGTTTAACGCCGCACTCAGCAATATTCCATCTATATGACGGCGGTCTGTAAATAATCCACGTAATTGGGATTGATGACATGCATCAACCAAGTCAGCGATCCTGACCACCCGATCCCATTAGTCGCCTCTTGCGACAAGCATAGTCGCCTTTTACCCTGAAGATCTATTCTACCCCGGATCTTCACGGGTCCTACAGATAGGAAGGTTTGATGTTCGATCCGCGGGAATATAAAGAAAACACTCGTCAATTGATTTTACATTTCATTACATTGTGTTCAGATATAAAATAAATTTCTAGCGAGAAATATTCATATGTTACAAAATAAACGGAAGTTGCAGCAATAAAATCCCCGGGATATAATAGCATCCCTGTTCATGAGATTTAACCCCCACTGGAGAACAATAGCATGACGTCACTGGAGGTTTATAAGTATATACACATGACTCAATTATGAGTCGTAACAGATGGTCTGATTTGTTTGGTACGCGTGTGTATCACAAATGAAAGAGGCGGTTCAAGGAGTTTAGTGAGTGAGTGAGTGAGTATGGTTTTACGCCGCTTTTAGCAATATTCCAGCAATATCACGGCGGTGAACACCAGAAATGGGCTTCACACATTGTACACATGTCGGGAATCGAAGCCGGGTTTTCGACGTGACGAGCGAACGCTTTAACTACTAGGCTACCCGACCGCCCCTTCAAGGAGTTTAGAAAAAGGTAGGATGCGCACTCCCGCCAATTGCTTAAATTTTGAGACATGCTCCTCAACTATACTCATTACCTTACCCCAGACCACACCACACCGCACCGCACCACACCACACTACACTACACTACACCACACCACACCACACCACACCACACCACACCACACACTACACTAGTCTACACCACACCACACCACACCACACCACACCACACCACACCACACCACACACTACACCACACACTACACCACACCACACCACACCACACCACACCACACCACACCACACCACACCACACCAAAATTTATTTTAAAAAGTAAACATATTGATTAATTATTTCAACTTTTTCCCCATACCCAAAACTTACATAATGCTTTCTATCAGACTTTGAAGTTGTGAACTGCTCCCGGACCAGCTTCAATTTACTGTGCCTTAAACACAACACCGTTTCTCTACTTTTAGGGATAGAAAGTCACCGCAAACCATAAGTATCACGCAAAATGTTTCATAGGCATGAAAATATATGTCTGAAGTCTGAAAATAAACAGCTTAACCTTCAGTAGAATTTGACCAATGTTGTAAGGGTATTCCAGAACATCTAGTGTGGTTTCTATGTAAACAGGGTCTTGTTAGGTTTCGTCTTGCCCTTTATCTTGTAGTTCATTAGACAATACCTCCCACATACAGGTACCACTGTAGGCACAGTGTCCTGTACAGACGCTGATTCTCCCCCGAACAGTGACCTCATCTACACCATCTTCACCGGCGACGACGCAACGGCAAAGTTCGACATCACGGCGAGTGTGATCTCCACATCGACCACACCACTTGACTATGAGACCAAATCTGACTACACGTTAGTCGTGCATGCAGTGGACAGTCCTGCCTCCGGAACACCGCGAACTGGGACGGTTGCTGTCTACATCAAGGTTATATTGCAAATAATCATTTGTGTTCCTTAATTATTTTTTTTTAAATTTTCTTCTATTTTTTCATTTGTGAATAGCCGTGAATACCCGTAAAGAATGTATAAATAGTTACCTCACTTGACCACAATAGAAGAATCATTACGTTTCCACGTGCTCTTAAAGTTGCAATCAGTATCGAAATAGTAGTCAGCGATGAGATAGCCTGGTGGTTAAAGCGTTGGTTCGTCATGCCGAAGACCCGGGTTCGATTCCCCACTTGGGTAAAATGTGTGATATTGCTGGAATATTGCTAAACGCTGCGTAAAGCCATACTCACGTAATCAAAATAGTTCGGGATATGTCGACAGCTACCATCAGAAAACAGAAAACGAAAATATAGCAATGAGTCCTCTGTTGACTAAATTTGTAGCACAAATGAAGGATTTGAAGTTTGAATATGCGGATATGTTTATTACGTACATTATATATAAAAGCTTTTATTAAGAGTGATGCAACATATTTTCCATGCCAGGTGAGCACCGTCAACGACTTTGATCCTGTCTGGGGAACCAATGTACCAGCAGGGAAAACCTTCTCCGTATTAGAGTCATCTCCCCTTGGGACATCCATTGTTACCATAGTAGCAACAGACAATGACCTTGGCACAGATGGAATATTGACATACCAACTTGTTTCCGTGACAACTGGTAAAATATTTAATTTTTTTTAATGTTGTTTGGATCTTAACCACGTTATTTACACATTGTTTACGACATTGTATCTGAAACCTTGATATCGTTGATCACCTTGTTTACTTGTTTGTTTGTGTGTTTGTTTGTTTGTTGTTTAACGCTGCAATCAGCAATATTCCAGCCATATGACGGCGGTCCGTAAATAATCGAGTCTGGACCAGACAATCCAGTGATTGACATCATCAGCATCGATCCATGAAATTTGGATACGATGACAAGCATAGTCGCCTTTTACGGCAAGCATGAGTAGCTGAAGACCTATTCTACCCCGGATCTTCACGGGTCCCTTGATAACTATCAAACCGTGAACATGTTGTTGTTAGCACTCCGACAATAATGTCAACAACACATGTCTGGAATGGAAGTCGCCAGTTTGAAACTGGTGCCATTTAGCTCGAGAAAGCTACTTTCTGATTGCCTGATGTCGATTTCTTGTTAGATATTTCATATGGCGGTAAAAGTTAACGAAAGGTCATTCTAAAGGACCTTGTAATGGTATGTCCTCGGGTCTTTGTTTAGCGATAGCGAGCACCAAGATCTGATTTCAATGAGACTGGAATGTTAATGGGTCCTTGTTCGGGGAGTTCCTCCAGATAAGGAATGTAGGTGAAAGTGACAGTGTTAGGAGTTGATGTCGACGATGTTCTTGTAAATGACGTCAAGTGAACACATCACGTACGTTACACTGTTTAGATGCCGGGATCACTGTAGCCGACGTCCTGGCGCTAGGTACATCAACAGGGAAACTGACGACGATCAAGATACTTGATAGAGAAAGCGTCACATCTTACACAGTGGTTGTCAGGGCAACAGATGGTGGGGCACCAGCACGATTAGTTGACGACACGCTCACCATTACTGTCACCGACGTCAACGACAACGCTCCTGTCTTCACCGCCGCCAGCGTTCTCACTGGATCAATACCTGAAGATTCCGCGGTTGCGACTCCTATCCTAACGCTCGTGGCGTCCGACGCCGACGCAACGTCAACGTTAACCTTTTCAGTCACCGGCGGTGACGTTGTACCGCCAAAGTTTGAGTTCAGCGGCACGACGCTAGGACAGCTTCAGCTTGCAAGTCCCATCGACCTGGACCAACCGACAAACGACGCCGGTTACTACACTCTGACCGTCATCGTGACAGATGGAGGGACACCCGAGATGACGGGAACGACGTACGTCTCTGTCACCATCACTGCCGTCAATCAGCACACACCCGTCATGAACACACCGTCTCCGGCTTCTACTGTCTTTGTAAGTCATCATTGTAACATAACAAGACCAGTCTAGTCCCCGGAATTAGTCACTGTACTAGTAGTTGTGGTAGTGGCGGTAGTGGTAGTGGTGGTAGTAATAGTAGTAGTAGTAGTAGTGGTAGGAGTAGTAGTGGTGGTAGTGGTAGAAGCTGGAGTGACAACAACCCAGTGATGATAGACAGTTGTGTCTGTAGCTGTCATTAATACTTTTCAAACTGTCACGACTTCCATTTTCGCTGTTACCAATATTTTTAATTATATTCACAGGTGGCAGAGAATAGCAACGTCGGGACGTCAGTTGCAACGATCACAGCCACTGACAACGACTACGGCACTGACGGCATAGTGTCGTATTCAATAACAGGTAAACGCTTCATTGTTTGTATCATTTGCAAAATATCGATTACCTAAAATTTGTCGTTAAAGGAACCAGGTATGAACGTGAACAATTCGCCAAAACATAGCATGGATAATACAGGAAATTATGTTTGTCAGCACCATACCCGTAATTGTGGGTTTCACCAAAGCGGTAGACCTCCCCTGCATCACTTCAGGCTTTCCTCCCTCAACGATCTGACACAATATACAATCTCTCTGGTTATAATGCACTTATTTATCATGTCAACCTAGTCATAACGCCAACCTATTTATAACGCCAACTTAGTTATAATGCCAACCTGGTTATAATGCCAACCTGGTTATAATGCTAACCTGTTTATAATGTCAACCTGGTTATAATGCCACAATGCCAACCTAGTTATAATGTCAACCTAGTTATAATGCCAAGCTGGTTATAATGCCAATCTTGTTATAACGCACCTGGTTATAATGCCAAGCTAGTTATAATGCCAACCTGTTTATAATGTCAACCTGGTTACAATGCCAACCTTGTTATAATGCCATGTTTTTTCTCCGCAGTGAAAATGCCCTGGTTAAAATGCCAAAGCCAATGTTTTTTGCAGAACAAACGTTTAAATTCCCTGCGGTTATAATGCCACGTTTTCAATTTTGACAGAAAACTGGCAATGTAGATAATCTTTTGCTGATTATTCTCTCTCCTGAAACAACAAACCTCATTGTAATGAGCTCATGTTTTGCCGTAAAAGGCGACTATGCTTGTTGTAAGAGGCGACTAACGGGATCGGGTGGTCCGGCTCGCTGACTTGGTTATCCCAACTACATGGATTGATGCTCATGATCTCACTCACTGGATTCTCTGATCCAGATTCGATTATTTACAGACCGCCGTCTTACAGCTGGAATATTGCTGAGTGCGGCGTTAAACAACAAACAAACAAACATTCGGGTCAAAAACAATTTGCTTAGTCAGTCAAATGTCATGGCATCACTTTCAATTTATTTATTCTCAACTTACAGTTATCAATACATTAGTAGAAGCCGTGTTCGTCAATATGAGGACATGTCTTCCGATTTGCAGTGTCATATCTCAAACTTCCAGATGGCAACACCGGACCAGCTTTCGTCATCGACTCAGCAACAGGAGAGATTCGAACGATGTCAGCTTTAGATTTCGAAACCACCAAATTATACAACCTTGAGGTGACTGCCACAGACGGAGGGTTACCTGTGACCTCCACCGTCACAGTCTCCATCACCGACATCAACGAGGACGCGCCTACCTGCACTGACTATTACATCCAACAAGCTATGCCGGAGGATGGCACTGCACCTACGGCGGTAACACGTGTTTTTGTGTATATTTTTCTCATTGACTCACATAAACATGTTGACATTGTATAAACACGTCCCTGAAAATAATAATAATAATAATAATAATAATAATAATAATAATAATTATAATAATTTTAAAAAAATACACGTGATCATTGAAAAAGGGTAAAAAGTGTCCTCAAAGTAACAGTCCAGCCTCCTGTTTCTGAACCTTTTTACCAATCCTGTCCATTTTATCTTGGTCATTTGTTCACTAACACAAGATATATCCTCTCTTATTCTGCCGTTACCTGTAACGCTGTGGCCTGCATCAACACTTAATTATTCTGGAAGACGAGGAGTACTGCATTTACATGATATCAAATTGCCAAAACATCTCCAGCATTATTCGTCGGGCTGCAATTTTATATAAAGTACTACCACACAGCAAGAGACCCTTTTGAGTTAACTGGGTTTTATGTCGTTCTAGCGTTATTCCAACCATATCAGGTATGATACAAAGAATGAACTTTACTAATTGTAACCATGTGGGGAATCGAACCGGGTCCCCGGCATAACGAGCAAACGCTTTACCCACTAGACTAACCCAACCACCCTAACTGATAACAAACAATTATATATAAGCTGGAGGACAGCAGACACTGAAATAACGTAATGGTTGACATAAACACGGATATAACAACATGCTTGACATAGTGATCACGGATACATCGAAGTTATTGATTTAACGAACGTATGCGGATATATCAAACTGAAGGGTACAGCTAATTCGGATATGACTAAATGATGGACTAACGCTACATGACGAACAATTACGCATAACTACTTCGGATATTTCGAACTGATGGACATACCCAAGCGAACTAGAATACCAAACAGGGATATAGCATACCTTTCACTATTATAATTGTTTCCTTTATCACTAACCGGTAGACCTAGCGAACTAGACTACCAAACACGGATATAGTATACATTTCACTGTTATAATTGTTACCTTTATCACTAACCGGTAGAGCTAGCGAACTAGACGACCAAACACGGATATAGCATACCTTTTACTGTTATAATTGTTACCTTTATCACTAAGCGGAAGACCTAGTGAACTAGAATACCAAACACGGATATAGCATACCTTTCACTTTTATAACTGGTACCTTTATCACTAACCGGCAGACCTAGTGAACTAGACTACCAAACAGGGATATAGCATACCTTTCACTGTTATAATTGTTACCTTTATCACTAACTGGTAGAGCTAGCGAACTAGAATACCAAACACGGATATAGCATACCTTTCACTGTTATAATTGTTACCTTTATCACTAACCGGAAGACCTAGCGAACTAGAATACCAAACACGGATATAGCATACCTTTTACTGTTATAATTGTAACCGTTATCACTAACCGGAAGACCTAGAGAACTAGAATACCAAACCCGGATATAGCGGCGACGTAACGGATATAACAGAGTACGGGTGCCACAAGGAACCTGCCTAATGTTACTTTCTGCATCGGTAGACAACGAAGTACATTTCACAGCTGTCATGGATGCATTGTTTGTACATGTGTGTATGTTTGTTCCCTTGTAGGTCACGTCCCTCATCAGCTGCAGTGATCCTAACGCCGACACACTGACGTACACCATCAGTTCAGGGAACCCACCTGGCCTCTTTCTGATCAACTCGGCCACTGGCGAATTATCAGTTTCCAAAGGTTAACCAATATTTCTAGACCTACCAACAGAATCAATACTAAGCTATGTCCGTAAATAGAAATGTGTTGTAATCTGTGGAACGTGAGCCCCATAAGATTAATTAGCTGACTGAGCACGCAAAACGTTTTGCTGTGTCCGTATTGAGACGATAAATCATGGTCAAAGCCATGCCTTTCCACGTTTTTCCTAGTCTCATAACATAGATGGATAGTGTAGATTATGTATGTCACGTTTTTGGTCCTTTGGTCAAAATCATAACCGAGAAGGTTCCCAGATACATTCTAACACTTTGGCAAGCTTCGGAGTTTTTCTACTTTTATCAACTCGTGTTGATATATCAAAAGACACTCGGGTGAGATTCTCTATATATACTCCCCGTCACTAGCAGAATGACATGCGTAGATACTCCCCGCCATTGGCAGATAAACATTTATCATTAATCATAATAAAATCGAACTGTCCGTCGAACAAGTCGGTCGACCGGCCGGCCAGTACAGGCATCATAGGGTGAAGTATGACTTCATTTCTTTCACATATTAGTTACCATACCGAACACACTCAACACAGAAGCATACTTCCCCGGAAATAAGGTTCTTGAACGTTCGTGTACGTGTACATGTTCATCCCTGGACCTTCGTTGTCGTGGTGTCCATGTCGGTAGTACAATCCCTTACATCCCCCACAGACGATTAAACGTATACTCACCGTCATAGATGTTTACACGAATAATCGCCGTCATAGGCGACCACACGTATACTCACCGTCATTGAATTTACACGTATACTCACCGTCATTGAATTTACACGTATACTCACCGTCATTGAATTTACACGTATACTCACCGTCATTGAATTTACACGTATACTCACCGTCATTGACTTTTCACGTATACTCACCGTCATTGAATTTACACGTATACTCACCGTCATTGAATTTACACGTATACTCACCGTCATTGACTTTTCACGTATACTCACCGTCATTGAATTTACACGTATACTCACCGTCATTGAATTTACACGTATACTCACCGTCATTGAATTTACACGTATACTCGCCGTCATTGAATTTACACGTATACTCACCGTCATTGAATTTACACGTTTACTCACCGTCATTGAATTTTACACGTATACTCACCGTCATTGACATTTACACGTATACTCACTGTCAGTCATTTACACGTATACTCACCGTCATTGAATTTACACGTATACTCACCGTCATAGATGTTTACACGAATAATCGCTGTCATAGGCGACCACACGTACGAGGTATACTCACCGTCATTGAATTTACACGTATACTCACCGTCATTGAATTTACACGTATACTCACCGTCATTGACATTTACACGTATACTCACCGTCATTGACATTTACACGTATACTCACCGTTATTGAATTTTCACGTATACTCACCGTCATTGACATTTACACGTATACTCACCGTTATTGAATTTTCACGTATACTCACCGTCATTGAATTTACACGTATACTCACCGTCATTAAATTTACACGTATACTCACCGTCATTGAATTTACACGTATACTCACCGTCATTGAATTTACACGTATACTCACCGTCATTGAATTTACACGTATGCTCACTGTCATTGAATTTACACGTATACTCACCGTCATTGAATTTACACGTATGCTCACTGTCATTGAATTTACACGTATACTCACCGTCATTGAATTTACACGTATACTCACTTTCATTGAATTTACACGTATACTCACTGTCATTGAATTTACACGTATACTCACTGTCATTGAATTTACACGTATACTCACCGTCATTGAATTTACACGTATGCTCACTGTCATTGAATTTACACGTATACTCACCGTCATTAAATTTACACGTATGCTCACTGTCAGTCATTTACACGTATACTCACTGTCAGTCATTTACACGTATGCTCACCGTCATTGAATTTACACGTATACTCACCGTCATTGAATTTACACGTATACTCACCGTCATTGAATTTACACGTATACTCACCGTCATTGAATTTACAGGTATACTCACCGTCATTGAATTTACACGTAAACTCACCGTCATTGAATTTACACGTATGCTCACTGTCATTGAATTTACACGTATACTCACCGTCATTGAATTTACACGTATACTCACCGTCATTGAATTTACACGTATACTCACTGTCAGTCATTTACACGTATACTCACTGTCATTGAATTTACACGTATACTCACTGTCAGTCATTTACACGTATACTCACCGTCATTGAATTTACACGTATACTCATGTCACCGCCATAGACGTTTACAGTGTACAAAGCTGAAGCAAAAGAAAATAAATGTACCTTTATGTCAACATTCTAGTGTTTGACTACGAGACGACGACAGGCTATCTCCTGGCGGTGACCGTGACAGACAGCGGGACTCCCCCACTCTCAGTAAACGTCGCCGTGAGAATCCTGGTCACCCCCGTCAACGAAGCCCCGCCCATCTTCAGCCAGACCACCTACACCGTGGCTACAACAGAGAGTGCCCCATTTGGGGACAGGGTGGCGCAAGTGACGGCGACAGACGCCGACGTTGGGGCATTAGACGGCACAGTACGATACAGCATTACCGACGGGGACAGTCAAGGCAGGTTCACAATTCGCGAGTCAGCAGGGAGTATTACCATAGCCAAACCGCTTGATAGAGAGTCTCTGGATACTTACAATCTCACTGTGATAGCAGTAGATGATGCACCAGGGTCAGTGACAGAACGGACCGCAACTGCCTTTGTATTTGTGACCGTGACGGATGCTAATGACAACTCCCCGGTGTTTACACCGTCGACCTACGTCGGACTTGTGTCGGAAGATGCTAGTCCTCTTGCGGTTATTCTCACTGTAACAACCACTGATGATGATCTTGCAGGAAATGTCAATTCTAGGATACAATACAGTGTGATTTCGGGGGCCACTGGAAATGTATTCGAATTTTCAAATGCTGATTTACGGTTAGCAGCAGGAAAGAGTCTCAATTATGCAACGTCGTCATCCTACGATCTGGTGATCCAAGCTGCTGACAAGGGAAACCCCGTGCTGACCACTACAGCAAGGGTCACTGTCAATGTCCAGCCAGCGAATCAGAACAATCCGATATTCACAGATCCAAACCAGAGCATTTCTGTAGATGAATCGGTAGCTGTTGGTACAAAGATCCTCACCACTACCGCTACAGATGCAGATTCAGCGATCTTTGGGAGCGTAGCATACACAATCATCAGCGGTAATGTTCCGGCGAACAGTTTTGTAATAGATGATGTAACTGGAGATATTCTGGTCTGGTCGAAGCTTGATGCTGATGTCGCACCCGGCTTCTTCAACCTAACATTGGAGGCAACTGATGGGGGAGGGAAGTCTGCCACAACATGGCTGCACATAGCTCTCAACGACGTAAACGACAACTACCCACAGTTTACCAGAAATTTATACAACGTCGCCGTCGACGAGAATCTGAGCATAGGCACTTCCGTTGCCCGCATCGTCGCAACAGATGCCGACTCAGGAACAAACGGACAAATCGTATATTCAATCACTTCCGGTGACGGGCAGACGACATTTGATATTGACGCCACCACGGGTGAAATAACAACGGTATCCGCATTAGATTATGAAATCAAAAGGATCTTTAGTCTGGTTGTCATGGCGACGGACAGTGGCACGCCGACACCAAATAGTGCCACAACAATGGTTGTGATTTCTCTCAACGACCTGAACGACAACAGTCCAACCTTCACTCCATCGACCCTCACTGTAGAGGTAACGGAAAACGTTGCCATTGGAACACCAGTAGTTACAATGGTGGCGTCGGACGCTGATTCAGATGCTAACAGTAACAACAAGTTTGTCTACATAATGATAAGCTCTTTGTTTTCTATTGACCCAAAAACGGGGACTATAGCTACGAAAGGCCTCATCGACAGAGAGAAAACAGCACTGTAAGTACCACTTTCTATATCTTTGAGATTGTATGCACTTGCTGTAGAGGTGTTAGAAGTCCTTCTAATGACCCTGATAGCCCGTTGATAGGTATTACTGCTTGAAAACACGCTGTAGGACCAGCCATTGTGGAATCTGAAAGTTAACAAAAACTTATGTTATATACCGTCCTGTGCCCCAGTCTCTATTGGGGTTTCCAACTGACTTCCACTCGACATGACGAATCAGCTATCTGACATTGTCCCTACTCATCTTCAAGGGACGACACGGGAGGCTTTGTCTAAAGCCTCGAAAACCTTTCCATAGACGTACCAGAAACCTACGATCGTGGGTTCGAATCCCGTTTCGCCATGATTATGTTTCTTGGTTAGTCAGCACCATACCCGTACTCGTGGGTGGCGACACCGTATTTCTCTGTGCTGTAAATCTACTTTTATCATTATGAGAATCGTGAGTGAAAATGGCATTCCGCCGCTCTAAGCAATATAATATCAATACGAAGGGGGGGAACACGTTGTATTCATGTAGGTAATCGAACCCGGTCTTACGGCGTGACGAGCGAACCTTTAACCACTTGGCCCTTTTCAGAAAGATAATGTGATAGGTTTGTTTCTGAGACACACGGGGGCGGTCGGGTAGCCTAGTGGTTAAAGCGTTCGCTCGTCACGCCGAAGACCTGGGTTCGATTCCCGACATGGGTACAATGTGTGAAGCCCATTTCTGGTGTCCTCCGCCGTGATATTGCTGGAATATTTCTAAAAGCGGCGTAACACCATACTCACTCACTCTGAGACACACGTTTGAGAAGCAAGTTTATGATAGTTCGCCGATATTTTTACTCATCAGCCATCTCCTGACAGTGACCGCCCGGGACCAGAACGGAGTGGGACGGGTGGGGACTGCAACTCTAACTGTCAACATCGTCGACGAGAACGACAACTCCCCCGTCGTCACCGGCACCTACTCTAAGACTGTTCCCGAAGACACCAAAGTGGGCACAATTATCGACACTGTCACAGCAACCGACGCCGACAGCGGTCGTAACGGCGAGATGACCTTCACAATTACCAATGGTGACCCAAACAGTGACTTCACTCTGGATACAACATCCGGCATTTTGCAACTAAGAAAGGTCTTGAACAGAGAAGTAACGCCTAGCTACGCTCTTGAAATCACCGTAACTGACAACGGAGTCACACCAAAAGACGATGTCGTCATTGTTTCCATCACAGTCGGAGACGTCAACGACAATGACCCAGTGTTTCAGAACTTGCTATATAACTTCAGTATTGCGGAAAATGTCCCCCTCGGCTCCACCGTAGATTACGTGACAGCGTTGGATGCCGACATGGGCGTGAACGGGGATGTTGAATATGCATTTATTATATATTGGCAAGGCAAAACATCCGATTTCACTGTAGACAGTGTAACAGGGGAAATAACCACTGCTGGAGGTTTAGACCGAGAGACGATGGACACATACCAAATATGGCTGAGAGCATCAGATAAGGGAACTCCTAGCCGATACAGAAACACTAACGTCACCATCGTCGTTACTGACCTCAACGACAACGATCCTCACTTTGATTCCCTTTCGTACTCGGCCACAATCAGAGAGGACCTTGCAGTTGGTACAGCCATCCTTCCAGTGATGGTGACAGACAACGACATCGGTGTCAACAGTGACATCAAGCTGTCCATCGATACGTCAACATCAGAGGGGACTACGGCTGATCTGGTGTTTGCGACTAATTCAGTCACTGGAATTGTGTCTCTGAAAACCAATGTTTACCAAGACGCCGACCGGACGTATATTTTCAAAGTCCTCGCTGTTGATGGAGGCGCGACACCCCGCACTGCGACAGCTACGGTGACGATTAACGTGCAAGACGTCAACAACAACCCCCCTGTTATTTCTCCTCGTTTTTACAACACTGAAGTGGCTTACAACGGTGTCTGTGACAGCTCCATTACCACCGTGACAGCAACAGATGCAGACAGTGGACTGAATGGGCAGATCAAGTACTTCCTCTCACAGAGCACCTACACCTATCTGTTTTCCATGGATGGGGCCTCGGGTAACTATTTTTTTAACATAAAAGGTATTATGGTAATAATAATAATAATAATAATAATAATAATAATAATATATTATAATAATAATAATAATAATAATAATAATAAGAAGAAGAATAATAATAATAATAAATGTAAATTGTAAATTTGTACAACGCTTATTCAAAACAATGCATGCTCATAGCGCGCAATTATTTACCCCGCCAACGGAACAGTGTATAATCAATATATGTTCTAAGGTAAATGGGTGAGTATACAACTCAAGCAATGATAGCACTGATGATTATTACAAACTCTTTGACGTCTCTGCCAAGACCTCCATTAAAGACCGCCTCCGTGGTCTAGTGGTAGAGCGTCCGCCCGGGGAGCGGAAGGTTCGGGGTTCGATTCCCGGCCGCATCATACCAAAAGTCGTTAAAAGATGGTACTAGCTGTAACCCTGTCTGGCGCTGGGCATTAAGGGGCTAAACCAAGGACTGGTCGGCTCGGAGTCAGTATTCTGTGTCTGAGTTAAACTGCGGCATGGTATCTCAGTTGACTAGTTCTAAAAATCAGCATCAGTCCGGACTAGTACAAGCAGCCACACACACGTACATGCACGTCGCTATGTAAGTGCAATAATCTTGGACGTGACTTAAACCCCATTTCACCTCACCTCACCTCACCTCCAATAAAATGTACCCACGGGAGGCCCAGTCGTTTCAGTTCGTTGTGCAGAGATTTGTCCCTTGGGCACGCCAGAAATCTATGATCGTCGGTTTGAATCCTTGTTCGTACCGATTATGTTTCGAGGTTTGTCTGCACCATACCTGTGCTAGTGGGTTTCACCAAAGGGCTAAACGTCTGATACCTGCATCACTTCGGGTTTTCCTCCAACATTAACCTGCCACGCCGTGATATAACTGGAACACTGTTAAAAGCGGCGTTAAATCTTTAAGATATTTCTCACTGTCGATACCCAATACTTACTCCTACATTAACTTATAATTTATCCCTTAAACAAAAAAATTCTTCTTGTGACTTTGAAATGAGCTTCGCTGCATGTTCCGACAGGAGTTGTCTCCCTTGCGTCCCAAGCTTCAAACAACTTCCGTTACGTCATAGAAGCCTTGGCACAAGATGCTGGCAGCCCCGTGCTCACCGCTACGACCCCTGCCACCATCCGCATCGACTCCTTCGACCCCAACGTCGTCGCAGTCACCTTCAAGCTCAACATTGACCGGACCACTTTCCAAGCCGAGAAGGGCACCTTCATCTCTGAACTCCAGACCCTCATACGGGCTTCTTACCCGTCCGCCATGTTCAGGGTGTGGTGTGTAGAGTCCGCGGGCACCACCCAAGTATCAGGAAGGAGGAAGCTACTCCAGGCGTTCAGGTATTAATAAATGCTTTTAATTAGAACTATTTACAATTGTTTTACGGTATCAGATCAATAAAGGTAAAGTGGGGTGAGATGGGGTTTAAACGTCGCGATCACGATTGCACTTATATAGCACTTATATAGCGAGTGTGTGTGGCTGCTTGTACTAGTCCGGACTAATGCCGATTTATAGTGCTAATTCACTGAGATACCATGCCGCAGTTTAACATGAATACCCTAATCAGACACAGCTAGTATACTGACTCCAAGCCGATTTATAGTGCTGGCTCACTGAGAAACCATGCCGCAGTTTAACATGAATACCCCTCTCAGACACAGTATACTGACTCCGAGCCGACCGCAGTCCTTGTTTTAGCCCCTTAATGCCGAGCGCCAGGCAGGGTATCAGGGTAAAACTATCATCTTTTAACGTCTTTTGGTATGACGCGGCCGGGGATCGAACCAGGGCGGACGCTCTTCCACTCGACCACGGAGGCGGCCAATCATTTAAGGAAGACGATCAGGGAATGTCGTTCGCCAACATAAAATACTGTGTCAGATCTTCACGCTGAGTAGTATCGTATCGCAGTAAAGGATCTTAATTAATTGAGTTTGTGTAAATTTGGCTCTAACGTGTTAGCATATATGTAATCACTATGTTATATCTCTCGCTTTGTCCTTGTGCTTAGCGTATTGCCTCGTCATGGTGAGTGAGTGAATTATATTTACCCAAAAGTCGATCATACTAGAGCTGTATCATGGTAGCTTGTAAACCATGTAGTCTCGTCCTATAAACTAATGGTTGACAGCATGATCATGGAGCAAGATGACATTATATCAGAGGCTTTAAAACATGCATTGAACGTCATGGATAAAAGTCAATAGGACCCACATAGAGTTCTTCTGTCAGGGCACGACCACGACGCCATATCTTATCCGCTTCGTGATTTCTTTATCTCCCCAGTCCGGTGACCGTGCATGGGTACACTGTAGCAGACAGCTCTACCGACTCCGTCAGTAACGTCACGCAGGACAAGACGTTGCTGACGTCCTCAGAGACACTGAAGTTCCTCTCTACCGACCCCCTGGGGACGCCGATTTCGGCCCTTAATGGTGAGACTATTAGGTTGCAATGAATTCGAGTTAGCAAGTTGGGTGTATGCGGTGTTTCAGTTATATCCCGACGTGTCTCCTCAACGCGGGACGGTAAGTGACGCAGGTCGTATGTATACGTATTAACTATGGTGACCACCGGCCACGGGCATGGTACTGACAAACAAAGGAGCATAATCGTGGTGAATATGGGATTCGAACCCAAGATCACGGAAAGGGGCGCAACGCTCTATCGTGAGTTCTGTCGCCCTAGCACACTGGACCAGCCCCGTCCCATACTTTTGTTGAACTAGATGGACTCAATGGACCTTGTCGAACGTAATAAATATGTGTGTTTGTGTGGTATTATGTATTCTTAATTACATTTACTGTAATCCTATTGGTAACAATAATAAGTAAAAATCAGGATTATGAGGTGTGGTAAGGTGACGTCACGTCCAAGATTATTGCACATCTATATCGACGTGCATGCACGTGTGTGTGTGCGTGTGTGTGTGTGGCTGCTTGTACTAATCCAGATGGATACGGATTTATAGTGCTAGCTCACTGAGGAACCATGCCGCAGTTTAACATGAATACCCCACTCAGACACAGCATACTGACTCCGAGCCGACCAGTCGTTTTAGCCCTTAATGCCGAGCGCCTGACGGGGTAACAACAAGTACCATCTTTTGACGTTTTATGGTATGACGCGGCCAGGGATCGAACCCCGGACATTTTGCTCCACGGGCGGAGAGACCACGTAGAGGGTCTCAGGATTATAACATTATCAACATCATAACGACGAAGGTTTGAATAATTTCTTTACAAATATAATTCAGTCATACAGTTAACCTGCTTCCACTCTATGTGGTGTGTGCGTGTTATTATTAACCGACTGACGAAGACGAAAGCATATATCTTCTCTACACCAGTCGTGTTTACCAATGGCCCATCGTTGTTCTTCAGAGGGAGGCCTAGCTGGGCTCAGTATCCAATCTGTGAGGCGCTACTATGACCCCGTGACCCCTTGGGCACAGACGTTAGAGGGCATCATCATCCTCACCGTCATCGCCGTTGTCATCCTAGTCCTCATCTGCACTGTCGTCGTCTCCAGTCTCTACGGTTGCAGGAAAAAGAAAAGGTTTTTGGTCGACGTTGTAGGACACGATGTTTTTTCTCACTATCACGAAACATTCGTGACCAACTCGTGTTATTCGGGACAAGCCGAATAGCGACTCGTGTCCCTCTCGTGCCCTTTTTTGCGACCAGGTTCCGTCTTAGCGCAAACGGGCATACGTAAAACAATTGTAAACTCGTTGCGTAATGGTTCACATATATTTCCCCTTATATTATATATATTTCAGATGCAATTTAAAGCACATCGGGACGTGCGAAATTATACAGTACGATTGAACACATTTAACTTGTCTTGGATACTATAATTTTAGATGCAAAATATATGTAAAATCAGAAATTATTTCTGAGGGATTCTTTGACGAAGAACGTGAAGTCATACGCGCATTCTGATTGGTTTGTCGTATTTACGCACATAACATTCATCGAGAGGGGGACGAGTCTTCTTGCAGTTTACGAAAAGGGGTGACTGGTGACGAATGTTTCACCAAAGAGAGGTGATTCTTAAACTTTAGCTCGTGACGCCGAAGACTCGGTTTGAATCCACTCATAGATTCAAGTTTCCAAGCCAAATTTTGGTGGCCTGATATGTTGGGATTATTGATTATTACGGTGTTACTCAGTCGTCGGAATTCTCTTTGGAGAGTTGCTTCCCTTATATGTGCAAGAATCCTGTGGTCGGTGATTCGAATTCCGGAATATCATCATGATTCTTGGTTTGTCAAGTTCTTGTGATTGTTTTTCAGACATATATTAATCATGGATATTCACATGGATCTTTATTCGTTGCTTTTATATGTAAACCGAGTTTCCTTATGAGTGCAGACATTCGACAGTTGTTTTTTTTCTTATTTTTGCGAGACGAATGTATTCAGAAAGCTTCAGAAATGCCGTAAGGTCATTTTCATATGAAGTCGGTGGTCTACAGCCTGAACAAACCTGATAATGTTTTCACTCAACATATAGTCGTTAAGTAATCTGTAAATCTGTAAATCTGTAAACGTGAAAGATATTGTTAATAATTCAATGATTAATCGACTTGTGAGTATACAAACAGGGTTCGACCCGTTTCACGTTGGAAATTACACTATTAACTCGAAACAACAAACGTCACTTTCTGTTATTTTAATAATCGTGTATAATGTCAAGTGTCACGCATGCACGCGCGCACACGCACGCACACGCACACACGCACGCACGCACACACACACACACACACACACACACACACACACACCTAACGCTAATCAGGCACATAATGTGAGACACACACACCTTTTTGTTGTCGCTGTCTACATATACCTTGTTTCCATTTTCTGTAGACCCGTCAGCCCTCAACCAAGACGAGTTGGTACACCACAGTCCATCACCGTCGTCACACCACAAAGTAGGTCACTCAATCCTCATCTTCTGGATCACCGGCACACCCAGTCGTTGAGTCCACAAACCTCCGGTTCTTACATTGTCATCGTAGCATCGTTGATGATGTTAATAAAGACTATTTCGTCTGATCAAGACTCAATTACTTGCCAGGCATTAATCGTGCAGAATGCGACATAAGACAATATCAACACCGTAAATCAAATGTTCTCCTGGGTTATAGAAGAATGGCCTGGGTTATAGAAGAAGAGAAGAAATATTTGATTTAAGTGTCACGCATTGTACAGCATAAAATTTCCACGTAGCTCGGGAAGATGTGTACATGTACAATGCCCGGCCAGTATCAGCAATGAGACACTAACGTCATTAAAATGCGTAATACATTAATAGATTAAAAGTAAACACTATAAGCGAGTAAAAGAAGAAAACAAAATGCTGGATGTTGGATCCTCTGTTGCAGGTAATATACCGGATATCCTGTACATGGACCCCCCTCCAGTGAGTAGACTTAATTTATCAGCGTGTGTCAGGATCAAATATGTTGATAACCGTTGGATCTTTACGTATCTTTAACTCCATGTTTGTACAGATTGTTAAATAGAATAAACACGACACGCGTTCGGGATCCAGGTCAAAGAGCTTCTAGCTTCCCATCATTGGTTTCCCAACAGTTGGCCAATGAGCATCGGGCTGTTGCTGTGTGACCTGTACGCGTGTCATCGTGCCCCTATGGCGTGAATTATATGTCATTGCAGTTCACAACGTAGTGTGTCTGTCCAAGCAGCCATGGACTATTTTTGGTATTGTTCGTGATAGAGCTGGGATGTAGCTGAATACGACGGAAATTATTCGCTTAATCACTCATGAATAAATGACACTTTTTATGGAATGCAACGTCTGTCATTCTTCGTTACGACGTTTCAGAGCTACTTTTTGCTCCTTCATCAAATGAATCACGACATTTCAGAGCTACTACGTCACGCCGAAGACCCGGGTCCAATTCCCGACATCGGTACAATGTGTGAAGCCCATTTCTTGTGTCCCCCGCCGTTATATTGCTGGAATATTGCTAAAAGCGGCGTAAAACCATACTCACTCACTCACTCAGAACTACTTCTTGCTCCTTCATCAGATGAATCACGACATTTCAGAGCTACTTCTTGCTCCATCAGGTGACTCACCTGAATAAGGAGCAAGAAGTAGCTCTGAAACGTCGTGATATAGAATAAAAGAAGTTGGTATCCATAAAAAAATTCATTTATTCATGTTCTCCAAACTTCTAAATGCCTACCCAAGACTTTACTCACTCATGTTATCATAATTTTTACGATGTGTAAAAACGTATAGATCTACCAGTACGCCTGTCACAGATTTGATTATTCACAGATCGACGTGATGTGGCTGGAATATTGCTGACTGGTGCAAGTATATAATATGTAAATGTTGTGTGAAAAGCACGTTTCTAAGCCAGATTTGTTTCCTTGGTAAAATACAACACACAATACAAAGACGAACTAAGGAGCACAGGCGGTTTGTGAGTGATACTGTCTAACCCTTGTGTGTCCATGACAGGTCTACACGGAGTACGACGCACCCGTCAAGTCTCCGCGAAACCTGTTCAAGAACAGGAAGTTCCGGTCTCTCGCCATTTTGAACAGAGAGTTTGAAGGAAAAGCGGTTGACCCAGGTAAGTGACCCGGGGTGTTCTCAGCCGAGAAAGTCCTTTAGGTTACAGTTTTATTCGCGGTTTGTCTGTACCGAAGTTGGGAATCAAACCTAATTTAGCGGTACTTAGTGTATAAGGAGCGATGAGGTAGCCTTGTGGTTAAATCTCTTACCCACGACAGGATTCGATTCCGCACTCGGCAACAATGTGTGACGTGCCTGCCTTGATTGGGCTTTGTAAAACACAATTTACAGATTCGATCAGTCAATATGATTTTACTTTTATAATTTTATAATTCTCAGTACAAGTAGTTTATGTGATAAATAAAAACTCATTATCGTAATTGCCTTTACAAATGCTTATAAACAGATACAACATGCAGCCAGCTAACCTCTCGGCAGTAATTATTTTTTTTTTTTTTAATTTTTAACCTGTCCCGAGTGATTACATTACATAATGTTTATATTTACAACTTTAAGTGACTTAATGTGATATGCTGTTTTTGGAACAGCATTCATGAATATGAAACAAATTCATCCGCAAAGATACATTCAGAAACGTTTATCTATCAAATTCTTCTTTTGGATATAACTGGAATTAAAAAAAGATTCTACTTTCCAAGCTTCCTTTTCCAGTTACACATGTTTAATATAATATTTATACGAAAGTATATGTTGGATGTAGATATTTCTCTCCGTAACTGTTACACATTGTACAACCAAACAAAAATTTATTTTTTTTCATCTTCCATAACAGAGACATCTGCTGTAGAATGAAAGTAACGATAAAGTCCCTCTTTACCGATTCATTCGACCCGTGAATATCCGGGGTTGAAAAGCTCTTCAGCAACCGATGCTTGCTGTGGAAGGCCGAATATGCTTGTCGTAAAAGGCGACTAACGGGAACGGGTGGTAAGGCTCGCTGACTTGGTTGATGCATGCCATCGTAGGGGTGGTCGGGTAGCCTGGTGGTTAAAGCGTTCGCTCGTCACGCCGAAGACCCGGGTTCGATTCCCGACATGGGTACAATGTGTGAAGCCCATTTCTGGTGTCCCCCGCCGTGATATTGCTGGAATATTGCTATAAGCGGCGTAAAACCATACTCACTCCCTCACTCACTCGCATGCCATAGTACCCAATGCGTGGACCGATGCTCATGATGTAAATCACTGGATTGTCTGGTCCAGACTCGATTATTGTACAGGGTACAATGTGTGAAGCCAATTTCTGGTGTCCCCCGCCGTGATATTGCTGGAATATTGCTATAAGCGGCGTAAAACCATACTCACTCACTCACTCACTCACTCGCATGCCATCGTACCCAATTGCGTGGACCGATGCTCATGATGTCAATCACTGGATTGTCTGGTCCAGACTCGATTATTTACAGACCGCCGTCATATAGCTTGAATATTGCTGAATGCGGCGTTAAATACCAAACAAACAAACCGATTTATTCTGTACTATAGGCCCATAATAACTTTCGAACTTTGAAGACAGAACATCCATAACCACCACTGTGATTTACTCCGTAACTACGGGTGTGTGACACCAGTGTAACAGTGTTGATCATTGCACCACTCCACTCCACTCCACTGGCAAGCTGGTACCCTTACTTTCAGGCACCGTGATAAAGCTTGAATATGATGCGGCGTTCAAGAACATTCATTCTTTCATTTCCTTTCTACCCTGCAGCTTCCGGGAAGGTGTACGGCTATAATACCAGAACCAATGAGAGGAAGTGGCTGACGACAAGCGAGGGTGGCAGTGTTCGGGTCACCCACCGCTGACCTACTGCCAACACCGTTAGGCTGTGCTGCTGCGAAGGATACGTCCTATCTGTAATGGTTATTCGGACACCATTTACTGACATCGATCACATTTGTGTCTGGCAGATAGTCTACTTACACATATCAATATGTATTGCAAAAAAAATTAATCTGACAGCGATGTATCACACATGTTAAACACATGGAAGCTGCACTGATTATTCTTGATACAATAGGATGGTTTAATAAACGAGGGGAGTACCATCCCTGACATCCCATCTGTGTTAATGGTGTGATGGTTTGCATGTAAGACTCGACTCCAGACAAGGCTGTTTAAAATATATTTCTTGTTTCTCGCGATTACTCACATGAAATTGCCGAATATATTTAAACACTCTACTTTCTCGTGCAGTCTTCTAACCCCCCCCCCCCCCCCCCCCCTCAGTTAACAAATGTCATTAGAAACAAAATTATTTCTCTAACAGCCTGAGGGGCGGAGTGGTAGCCTAGTGGTTAAAGTGTTCGATGGGTACCCACATGGGTACAATGTGTGATCTTTTGTCCAGGCCCCGCCACAATATGGAGGGGATATTGTTAAAATCGGAGTAAAACAAACCTCGCTCACACACTAACTTAAATAGTCTAAGACAAAGGAGTAGCTATATGTACTGCCAAACGGAGAAGCGTGTTAATTTGTTTAAACGTTTCCAACCCGTATATCAATTCTGAAAGCTACCGACATTTTTGTCTTTGTGAGTACTTGTGGAGAGAGTGTGAGGGTTCACGTCGTTGGAAGAACATTTCAGTTATATAACACTGACTCCAAAGTGTGGAGTTCGTAGACCTCAAAAGATACTAAATTAGCGTCCCTGGGAGCGGGAACAATTTGTGAAGCCCATTTTTGGTGTCCATCGCCATGTTATCCTGGAATATTACAAGCGGAGTAAACCTCACTCGTATGTTCTGTGTAAACCGACTGCTATAGTCGAAGGCTACTGCTCTCCCCTTCAACATATATGCATATTTATGAGTTTTATAATATACATAACATGTAATATATTGTATACATGTATATTGTTCAACAATATTCATTCGATTGAGACACCTGTCTAATATCATGGTCAAAGTAATTATAGTGTGTTGTCCAAATTAACCATCTTCCATCCTACTTCTTAGACATCGGAGTGAGTGAGGCTGTTTCGTATAACGCACCAGCCGCTTTGAACATTATTTCAGTTACATCACAGCGTGTCAGTTTTATGTGGGAGGAAAGCCCGAAGTGATGCAGGTCTGAGACGTTTACATGTACCATTTTGGTGCAATCGAGCACAAATCGAGGAACATAATCATGGTGAATTTAATATTCGAACGCACTATAATAAGTGACGCAAGTACAGCAAAGACAAATACGTTATACACATCATGCTACTACCACGCTGATAATACAGTGCAGTGAGGGATGGAGGCGGTTAACGCATCGTAGAGTGATGACGGTCGTGACTGGTGATACAAAGCTACGAGCTTGGGTACGGATGGTGGTGATGATCAGGGCAAATCTGGGTGAGGTGAAATGTTGTACTAATCCGGATTTATTGCGCTAGCCCTCTGATATACCATGCCACAGTTTTAACATGAATATCCCATTCATACACAGTATACCGACTCTGAGTGACCAGTCCTTTTAATGTCATCCCATTAATGTTAATACCCGTGAAGATCCAGCATTCGGCCTTCAGCAAGCCATGTAAAAGTGTAAAAGTGAGTGAGTGATTTTGGTTTTACGCCGCTTTTAGCACTATTCCAGCAATATCACGGCGGGGGACACCACCAATGGGCTTCACACATTGTACACATGTGGGGAAACAAACCCGGGTCTTCAGCGTGACAAGCGAACGCCTTATCACTAGGCTACCACACCGCCCCTTGCCGAAAGATTCGACTATGCTTATCGTAAGAGGCGACTACAGAATCGGGTGGTCAGTATCGATGACTTGGTTGATGCATATTATCGTATCCCAATTGCGTAGATCGATGCGCATGTCAGTCACTAGATTATCTTGTCAAGACTCGATTATTAACAGACCGCCGTCATACAGATGGAATACTGCTGAGTGCGGCGTCAAGCAACAATCAAACTATCCATATCTAACGCCAGGTATTGTGACAATTACCATCTTTAAAGTCTTTTGGAATGAGCGGCCGGGTACTGAACCACCTGCCTTCCGTACTCCAGACAGACGCTCAATCCTTGACCACGTGGCGGTCCCTACCCTACACAGCGAATTGTCTGGTCCTAGAGCTCTGGGCCAAAAGAGTACGCAGCCTGACAACTAATACGCTGTCAGTGTCAACGCAGTTCGACAGCTTAAATGAATCACACGTCCATAATGTAAGTGAACGACATATTGTGTCATCGTTCCATGTATGTACCAATTAGCAACAAGAACACAATACATAGTTACGAAAAGATACAAATATGTTTTATTACAATCTATATACAATGGCAAGGACATTGATCGTAAAACAAGTGCACAAAAGTGAAAATATTTCACGCACCCGAATCATCAAAAATTGGTCAACATTGCCACAAGAATGGGATTAACTACGTCTGCGAATCACATGATCATATTAAATGCCTATACACACGTATTTACAAAGACCTATATGGTGAATCATCTGCCTAGCATATTATAACCTAACAATACCTATAAGGTTGTCATGACAATTAACAAGTGCAAAGTATAGGTACCTATAAAAATATAAAATATGCTCCGACGGAACTGGGGAATAGGATTTTTTTAACTCCAATTGAGAAATCCTATTTCTAAACTCACTGGATAGACTTTTGAAAGTTTTGAGTGAGTGAGTGAGTGGGTTGGGTTTAACGCCGCTTTTAACATTATTCCAGTAATATCACGGCGTGTCAGCTTAACGTGGGAGGAAAGCCCGAAGTGATGCAGGTCTCAGACGTTTACCACTTCGGTGAGACCCACGAGCACGAGTGTGATGCTGACAAACCTTGAAACACAATTCGAACTCACGATTATAGGTTCCTGGCGTGCCCAAGGGCCGATACTCTGCACAGTGAATTGCTGCTCTTAGACGACTGGACCACCCGTGCCTTTTATTGAAACAAAGATTTCTCACTAGATGCGCCTTCGATATGGAGTAATATCGTCAGCCCTTGTACATACCGGTATGCTTGCCTTCGTAATTCCTTCACAACACATCAACGTAATAAGCATATGCATACGAGAACATTTGAAATTCCGTGTAGCATTTGCACAGTACAAAAAATCAAACTGTTTCTAGAAATTAAACTTGACCATATGTTTTACTTTCAATCTCTTACAAATACTCCGCGAAAAAGGTGGAATAATTGGGTTAAGTCATCAGCACAGGGGTTAACTCCACAGCAACGTAAAACGTCTACTGACTTTAACCCTTATGTGATTCCCTGCGTGGAAGCTCTAATAGTAGGGTACATAATTGTGTGATTTGGTCATAAAGTAATTATGGAGATATGGAACCTTATGGATTAGGTAAAAAATTCATGCAAAAAACGATAAACGTGAAATAAAATGACATTTCTATTAAAAGATGATTATGATAAGGCCACGTTAAATGTTTTTGGTTCAATTTCTCCACCCGACCCGGAACTCATGCCGAACATGTATAAGTTGGTTATTATATGATAATTTCCCACCCAAGTCTGATTTTTAAGTTGTTACAGTTAGTCCCAAATCGAGAAATTTCACGAGAACAATATTTTTTTCGTGACTAAGGTGTGCCTTTTTCTTCCAATATATTGAACGAGTAAAGACGAAATGTATGATATGTAGTCTTTACAAAATAAAATTTAAAAAAAAACTTTACAGATTAAAAACAATTGCCAATACTATTGCAAGACTAAGATATTAATTGTATGAATTTGTGTTTCTAACATGCGTATTCATTCCCTAACATATACAATTGATATATGTTCTCAACAGCACAAACACCCAGGAAGGAACCAGCTCTCCTTGCTTTAAAAATAATTCTCCTCTTCACGTTTGAATTGTCTTTTACAGAATTTCCGAGTGTCATTCTTTGATAGCTTTGTTTTAAATCAAGTCTCTTATGTCATGATGATTTCAATATTTCCTGTCGCGACCAGGGGGCATGTAACCTGAAACAAAGAAACAGCATTAAGAACGAGGAACACAATCACCCATGTCACCATCATCTACATCCAGAACAAGTAAATGTTTCAATTGTTCAACATCTAAATTTGTGAATGGAACCAAACTTTAGAAACGCTTTAAACTCGTAAAACATGTTCATTTAAGATAAGCAAATTATTAATTAATTATTTAAGATAAGCAAATTATTAATTAATTATTAAAATTACAGTAGTGCATCTGTTGATATCCATGGTGGCACTTCAAAGTTTCACAATCATCTGTGGAACCTTTGGAGGCGTTCGGTTTTTCAAACACTTTTGCTTCAGTGATAATGATTTTACAAACGCATGTATTGGTGTTTGATGACCGTAAATAATTATACTCAGAGTCATTTTTCTATGAGATACAAATAGTACATGTTTTCTGTTTTACAAAAAGACCCCGTGTTTAGAATAATTTGGATATAAGAAACTGGTCATTTTAACCGGTCCATAACTGAACTATGATATTCTCATAACCGATGGCGTGAATGAGTGCCCGGGTTGACTTTTACGTCGCTATTAAAAATAGTCCAGCAGTCAACAATTATGATGACATTATGAACAATTAATCACGCTATTGCTGTTGCAGTTGATTCAGAGCCCGGAATTCACTGACCATTCTGAACTGGTATTTAAATATTGGTTGGTTGGTTGGTTGGTTTGTTGTTAAACGCCGCACTCAGCAATATTCCAGATATATGACGGCGGTCTGTAAATAATCGAGTCTGGACCAGACAATCCAGTGATTGATATCATGAGCATCGATCCACACAATTGGGATACGATAACATGCATCAATCAACAAGGTCTGCGAGCCTGACCACCCGACCCCGTTAGTCGCCTTTTACGACAAGCATAGTCACCTTTTAACAGCAAGCATGGGTTGCTGAAGACCTATTCTACTTATAGGAACGTGATACATCAGCCATATGGTTTTAAGTCGGAGAAATCACACGAATCTGTTAATTATATATGTAGAATCAATCTGGCCGAATGGGGCGAGTTGATTCTATATAAGGAATCAACAGATTCTCATGATTTCTCCATTACACACATTATGCACGATCAAAAATCACATTTCAACTGTCACTTTCATGATCTGATAAGCGATGCTCTGATTGGTCTGATGATAGGACGTTCTGGCATGACCCACAATGGGATGTCTTCATATCTTTGACATGACTCTTAGCCACAGGTGGCGCTACGATCGAGCCCGGGAATTCCAGCCAATTTGGGCAAGGGTGGAAACTGGACTTTTATAGTCAGATAACTCTCTGGCCACGGGACCATGCCAGAGATGGGCTTCACACAAATACCCATGTGGGAATTCGAATAGGGGTTTCGTCGTGCCTGGCGAACGCTTTAACCACTGAACTAGCCTACCACCCTCTGAAAGAGTAGATGCTACTGTTAAGATAGTAGGTAAAGGTACGAATTTCATAAACATTAAGGAGATTATGTTCTTCAGTGATTCCTCTAAAGGGAGACAACCGGCCTCACCTGGCTGTGTGATATTCATCCCAGCTGCTGGGTATCTGGCTCTCATATACGCTGATTCCCGCGCCCTTTTCTTCTTCATAAAACAACAGGCAATGATGATGGTAATGATGACGATGAATACAGCCGCAAGACAACAACCGATGATCAAACCAGCCCTGCAGACAGAAATCATGATCAGTTCTATTTCTCGCCTCGACTCATCCGACAGTTCAAATATATTGATGATCAATAATAAAAGTTTGTTTCTTTGTTGTTTAACGCCGCACTCAGCAATGTTCCAGCTATATGAAGGCGGTCTGTAAAAAATGGAGTCTGGACCAGACAATCCAGTGATTGATATCATGAACACCGATCAGCTTGAAAATACTGAAGACCTGATCATGAGAATGATGTTCTCTAAAACACAAGCATGATGTTGGCTCGCAGATGCCCCAAGGACCAGTGGCTAAGTGAGTCATTGGAAGTTATTGCCACAGGATATATCACTGTACATAGTCGAGTCTGGACTACACAAACCAGTGTTCGATTAATGTATTACGTTTAAGTGTAAATTCATGTAGTTCAATTGAGTGAGTGAGTATAGGTTGACACCGCTTATAGCAATATTCGAGCAACATCAAGGCGGTGACACTGGTATGGGCTTCACACATTTTACCCATGTGGGGAATCGAACCCGGCCTTCGGGGCGACGAGTGGACGCTTTAACCACTATGCAACCCCACCGCCCCTGCAGTTTAAGTTAATATGTTTGGTATCAACCAATATTTGTGCAAGTGTGCTAGCAGCCATATATACACACAATATTGTGTGGCTGTGACTGTGGGGGAGCACGAGTGGCCCAGTAGTCAAACGCACTGCAATTCTCCGTGCAGAGATGGTCCTTTGGGCACGCCACAGACCTATCACCTTGGGTTCGAATCTCGCTTCGCCCTGATAATGTTTCTAGGTTTGTCAGCACCACACTCGTGGCGGTGAGACCTGCATCACATCGAGGTTTCCACCATCAAGCTGGCAAGTCGTGTCACAGCTGGAATAATGTTAAAAGGGGCGTTCAACCCCTCACTCGCCCCGTGAAGATCCAGGTTAGAATAGGACTTTAACAGGCGACTAACAGGATCGGGTGGTCAAGCTGGCTGACTTGGTTGATACATGTCATCGATCCCAATTGCGTGGATCGGTGTTCATGATATCAATCACTGGATTGTCTGGTCCAGACTCGATTATTTACAGACCGCCGTCATATAGCTGGAATATTGCTGAGTGCGGCGTTAAACAACAAACCAACCAACCAACCCAACTCATTCACTCACTCACTCACACACTCACTGAGATTGTGACTTACTCGCTACAGCAGTGTCGGTTCCAGGAGTCTCCACAGCATCCCACCAGACACTCCAGGTACTCTGGCTGCTGGTCGAACAGGTTCCGGTAGTACGCACAACGCCAGCACAACGACTCTAGCAACACACAACAGTATACAAAATGAACACACGATGCCATTTATAAAGTGGTCAAATGTAACAAATGTTATATCTGGAATAACACTTTCCCGAGAAAGTACAGATTCTCGTACTTTTTTGGTTGAGTCCCATCAAGGATTCGAACCAACACTGCCAGAGTGAGGCACCACACAAAGTCAGCGATCTAACCCACTTAGCCACCGAGGCTTTTACAAAATGAAAGTCCGACAAATGGTAGTCTAGATCACGTACTTTGTGTACCCCTCAGTGGCTGAGTCGGTTAGATCGCTGACTAAGAAAGTCTTATCCCAAATATAACATTTGTTACAGTGTACACTACATCATCAACATCATCAACGGCATCGACACAACCGCCACCGTCATCGTCATGACTAAATATCATGTCAGCTAACAATTCCCGACCTGATGTGAACAGATATATAACTACTCCACTATCATCATCATCATCATCATCATCATCTTCAAGTATCATAGTAGTCTTTGACATCGTAAATATCGTCGTCTATATCATTATCAATGATCATCAAATTTGTCGTTATCATCGAAAATATACTCATCGTTGTCTTCATTTTCAATGCCAATCTGTCATCACCAAAGATGTTATCGTCACAATACCGTCTTCGACATATACATCATCGTCAATATTGTGATCGTTATTATTATCCTCATTAACGTCATAATCTTTATCATCAACTTCATCATCAAATCGATGATTACAGACTAAGCAGTATTATCACCACTATCATAGCATTACTGTAACGTTAATATTATCAAAAATGAATTGTTATCATTGATGTGGCATTCGTTCTCATTGTCAACATGTCGTACACTATTACTGTAAGCATGGTAAACACTTAGTTTCTTATTACTGGTTCGTAGACAGACCTATTGTATACAGTGAAAATGAACTTTTTTAATGATTCAACCTCTGTACATGTCACGCGTGCACACATTCTCCACATCAAAACTTGGACAACACGGCTATCCTTCGTGCTATAAATAGATCTATGACGTTGCTACAAACAATTCAAAAATATCGGGAAGGAATCTACCATCCAACCTGCAATAATACACTGTGTATGCCGTTTTATCTATATGTGTATACACAAACATCTATTGTTACACATAGACAGCACATGCTCATAGCTACATTTTCATAGCGCTAGGTTTTCATATCAACATTCCTCCATTTTATTGCTATCAAATAGGGGACGAATTTGGGTCACATATCTCTCAGGTGTGCTGTGTCGTGAAGCCAGTATTCAAACACACATGTATATAAATGCGAGTCTCCCTCGCATCATCTCTCACCTACACAAGAAGGTAAATAATAAGATCGATACATACTGTTTGATATTTCTGAGAAGCCAAAGCCCCTATTCCCCACAGTGTGGTACAGCGCTAAATACCTGAGCCGTGTTTGCGCTTCCGCCTGTAGACAATTTCCGACTGATGAACTCAAAATAAGGGTTTTTGTGTTTTAATATAATGTTTTAAACACCGATAACACTAATGTACCCCGGTTCAAGACGTATTCAAGTTATACAACGAGACTTACCTGTAATCACAGACAGGAAGACCAACAACGACACAGCGAAGGACGCCATTTTTCTCGGTCACACTTGAGTTGGTACGAGACACCTGTATGGCGTTATATAGAGGTACAGGTGCGAGTGCAACCTCGTTATACAGCAATGTCATGTCGCGCGGTCAGTTTTGAATAATGTTGTCACATGTGACCTTATAGGTCCGTTATGTTTTTGTACGGTAGGTTTGATTATCTTGGCGTTACATAAGACACTGGATTTAAGTCAAAGGTTCAGCGATATAAACATGAAATGTGACTCATCCACAACAAGACTACTATTGTTGCTATTTTATAGCATTACTTTCAAAGTCACCAAGTGATATCCGGATACCTATACATTCATTGTCGTTCGTTCATCATTTAATTAGTCATTGTTTTCTTTGGTCCACAAGCTTTAAATTCCCTTTCTTTGTTAATTATTATACCGTCAAACATCTCTGTGTCGAACCTACGATTGTCCCGAAGTATAAGCTTGGCCCCTGTATATTCCTTCTTTACTCATTATTTAACCTCTGATGTTTGGAATCGGATTTTTCGAAATTACAGTTCTCTCGAAGTCATTTTGTAGAATCAAACATGTACTTCCATGAAAGATTTACTCTCGTAAGTCGACCTCGCCTTGACTCATCTGTCATCGCGGTTCAAATATCATTGATGATCTTTAATAAACGTTTGTTTGTTTGTTGTTTAACGTCGCACTCAGTAATATTCCAGCTACATGACGGCGGTCTGTAAATAATCGAGTCTGGACCAGACAATCCAGTGACTGATATCATGAGCATCTATCAACGCAATTGGGATACGATGACATGCATCAACCAAGCAGCGAGCCGCGCCACCCGATCCCGTTAGTCGCCCCTTATCCCAAGCATAGTCGCCTTTTACAGCAAGCATGGGTTGTTGAAGAACTATTCTAACCCGGATCTTCACGGGGGACAAGCATTGGTTGTTGAAGACCTATTCTACCCGGAAAGTCACGGGTCCAATAATAAAATTAATGTTGGTCATTTATGTTATTCACTCTTCATGCCAACCGGTACGTGTATCCAAAATTAATTCATTGGTTGTGTCGAACCTCGGATAACGCGAAGTATTTGTTTATCTACCATTTACTCACGCTTTCCACCATTTGTCTAATTATAATTAGGATATTGTTTCTATTTTCCGCTGTACTGATTCGATCGACTGGAAGCCAAATTAAAATCACAAAATGAAGATAAATAGGTTAAATTTAGTTTATGTTATTGGCCCGACCTCTCCATCTTATCAGATAAAAACAAACCACTAATAAAAAATCATACAAAATACAAGTATTTTTCATTTCTAGGTTAATAATTGATAAAATGCATTGTATGTTGTCTCTGAATATTGCGCAGCCTCTAATAAATTTGACAAATCATTCTCAGAAGTGTATTATTTCTGTAGCAAAAAAACAACGATCCGTAAATAAAAATAATTACCAACATTGCCTATTTTCATCCAACATTTAATGGGTAACCGGTAGGATGATATAGTAATCACTGTTAACCTTCTAGTACCTTACAGAAAGCTTGTGGGTTGTATACTCCTCAGGGAGATGAAATTGAATGTCTAGTGCACAGTGACCCATTGTCCGGGGTTCTAATGTAGCGTCCTGAGCTCCCTTTAGAGTGTGGATTTGGCCCATTTTAAAAATTAGTATTCATTACTATTTGTGCACAGCATTATTCATATAATTATTGTATTCTATTTAGTAGTGATCTTCTGCTACCATCTTCCTCAGAGATAAAGAACCAACGAATCACTTATGATTCCAATTTTGTCAGAACCACACCCGATCGCATACACACATACGTCTCAATCTCTCACGTGACGTGTGTCGTGTAGCAGATGGAGGCGTCCATGTGTTTCCAGGTCCTGTATAGTCACGTGCAGTGGGAAGGTGTCGCTATCAATGACGTAGTGAATTCAGTTTCACGCCTCTGTCATCACTATGCAATCTGTGTCACATCTGCCTTTTAATAATCGTGTCTGGAGGGGCGGTCGGGTAGCCTAGTGGTTAAAGTATTCGCTCGTCACGGCGAAGACCCGGGTTCGATTCCCGACATGAATACAATGTGTGAAGCCCTTTTCTGGTGTCCCCCGCCGTGATATTGCTGGATATTGCTAAAAGCGGCGTAAAACCATACTCACTCACTCACTCGTGTCTGGACCAGGAAAGTGATTGATAGTATGATCGATGATCCACACTGTCTGCGTACGATGACACACCAAGGAACATGCTAAGGAATCTCTACAGAGAGACAAGCCTTGAGTACTTTGGGCCTATTCTTCTCCGAAGTATCTACCAGCAGACAGACCTGTGAGTGAGTGAGTGGTAGTGTTGGGTTTAACGCCGCTTTTAACGTTATTCCAGTTATATCACGGCGTGTCAGCTTAGTGTGGGAAGAAAGCCCGAAGTGATGCAGGTCTAAGACGTTTACCACTTCGGTGAAACCCACGAGCACGGGTATGGTGCTGACAAACCTAGAAACATAATTGGGGCGAACCGGGATTCGGACCCACAATCATAGGTTTCTGGCGTGCCCAAGGGACGCAACTCTGCACAGCGAATCGCGGCGCCTTAGACGACTGGGCCACCCGTGCCCCCGACAGACCTGTGAAGATCCGGGGTAGAATAGTTCTTCAGGAACCCATGCTTGCCATAAAAGGCGACTATGCTTGTCTTAACAGGCCACTAACGGGATCGGGTGGTCAGACACGCTGACTTGGTTGATGCATGTCATCGTATCCCAATTGCGTGGATCGATGCTCATGATGTCAATGACTGGATTGTCTGGTCCTGACTCGATTATTTACAGACCGCCGTCATATAGCTGGAATATTGTTGAGTGCGGGGTTAAATTATACACAAACAACAGAAACTAGCAGATAAGCGTGATGTAGTTGGGACATATTCTGTTCCGGAATCTCTACTGTGGGGAACGGGCCTATTCTGCTCTGATGAGTTACAGGAGACCTTTACACAAGGACTCCGCGTGTTAGAGGGGCATCCACGTTTATCAACGGTGAACCATCGCGTTTTCATGGAACATTAACAGCCAATGCCTTGCCTATTACGTGGAAATCACAACCCTAAATTCGGAGCGACTGTCTTCCTGCGACATCACTTCAACTGAGTCGACACTGGATTAGACCCTTGAGTCACCAGTCGTACGCGTGTTAACCCCGTGACACCTTGCTGCGGTGACAGCCACGAACTCTCTGGTCACTTTGTTACCAAGCATACACTAAATATAGAAGACTAGCTGCAGGAAATACACCATCTGTCAGCTGATAGGAAATATACATAAGTAATTACAATGATAGTCATGGTAGTAACCATCAAACGAACAAGGAGTGTCTCATCTGTATAATCAGATAATTGATGGCTACTTTTAGTTCAGTGCTTTTATTGATAAAGAAATTACTAAAAGTATGTAATTGTGACCCTTTTGATACGGATGTCTTTATACCATTATTCACAAAGTATAGATAATGACTATCCTTGATTTAGATTCTTCTTACTCTGCCCTTTGATTAAACTATATGAATATTGACTATTTTGCAATTTCTTTAATCTTTTATTTTTTATGCAAATTTTTTGTGTTAGTGGCGGGTGCTACCGGTAGGGCAGGACATGCTTACCCTTTTCGCGAACGCCTGGTGTCATCACTGATTTTCAGTGATCCATACATATAATTTTCACCATCATCTTGCCATTTACAACCAATGGAATCTGTTTCGTTGAAAATTGCTGCTATTATCTATCTGGCTTTGACGTTTTATACTTCGTGTGACCTTTTTCCTATACGTATTATGTTCATATGTTCATATCATTGCACTGTTCATGAGAACGACCAATTAGGGCCCGACCATTTGATATTCGTGGGGATTTTATCGAAAAAAATAAATTGTCCCCGATAATAATTATGCTTCATTAGATTGTTGCAAGGCATGTTTTAGAAAAATATAATAAGCTCATAAATGTAAATACAAAAAATATCTGGATTTGCAGCTGTACCTGAAATAAATAGGACCCTCATGACTTTTGTGTCAGAAAGTATTTCTGTATATTACCCTTTATAACAAAAGTGGACAATTGCCATCTTTTAAAATTATCTTTCTACCATTGTTCGTAAAAAGAATGATTTCTGTATATTATTATTATTATTATTATTATTATTATTATTATTATTATTAACCACAGATCATTACTTCCTCAATAAGGATATCTTTATACCATTGTCATACTTTGACAATAGTTATTTTACAATATGGCACTTTTGAACATCCGCTACTCAAAGACGACACAGTGGTTCTCTCCTTACAGATCAAGGGTTACATTAAAAATATATGGACTTAAAACGAAGGGGAAATGACTCTAAATTCAAGGAAATCCTTGTGACTTGACGATGCGTAATCACGGCACACTGAAACCGGTTCGGAAATCCCTGCTTTTGATTGGCAGTAAAAGTATTCTCTCCGCGCCGGCCAATCCCAACCTGTTGTTTACAAACCGGTTTGTAAAATGTTGATCAAGCGCTCTCCCCTCGGGTAATGTGAAGTGTATGTACATAAATGTCACGGTGGGGCTCGCTGGGACTGACAGAGCGTCAGGTGAGGCGGCAACATGGACTACCTTCCTATATTACTACTAGCTATAAGTAGCGTTCTGGAGCTTGGTAAGTTCTTAGTATAATTCACTTTTAATTAACCCGAGTACAAGATAGATTATAATTTTACGCAGACAGAATATGAAATATGTTTTTTTACAAAGTCATGTGAAGTTTCACATGAACTTTATTCCCCTGGGGCTCACTGGGTACTAAATATAATCCATAACATTTAAAGCGAGTACAAGACAGATTCTCAATTTACGCTGATAAATTTGAAATATGTTTTCTGATATAAGGTGTCGGTACGTTTCATATAAAATTTAATTTTCATTTTGGTGTGAACTGCGCACAATCTACAGATTTGTGCTATGTCATGGTATAGAAAATATTATTTGTCTATTAATATGACACATACCGACGCATTACATATTTAAGGAATAAAACCAGACAACCAACTTTTTCAAACTGTTATGAAATTATGCTCGTAACGCCTATACAATTACATAAGGTGTTATTTTGTTAAATGACAAAAGACATAACTTACGCAACTACGTGACAGTATTGAACATAGAAACCTTACTTTAAATGTCAGTTACAGTTTCGGGTTTAAATCGTTACAATCTTCCACTTGCATAAGTCACCATAATATTCCGCGATAAGATGGTCGGTGCTATCGTTATCGTGTTAATAGATGCCTGGGCATGACACAAGGTAGATATAAATAGGTGAGGTTGCCACACGGCGTTCGGGGCAGGTAGGGCGAAGAGCCTGGGGCCAGAGTTGATGCGAGTTGATTTACGACCATCTCGCCGCCATGTCTCTCATGATTGTTGTTGAAGTCTCACGGGTGTTGATCATCAGCACATGGGACTCAACAAGGCACACGCGTTTTTAACAAAATTTCACTTTTTGAAAATATTCAATCTTAGCCGCTTTGTAATATACAACGTTTGGCGCTGTAGTTAACACGTTAAAATTAAAAAATTCTAATTAACCTACCTACCTACCTACCTACCTACCTACCTACCTACCTACCTACCTACCTACCTACCTACCTGCCTGCCTACCTACCTACCTACCTACCTACCTATCTACTTACCTACCTACCTACCTACCTACCTATCTACCTACCTACCTACCTACCTATCTATCTACCTACCTACCTACCTGTCTGTCTGTCTGTCTGTCTGTCTGTCCAACCATCCATCTATTTTATTTATTTATCTATCTATTGTCTCACTTACTCTGTCAATCACGGTTTAGTCACTCATTAATATTTATTTTCATTAATAATTTTGTGTAATCGGCGTGTCATTATGATGCCGTATTAAACCAAAATACACAAATGCACGACTTTTGTCAATCTGTCGCAATATAATTGAAATGAACTGACGACTTCATACACAAACATTATAATTTCCACTGTAACACACGGGCACTGGGTCAACCACATCCGTTATCTAATTCATCCCCCAAATGGTACATTCAACGTCATTATGTCGGGGACTATAAGACCTCCATGGCCAGGACAAGCAGGTCACATGATGTCATCCTGGGGACACCCACTCTACTCGGGTGGTCGCTCAGGCTTGTACGAGCATCGTATAACAATAGGTCATATCTGACCACTGACCAGTGGAATGTGTGTTAGGTCATCGTGTATACGACCTTCCGAACCTTGACTTATTTCAAAGACATGCTGAACGGTCAAATGTTGGACAGTGCATTGTGCATGAGACGACCCACTGAATAACGGACTATACGTTGAAGAAATTGGCATTACGAGAGTGATAAGGGGAAGATAAAGGGCTAGGGAAGAGAGAATGCGAGGGGTGGGGGGTGGAGGGTGCGGGGGTATTATGGGGTGGGTTGGTGGTGGTGGGGTGTGAGGGATAGGGGGCAGGTTGAACGCACACGCCAAAAAATAGAAACGTTGTTTAAAAACCTATTGATCAATAATTGTTAGAGTGACAGTTGGTTAAGGACCGCTACTGAATAAATATTTGAACAACTGACCAGTGCAGTGTAGGGTAGAGGTTCGTTCATAAGAGATAACGAAATTGAGCAGTATTCATAACAACAACAAAACAGTTAAATATAACGAAGGGCGTCGTTGATAAGAACCATCAAAGTGCTTAATATAGAACGGAGCATCATTAATGAGATATACAGGAAAGCGCAATATTATAGCACCTTATGATTGAGTACGAGAGCAGCTGAACAGTGCTGAATAGGTTAGAGCATCGTTTATACGACCTTACCAGCAAACACAAGTACGATCTCTGAGAATGTGGGGATTAGACACAGCAGGTATACAAACAGTCACAACGACGACTTAAACGTAGACAGCTATTTCTGGTGAGTTCCCCCTGGGTCGCCTTTGATAGTGACATTTAGATTGAAGCCAGGGAGTACCGGCCAAGTCTCGGTGTGCAGGGGGCACAAACAACAGGAATACTTCACATAATGCGACCCACCTGCTGGCTCATTCAGTTAGGGTAATGACGTACTTAGTGGCCGGGACAACAGTTTTAAAAAAATGTTTTCAAAACGGAAAATGGGTGAACAGTTGTTTTTCAGGGTCGCATACGGGTGAGAGAGAGAGAGAGAGAGAGAGAGAGAGAGAGAGAGAGAGAGAGAGAGAGAGAGAGAGAGAGAGAGAGAGAGAGAGAGAGAGAGAGAGGGGGGAGAAGAAAAAGAGTGATAGAAAGAATGAGATAAATTCGTTTGGGAGACGGGCGTCAACAGAGGGATAAAAAAGAGCGCGAGAGAAATAGAAAGATGAAGAGACAGACAGGAAAAGAGAGACTATTGGGGATACCACCAGCTCATGCCACTTGGTCATCAACATATTCTTCAGATTAACTGGAACTGAAAGGCGACAGAGGGTTGACAGTGACCATGTCGGCTTTGTTTTTAGAGACGCTGGCGAAAATTGGGCCGCTTTTTGAATTAAAAATCCCCGATGATGTATGTAGTTAGGTCTGATTCTCCACAAATAGATATGTAGAGTTCACATAGTTCAGTATATATCATTATTCAGAGTCTTTTGTAGTTTGTTTGTTTTTATCCCGAGGATGAATCAATAAATGCCAGATGAAAGCAAGATGATAAATGTACCATGGGTTTCATTTTGTCCCAATTGGTAAACGGAATTTCACGATTTATATATTTTTTATCTAAAAACACATTTTTCTACAATGTTTAGGGAATGTCTTTCTGGCGATGACAAAAGTCACGTGACATAGACCTGATCAGTATCTTGAAGTGGCGTACTGCTTCTGTAAGTCATCAACACTATGGATGTCACACACAGTATACTCTTCGGATATTATTTATAATATGCTGCTTAATAATTGCTACACTACGCTGAGTCTATTAAACATGTCATTCACACAAGCCATGGAATCACGAACCATTACAAATTCTAGAAAATAAAACTTTTTAAAAGTGAGTTTGGTTTTGGATGCTTTGATGGTATATCGGTTGTGTCACAGCCCGTCAGCTCCATGCGGAACAAACCCAAAGTCTCAAGGGTGTAGACTTTGGCCACTTTGATAAAAAAAACACCGGCACGGGTGTGGTCCTGGTCATGACAAACTACTGATCATTATAAAACATAATCAAGCATTCGAACCCGTGGACAGCGGATCCTCCAACATGTAGACCGCCTCCGTGGTCTTGTGGTAGAGCGTCCGCCCGGAGAGGAAGGTCCAGGGTTCAATCCCGGGCCGCGTCATACAAAAAGACGTTAAAAGATTGTACTTGTTGTTACCCTGTCTGGCGCTCGGCATTAAGGGGCTAAAACAAGGACTGGTCGGCTCGGAGTCAGTATACTGTGTCTGAGTGGGGTATTCATGTTAAACTGCGGCATTGTATCTCAGTGAGCTAGCACTATAAATCGGCATCAGTCCGGACTAGTACAAGCAGCCACACACACACATACACGTGCATGCACGTCGCTATATAAGTGCAATAATCTTGGACGCGACGTTAAACCCAATTTCACCTCACCTCACCTCCAACATGTAAGGGCCGCAATTCTGCACCCATGCATTTTTTTTAGACAAATTAAACATTTATTGAAATAATACCACTAAAGCAAAATACACGCATGCACACAGACACACGCGCACGTCGGACGAACACACGCATGCACACACTTACGCACTGACATTATATTATAGCCTAGATCTCTTCAAATGAAAACGGGGGCGGTCGGGTAACCTAGCGGTTAAAGCGTTTGCTCGTCACGCCGAAAACCCGGGTTCGCTTCTGTGCTTCTGTGGCCTATTAACTGATATATCTTTATGAGAGACAATCTTGTAATTAAACGTTATGCTGATAACCGGGTTTGATCCCGAGCACGATCAAATACCACCTCAGTGGTCAAGTGGACGGAGCGTCTGTCCGGAGAATGAGAAGCTGGGGGTTCGATTTCTGGCTGGTCATACCAACATACGTTAACCAGTGGTACTTGTTGTTACCCTGCCAGTCGCTCGGCTTTAAGGGGCTTAAACAAGTACTGGTCGGCTCGGAGTCAGTGTACTTTGTCTGATTGTGTATTCATGTTAAACTGCTGAAGAGTATCTCAGTAGGTTAGCAGTATAGAGTCCGGACAAGTGCAAGCAGCCACACACACACGAACATGCATAATGATATGTAGTGCATTAATCTTGAGGCCCGTGGAGATCTGAGATAGAATAGGTCTTCAGCAACCCATGCTTGCTGTAAAAGGTGACTATACTTGTCGTAAGAGGCGACTAACGGGATCGGGTGCTCAGGCTCGCTGACCTGGTTGATGCATGTCATCGATCCCAATTGCGTAGATCTATGCTCATGTTGTCAATCACTGGATTGTCTGGTCCAGACTCGATTATTTACAGACCGCCATCATATAGCTGGAATATTGCTGAGTGTGGCCTTAAACAACAAACAAACAAACAAAGCATTAATCTTGAACAGGACATTAAACCAATATCTCCTCACATCAAATATATAAATAGCATCATCATAGGAAGGCCCTGCCGTCGTACAGCTGCAACGTTGAGCGGCGTACTCACTTATGTAGTCAGACGTTATAATTAGTGACCAAGCACTGTGACATCCGACTCCTATGTTAATATCGTTCCAGCAGTTTCTGGTGACCTGTGCCCATTCCACGCCTTTGACGACATATTCGGGAGCAGCATCAAGTTTAAGTACTGTCGTCATGGATGCTGCGGTGACGTCAGCAAGAACGTGTGTTGTCCGTCACTCCCGTAAGTATTTCATGTGTAAGATTTCACAGTACATTCTTCAGGTTTCCCGAATATCCCAATTAACGAACTATTGATTCAAGGTCGATTTAATATCACCTTCGAGTCTATTTTATATTTGGGAGATAAACTTACTGTTTTTTCAATACGCTCTCCAACCCAGAGCTCCATGCGACCAGCATAGTACCTCTGCCAAAGGCCAGCGCCATGTGGCGATTCGTCACATCTTACACCGTCCATTCAAGATATTGGATATATCCTTCATCTGTTTCATTTTGGATAATTCTACATATTTATATAAACATATATCATAGAAAGGTTAACTTTCATTGAGAACATATCCTAAATCGTGAAAAGCTATTTCCATTTGCGTAGTTACCCTATGTTTACATTGGTTGTACGGCTCCACGTGTTGTCATCGAAGACCTACGGAGAGCTAGCGATACGGTCACTTTGACGTGTAAATATTTATTGTCATGCAACTCACTGTCGCATTTGTAGTAGCATATCTATATAATTATGCAAAACAATGTGTAATATGCCTCCAAATACTTGCATTAGTCCTTTCTATTCTCATTTCTGAAAAAGCGCGTTTGTTTACAAACAAGAGAAAAGTCAGGTCACGTGATATGCAAATTAGCCTGTGGAAGTGGTGTTATGCTAAGTCACCACTGCGCCGGAGTGTGTTTTCAATGTATACCTAGGTTTCCTGTAGATTTAACCGCGCGCAATTGAATTTGGAACCAAACGCGCAGCGTGAGGTTTCAAATGTTAAACTAACCGCAGTTAAAACTACAGGTAACCTGGCTCTATATTGAAAACACGGTATGTTTGTCTCCATTCTACCATGACTAAATAAAGCGCGAACTCTTTGGTGTTAGCAAATATTATTGAGTGAAGGGGCATGGGTTGAGTCCAGTGTTTTGAGTGGGTTATCGATCTGAATTACGGAATCACCGACAACAGCCTGTAAACAAAATATTGGACTGTGCATGCTCAAGCAGTTTGTTTACACCCTAATACTTCACACGAACATAGATCTGGCAGTGAAAGCATATAAGCACGGCAACGTCGTACGCTAACATGAAGTGGACATCCTTAAGAAAACTAAGCAAGCTTTGCAAAGTTTTCGTTCTACACCGCGCGTGTATTATGACCTTATATTGCTCATTGTGACGCAAACGAAATTACGTCACAGTCGTATATAGAAAGGCGACAAATTCCAAGCTCTCTGTTGTCCCCAAAACTTAAAATACATTCTCTTTGTAGATTTCTGTTCTATGTACTGCCATACATCCTATGAATATTGCAATAATCGCAACTTTGCATTTTGTCACCTGTAATTGTAGATATAAATATTTAAATATACCTACCGACAATGACTGAAAAAAGTTACACTATTCTATGATTTTTAGCTCCCACGGTTTGGCGGCCGTCAAACCAGCTGCTTCAATCAGAGAGGGTTTATTGTGATTTAATAGCCTCTGATTAACCAATCAGAATCGAGTATTTTACAAATTCAAGGTAGAATTTAGATCATATCAAATGTAACAACACTCAGCGATGAAAGTTTAAAACTCCGAAATTTGCCGGGAAGTTTTATACTTTAATCGACAAGTATTGTTATTTTGTATATCAAATAACACGAGGGCGAAATTCTATTTATCATCCAAAATGATGCTTCCAACCCTTTTCAGTTTCCAAACAGTAATAGCCAGTACTGAATGTACACTGTACAGCTAACCAGCGTCATTGACAGAGTTATTTGTGACGTCATTTGATTGTGATGCCATGGTAACGGATGATGTCACAATGGCCAGCAAGGTTTGTTTTGCAATTTCATTTGCAGCGATACCTCCTTGGTGATACCATTTGATTTCACTCAAGCGATATCCAAGTAGAAGCCATTTTGGGATGATAATTTCCATACGTGTTGACGTTTTAACAGAATCGTCAAGACAGCCGAGTTTCCGGACTAATAGGTCCTGACCAATGAGTTTTTACTATTTAACATGTGTTTGTTTTGAACTTCTGATCCTGTCTAAATACAATGGCATGTGTGTAGTCTGGAGCTGGTGATTGGCTGCGTAGCAGGGGCTGTCGTTGTCATCGTTGTCGTCGTCGTGTTGACGTGCTGCTTCTGTGCCAGATCGCAAGCCAGGTCTCGACACATCCTCCGCACTACAGTACTGACGCCGACAGTTTTCCATACCGGTAAGATTACAAACAGTATCGACATACACTTACAGCGATAACCGCGTTAATCCGGACGGACAGTTTAAACTAAATCGTCCGGATTAACGAATCATGCCTAGTAATTAGAGAATAACCTACGAGCTCAGAGGAATATCGGATTATCTGCCCCGAGTAAAGGAATGGTGTTAATCCCTAGCCTTTGGCGAGGAACTTTCAGCATTCATTCACGAGGGACAGTTAATCCGGAATGCCGCGTTTCGAGTAGGTTATTCTATATTACTCAACTCATTAATACTGACATTTTTAGAGAGATGGGCAAACAAAATCTATGACATTTCTGTGTAGCATATTTGTGTTGTATTTTAAAATTTTTTTATTTATTATTAATTTAACTTTAATTTCAGGCAGTATTTTATATCTGATTACGCAGTATATGGTTACTATGATGCTGTATTTTAAGTGAGATACCACACAAGTAACGGGGCATTCGTGATACTCAGCACGGACGCTATTTGTCACGAATGTCCCGTTACTTGTGCGGTATCCTTAAACGGAGCTTGGCATACCTGTAGATGTTCCCAATGATAGTGGTCCGGAATGCTGGAGTTTCCGAATAAACGAGGTCCAGACTAAGGGGGCTTCACTGTACAACAACATCAAACTCTGGTCAATTGTATTATTTGAGATACAGGTCGTATTCGTTTACCATTTGGGTGTAGGATCACAATCAGGGTAAATATGGGATTCGTGCCTACGATATATCGTGTCGAATAGCTGCAAGATTGTTAATGCGGCGTTAGGCAACCATTACTCACACACTCACTCGTGTCTACGATCAGGGAATTCTCTGCTCTGCGATGGGCCTCAGATCACTGGGTCACGCCTATCCCATTATGACAGTGACGAGTTGTGTTAAATTGATATAAACTCTATAACGTTCTATGAAGGTCATACTTTATATATTAAACTATTATTATATATGAAAAATCAATGAATAACCTGGAAAATATTTCAATTGGCATCAGTTTTCCTTTAACTTGACAAGACAAATAGGGCCTTCATTTCAACTTATATAAAAAAAGTTTCGATAAAGTATTCTGTTTAACATAGGAAAAAGTAAAGATGTATTCACCCGCAAGAAGTTGTCCTGAAACGCCGAACCAAAGAATAAAGAAGATGTTATTCATAAAAGGATTCATGTAAACATGACATATTCTCCCCTTCCAGATTCCGCGAATCCTGGCCTGTCTCCGGACATGCCCGATGTTTGCCGACCTCCTCCATATGACGTGGTCACGTTGGAGCTTGACAAACCACCATCGTACGAGGAAATCATGCGCAGTTCCCCCGAATATGAGGAAAACTCCGCGCATGCGAAGTAAAACCTGAACTTGTACCAATATATACATATATGTTATGACCTGCCTATACAATCCGAACATACTCATATCTCCGAGTGACAGGGACATACATGAGAATCTTGACACCTGGTAGCGTCAATATACCCACCAGACAAACCTACTGACCATATAAGGTGTGCAATGCTTATGATTGCGTTACTTCAAAACGACGTCGTCCATAGGGTGGGTTGACAACGCTACCGCCATCGTAAACGTCCATTCTAGTCATTCTCCACAATACTCGGATATAATTAAGATATAGTTCAGCCATCATCATTTTATCGACAGGAGAGTAGCAATCACTGACCGCATCGGTTTTGATCCGGAGAGAAAGGCTTCGTTTAGAAATGTATGCAGTTCGCAGAGCAATGTTTTACATATCTTAGATCTAGAACAGAAACCACATACACATATATACGTCTCTGCTCAGAAAGAATATAATAATTGGTTTTCGGATTACTTCTCTCTTGCTTTTGTTTGTGACGACCTTCCGTAAACTTTCGACAACAATCCTGTTTCATGTTGAAAGTATCCTTGATATTTTAGGAAACAACTTGCGCAGGAGTCTTTGGGGCAACCACTCTACATGCAGTGTTTTGTCCCTTTGATGCCTAGAATAAGGGTGGGTTCGAATCCATTATTTCTGCAATAAATCGAAACGCCTGCTACACTTTCTGGCTCTGATTCACCTTTGATGACCCAAATTACTTGTTAATATATACGGTTATGTACCCCTTCATAAATGAAGGACATTGGTAGTTTTATTGTAGGTTAACGGCTCTTAGTTATACTCCTCTGCTCCAGGGAAGTAATCGCAGGCTCAAGTTTAACATTATGGTACATGTATTTAAAGTGCTGAGATCGTTAAGTGGAACTGGGCCCCAACAGAGGGTGGCTCGATTCGCTGTGCAGATTGACGCTCATTATGCATGCCAGAAACGTATAATTGTGGGTTCGAATCCCTGTTTGACATTATTAAGGTTTCTCAGCGCCATAACATTCTGAGCAGATCCGTAATCGTGATGATTGCGATTGGAAGCATGGCATCAATGATTATCCATTTTACTTTCATTTTGAAAGTTTTGGTTTTATCACCTTCTCATTATGATACAGCAGCGATGAGACTGTTTGGAGGGTGGGTGTCACAGCAACACTGTCTCCGTGCCTCCAGACAGATTCGAGAAACAGTAATAGAAGTTCCAATCTGTCTCAGATTTAATGTGATGCTTGTTTAGGAAATGTACATTACCATGTAAATATTATATTTCCATATTCTCTGATATTGTTAATATGTAAATAAAAGCCTATATTTTGTCACTCTTGGATTTTCAGTAATTTCATTGTCCTCAATGTCTGCAATCCCACCCCCTACAATCCTCCGGACAAGGAAACTCCACCAGTTGTGAAGAATTACTTCCCTTACTCGTGCCAGGAGTCGGTGTCTGTGTGTTCAAATCCAGATTGGTTCTTATTATGAAGCTTGGTCCAGACAAATGGCTGTCATCTCCTGCTGAAAGATCAGTTGTTGGCGTCGCTAATGTTACGTCATATGACAAGAAGTGTCTACCCTGTATCTATGTCATCAATCAGATGCATTAGAGATGATCATCCTGCATCTCTGTCAGCAACCAGATACACGTTCTTATCCCGTACCTGTCATGAATCGAAATGCAAAGTCTTCCTCCCGTATTTATCTGATGTAATATATACACCAATGATGTTCATCCCGTAAGTCTGTGATGTTTGTTTGTTTGTTTGTTGTTTAACGTCGCACTCAGCAATATTCCAGCGATAAATAATCGAGTCTGGGCCAGACAATCCAGTGATTGACATCGTGAGCATCGAGCCACACCGTTGGGAAACGATGCCATGCACCAACCAGCGAGCCTGACCACCCGATCATGTTAGTCCCCTCTTACGACAAGCATAGTCGCCTTTTACGGCAAGCATGGGTTGCTGAAGACCCCGGATCTTCACGGGGTACTGTGATGTGTACTGTGATTAAACGCGTGTGTATATGCACCAAAGGTCGTCCGATATTTCCGATATGTAACATATGCACTGGAAGTGTTCAATGCATATTTATCTGATGTTCTCTATGTGCCATAGGCGTTTATGTCGTGTATGTTATGATTCATATGCACCAGAGGTTTCCAACTGATGTTTCTGTGGTGTGACATTTGCCCCAGGAGTGTTTGTTTGTTATTTGACGCTGCACTCGGCAATATTCCAGCAATATGACGACGGTCTGTAAATAATCGTGTCTGGACCAGACAATCCAGTGATTGCTATCACAGGCCCCTACCCTAACAATTGGGATACGATGACATGTATCAACCAAGTCAGCGAGCCTGACCTCCCGATCCCGTTAGTCGCCTCTTATGACAAGCATTAAGCATGGGTTGCTGAAGACCTGTTCTACCCCGGATCTTCACGGGTCTCAACGCGTATGTATCGGATATAATGTGTACCGGGGATTATCAACTCGTAATCTGATGACATAAATTTTATGTGCACCAGAGAAGTTCAGCCATATTTTAGTGCAGCTATATATGCACCAAACACAGCCTGCGGAGAAATAGACACTTGATATGCGGAAGCGTCTGTCACGATGTGCCAATGTCTCCAGGTTACAACTTGCTGAACGATTATAACATGTATGTATTTATGATTATTATCTTTTTTTTTCTAATAACTTAACCAACTCTGAAGAAATGAACCTCCAGCATACGTCATACATTAGCAAGTGAGTTCACCGTTAGTGTACGCTTGGTAATTTTGATATTCATCCCATGAGGAAAAAAACACGGGTATCAGAGGTAAAGGTTCAAGCGTTCAGTCTAATATGCGTGTGCAATTGAAAGTCTTAAATTAGACCACGTTGTCGATGTCAGGTACAGTCGACAGCGTAGCGTACTATCGGAAATAAATAGCTCTGAGATTGTCTATTTATCCATCAGGGGTGTTCATACCGTATTCGGGGCTGTGGGGTAAGCTAGTGGTTAAAGCGTTCGCTCGTCACGCCGAAGACCCGGGTTCGATTCCCCACATGGAAAAATGTGTGAAGCCCATTTCTGGTATCTTCATTACGTGGATTGATGCTTATGATGTCAATCACTGGATTGTCTGGTCAAGACGCGATTATTTGAAGATCGCCGTCATATAGCTGGAGTTTTGTTGTGTGCGGCGTTAAACAACAAACAAATAAGTGAAAAAAACAACAACAAAAACAAAGGAGAGTCACCCATCACACTGCTGCACATTTCACATGCGAGATAGCAATAGTAAACTGAAGACATGAATTTGTTAAATAATTTTAAATAATCCTTTAATATGCCTGGTGTCATCACTAATTATCCGGTCATATTTTCAATTTTCCCAGGTGTTTTGTCCTCCCCCCCCCCCCCCCCCCCCCCCATGATGATGATAACGATGATGATGATGATGATGATGATGACTGGATTTACTAGTCCAGATTCGATTGTTTACAGGCCGTGTCTCGGCAACACTGTATCCCATTATGATAATGATGATGATGATGATGATATGATAATGATGATGATGATAACATGATGATGATAATGATGATAACATGATGATGATGATAAGGATGATGATGATGATGTTACAGGTGGAGCAGAACATGCTTACACTTTGGGCGAACACCTGGTGTCATCACTGTCAACATCTAGGTGTCACTTTTCTGCATGTTCTCGTGTCCGGCCCTAATAATATCTTGAATGATCTTGGTTTTACGGCAGCTATAGCCAACTTTTATTGACAGCTGAATCACAGCCTGTAAATACTCGATCCATGCAAGTCAAATCATTGGTTGACAGATTGCGCATCGGTGCATGCAGCGGGGTACGAGGGTAAACAACGTCAGCCAGACCACACACTGTAACCACCAGATACCGAACCGGTTTTTGGAATGTAGGCCCTACTGCGTTCAGCTGCAGTATGTATCTCTCTTGTAATCACAAAATACATGTGTGAAGCCCAACGTCATGATATTGCTTGAATATTGCTAAAAGAGGAGTAAAATTTTACCCACGCATTAACTCCCGAACACAGAAACCAAAGAACATAATCGTATTGCACCGACTTTATATTCAAAATACAATAAAAAACAACAATGTATCTGTACAAAATAAGATAATACTTTCAGGTCCGTATCACACACAACCAAGTAGATATGTACATACAAGACACCTCTGGCTGGACAATTGTCCTATAATAATCTGCAGCAATTGTCGCAGAGTGGGTGAGAGCGTGGTAGGTGTTACAGTATCTAACCGACATCGCTGCTTATCATCTCAAAGTAAAAGGGAATCCAAAAGTGATGCAGGTTTTAGACGTTTGGTGAAACGCTCGGACTCGCTATGACATGATCGCGTCACGCCTAAGGGACGCAACTCTGCAGCGACGCGATAGACGACATGGAAAGCTATGTCCCACTTTCTCTGATTAAAATCATTTCAGTTTCAAAAAAGTATATGATTGAGGATCCCTCCCACCGCTTTTTTGGTTATTTAACGCCGCAGTCAAAAACAACTATTCCGCCTCTATGCCCGCTGACTGTACATAATCAGATTGTACATATTGGCAGTTGCAGGTCATTCACGTCCGTCTATTCACAGTGATAGACAGCCCATACACTAACAATTACAGGTAACACGTGGCCATATACTGACAGTTGCATGTCACCTGTGTTCATAGTTTCATTGTATCAACGAACAACTCACGCGTGTCCACATATTCACAGCCAATCATGTTCAAATATTTTTCACAGTTAAAGGTCAATCATGTCCTAATATTCAGTTACAGGTCAATCATGTCCTAATATTCAGTTACAGGTCAATCATGTCCTAATATTCAGTTACAGGTCAATCATGTCCTAATATTCAGTTACAGGTTAATCATGACCAATTATTCCGTTACAGATCAGTCATGACCAATTATTCAGTTACAGATCAGTCATGACCAATTATTCAGTTACAGATCAGTCATGACTAATTGTTCAGTTACAGATCAGTCATGACCAATTATTCGGTTACAGATCAGTCATGACTAATTATTCCGTTACAGATCAGTTGTTAAAGTTTCTGTTCTTGAATCACTGTGCGCGCTCGAGGTGACACCATCACATTCAGCGGAAAGGGGCTTCTGGTCACCCGCACACCGTCAACAGCAAGTTTGACCCCTCCATGTATATCTATCGTCCTTCAAGCAGCTCTATAGGGCAATACGACTACGAACCCCCAACACTAATCAACATACAGCTCTATATTCACTTTCATAAAATATCATCTGATCATGGACTAATCATTGTTTGAAAAGCATAGCCAATACAAGACAACATAGATATATTTCTGTTCGTTAAAAAAACAATAAATTAACAAAGACCAACTTCCACAATACTGTGATAAGAATGAATACTCCTACAGTGAAAACAAACATACTAGTGCCAGTACACATAGGTTCGTATATCAGTTCACGTGTGTTCATGTATCAATACACATGTGTTCATATTTCAGTTTACGTGTGTTCATATTTCAGTAACGTGTTTTTACATATCGATACACGTGTGTTCATATATCAATACACGTGTGATCATATTTCAGTACACGTGTTTTTACATATCAATACACGTGTGTTCATATGTCATTACACGTGTGTTCATGTATCAATACACATGTGTTCATATATCAGTTCACGTGTGTTCCTATATCAATACACGTGTGTTCCTATATCAATACACGTGTGTTCATATATCAATTTATGTCTGTTCATATGTCATTACACGTGTGTTCCTATATCTATACATGTGTGTTCATATATCAATACACGTGTGTTCCTATATCAATACACGTGTGTTCCTATATCAATACACGTGTGTCGATATATCAGTTCACGTGTGTTCCTATATCAATACACCTGTGTTCCTATATCAATACACGTGTGTTCATATATCAATACACGTGTGTTTATATATCAATTCATGTGTGTTCATATGTCATAACACGTGTGTTCATATTTCAGTACACGTGTGTTCATGTATCAATACACGTGTGTTCATACATCAATACACGTGTGTTCATATATCTGTACACGTGTTTTTACACATCAATACACGTGTGTTCATATATCTGTACACGTGTTTTTACATATCAATACACGTGTGTTCATATATCTGTACACGTGTTTTTACACATCAATACACGTGTGTTCATATATCTGTACACGTGTTTTTACACATCAATACACGTGTGTTCATATATCTGTACACGTGTTTTTACACATCAATACACGTGTGTTCATATATCTGTACACGTGTTTTTACACATCAATACACGTGTGTTCATATATCTGTACACGTGTTTTTACATATCAATACACGTGTGTTCATATATCTGTACACGTGTTTTTACACATCAATACACGTGTGTTCATATATCTGTACACGTGTTTTTACACATCAATACACGTGTGTTCATATATCTGTACACGTGTTTTTACACATCAATACACGTGTGTTCATATATCTGTACACGTGCTTTTACACATCAATACACGTGTGTTCCTATATCAATACACGTGTGTTCATATATCTGTACACGTGTTTTTACACATCAATACACGTGTGTTCATATATCTGTACACGTGTTTTTACACATCAATACACGTGTGTTCATATATCTGTACACGTGTTTTTACACATCAATACACGTGTGTTCATATATCTGTACACGTGTTTTTACACATCAATATACGTGTGTTCATATATCTGTACACGTGTTTTTACACATCAATACACGTGTGTTCATATATCTGTACACGTGTTTTTACACATCAATACACGTGTGTTCCTATATCAATACACGTGTGTTCATATATCTGTACACGTGTTTTTACACATCAATACACGTGTGTTCATATATCTGTACACGTGTTTTTACACATCAATACACCTGTGTTCATATATCAATACACCTGTGTTCTTATATTAGTACATAGCTGACATAAAGCCGATCCGAATATGTCAGTGCACGGTGAGTTTATATATCTGTACCCGTGTTTTAATGTATCAATTCATGGGGTATTTGGTAGTAGCAGCAGCAGCAGCAGCAGCAGCAGTAGTAGTGGTAGTCTCCGACAGCTGCAATCCGGAATGTTACAGCAGAGACACTGTTAAATCCAAGGGAGCTACCTAAGGGAATCAACCTTGACCGTCTCCTGTGCTTGCATCCAATAACTGGACATCAGAAGTGGGTCTTGTATTATGAAAATGTCTGAAAAGGGGTATGCGCATCCCCCCATCCCACTCTGAATCCATCAATTGTACAGATAACGCTCCGCCTGGTATCTCCCACAGAGCTGAATACTTTAAATTGAAACACACATCTTCTCCCAGAAGCCTTGTCTCCTCTGACATCAACACAGCTCGTCACTGGTTGATGAACGTCATATCTGCAAAACATCATACACGAGTTTATAGTCAGGGTGTAGGTGGGTATGTCGTATGTAGACGTATCATCTTATATTACAGCTGGATATTTGCTATATACCGATCGAAATTAATAAGGGAACACTTAGTTTTAGACACAGTAAAACAATTGGAAACAATGCGCACAAACACATCTCAACATTTGATTCTGAGATGTGAATTTGTATGCATGCTGTTTCAAATGTACTGACAGTAAAGCTTATTTCCTTATATTCTTCATTGTTCCCTTATTAGTTTCCATCAGTATATTTAATATAGCAGTGTAATATCAAAACAGTACTTTAAATTAACCACAAACGATGATATTAATAAAGCCCCAATCATTCAAACAATGGTATACCCATTTTGTTTTCTTTAATTCAAAAAACATCATGGCACGTGTTTTTGCCATCATGGGGTGGTAAATAATGGGGCCTTTACACAGGATGGCGACCTTTGTGCCTCCCGTGTGCGACCATAAAATTTGCCAGGTCGTCGTTGGAGGCTCAAAGGAGGCAGAATGGTTGCCTAAGTCGTTCCAAGGTGGTACACAGGAGGTTCAGGCATCGCCATGAACGCCATGGTCGCCGTCAATTTGTGAACATGTTCAAAACAGTCGCACAAAGGTCGCCGAGGAGGTTGGTTGCTCAAAGGTGGCTCAAAGGAGGCAGAAGGGAGGCACAAGCATTGCCGTTGTTGCAGAATGAAGGCACAGTGGTCGCCCAATGGTCGCCAGGTAACAGATGCGTTCTGCTGAAATATTTTCCCGTCAATCATGGGCGACGCTTCTGCCTCCCTCGTGCTTCCTTTGGGGGATCAACATCGTGCATCGAACGATGACTTTGGCGACCGCCATGCCTCCATTCGGCGACCACGGCAACCCTTGAGACATCATGGCAATGCTTCGGCCTCTTTACTGCCTCCTTTGAGCTACCTGTAGTGCCTCCTCAGCCTGCCTATAAATAGAGGGCGTGTACCTGCAGTGTTCCATTGTGGTTGCAAACGCTGAAGAACCCGAGCAGTTACTGCTGAACAACTGCTGGATCAGTAACATAGAAACATGATTTTCTGGGTTTAGGCGACCATTGAGCATCCTGGCCAGTTTTTGATCGCTCAAAGGCGGCACAAAGGTCGCAGCCTTGTGTAAAGGGGCCTATGCGATCTGCGTCCGTGCGAGTGCTAGGGGCCAGACAAGCCAGAGAGGATGTGTGTACCAGTTACAATGTGATTATTGACAATCGTACATTGGTGAAACTTCCCGTCACACAGACAAACGCCTTAAAGAACACAAGTCTTCCATCCAGAAAGAAGACCTGTACCCTATCAGAACATAGCATCAACAGTACCACTCATTCTCCTGGCAACACACGGTGTTCCTGTATACAAACATTCACACCTGAATGAGACACAAACTCCTAGACGCTAATAGTATCCACCTCAGACTAGTCAATCAATCGTGATCAGGGAGTTTTCCTCCCCAGTGCATGGGACATTTAATATTAAGTTACTTTACAATCAACTCATTTTATCTAATGTTAGGATCCCTTGTACATAAAATTACCGTGTACCCACTTTCCTATATCAATTTTCAGGACCATCAACTCTCTCGTTAAGTACATTACTTCAAATGTATGTATGTGAGTGAGTGAGTGAGTGAGTGAGTGAGTGAGTGAGTGAGTGAGTGAGTGAGCGGGCCGCTTTGAAAAGAATTCAAGTTATAATTATAACGTCACGACTTGTCAGCTTGAGGTTTGAGGAAAGCCCAAAGTGATGCAGGTCCCAGATGGTTAACACTTGGTGAAACCCACGAGCACAGGTATGGTGCTGACAAACCTAGACACATAATCAGGGGTATGATCATTGATTTTTGTCTTGGCTACGGGGCACAACTCTGCACTGTGAACTGCTGCACCTCCGATGACTGTGCAACTGTGACAGGTGGAAAGGAGGCTAAAAGCCCATGTCAATCTCTGCGACCTCTGCCTTAACATTGTGTTTGAGTGAGGGTGAACCTGAGAAACGAACTCGCTATAATGTGAGTGAGTGAGTGAGTGAGTGAGTGTGGGGGATGGGGGGTGAGGAGTTGGGGTGTCTGTATGTATGTATGCATGCTTCGTGCTCTCCCGCCATGGCATTCACTTGAGCCAAAAAACAGACCTGAGACGTAGAAGTTTGTTAGCTAAATTATTCCTTGTTATGAAAGGTGGAAAGACTTTCGACATTTCCTCAGGGTCCACTATTTCTCTGTGTAATCCAATATGCCTTGGAAACATACCAGCGGACATAAGAAACTGCGTCTCTATATATATTATTTTAATTAAAAGAGGGTGATCATATATCAAACATGTCTATTTATTCTTCAAAGATTGCGAACGCTTGATGTTAAGTTTAGAGATGAATAAGTTTGGTTTTAGCGCCGCTTTTAACAATATTACAGTTATATCACGGCCTGTCAGCTTAATGTGGGAGGAAAGCCTGAAGTGATGCAGGTCTCAGACGTTTACCACTTGGTCGAAACCCACCAGCACGGGTATGGTGCTGACAGACCTAAAAACATAATCGGGGCGAACCGGGATTGGAACCCTCGATCATAGGTTTCTGGCGTATCCCTTAGAGATGAGTCAGTGAGTATGGTTTTACGTCGCTTTTAGCAATATTCCAGCAATATCACGGCGGGGGACACTAGAAATGGGCTTCACATATTGTACCCATGTCGGGAATCGAACCCGGGTCTTCGGCGTGACGAGCGAACGCTTTAACCACTAGGCTACCCCTTAGAGATGAAGATTGGCCCTTGAGATATAAAACAACAAAACAAAGTTAGATTGAAACAATTAACATACACACAAAATGTTTCAAAGTTATGTAGGCGTGTGAAAGGGATATATGTTATTCAAAAGAAGTGAGGGAACACCCGAAGTTTCATATGAAAACGGTTAATCTGTGGACTAATCGAGTAAACTTTAACTTATTTTGATTTGTATGTTTTGAGCCGGTGCTTTACCGAATCATGTCATGTATTTTAATAAGGACCTAAGAAACAACATTAAAGTATCTTGTTACAAAACTACAGAGCATAAAGAGCTAAAATTCAGTAAACTGTTATCTGAAAATAATCCTAAGTGCATCAAATGTATCGCTTCTACCATAAGAAACGTTTTTAGATGACAATTATTCATATGATACTTGCATTGTTTATTGTTCGACATCATTTTAAAACGATTATATCACTGTAAATAGTTTTTTATCGTACAGAATGTAATAAATAAGTAGTGTCTCGTAAGCCAAGGATCTTTTATTGTGCAATGAAATGTTTTAGCTATGTGTGTGACACTTTAATAAACAATATCTGCCAGTCTGTCTCTGTTACCAAACTATCCTGTAAAAGTACATCTAGTGTGCAGTAACATAGACTAACATCTCGTCTCTGAAATGAACATATTTTACAGAAAAAACGTTGCTAAATTACAGTTATAAAATATTATAAAAGGGAGCCCAGAGACTTTCTTCATTTTCAGATACTGCAGTAATCTAGACTTGCCAAACATTTTGTTTCAGGGTTTGTATGACAGACAAGCAGTAACACAGTGTGAACGTTTGCACGCCAGTTAGATTGAATAGTCACAACAGTGTTATAGTTTCCTCACCTGGAGCTTGCTTTGATCGCGGCTTCTCATCCCGCTTTGGACCCACGAATATGACACTCGCTGTGTACATAAACATATGTAAATACATATTAGATGGGGATAAACTATTGTCCAACTGTGCATGCAGTACAACATACATATAGATGCAGAGACGCAGAGTTTACGAATCACTGAGATTCGGAACCCTATTCTTTAACATGACGTACACGGAATGAGACGTTTTGGTATTATGCTCATTTAAATAGCGTCCAGTTATATCACGGTGTATGAGCTTGAGGTAGGAGGAAAGGTCGAACGTTGGTGACACCAAAGAGAACGGGTATGGTGTTGACAAACACATGATGCGGGCTCACGATCATAGGTTCCTAGCACATGCAAAGGACACAAATCCGAATTGTCAACGCTCTGCCTCAGACGACATGGCCAACCCCAAACCCATGATTTAACCTGACGTAAATAGTTAATAATATGTTGTTTGTTTGTTCGTTATTTGACGCCGCACTCACCAATATTCCAGCCACATGACGCGGTCTGTATATAATAGATGTAAAAGACAATCCAGTGATCGACATCATGAGCATCCATCTACGCAATTGGGATACGATGACATGCATCAACCAAGTCCGTGAACCTGACCACCCGATCCCACAAGTCGCTTGTTACGACAAGCATCGTGGCCTCTTACGTCAAGCATTGGTTGCTGAACCCGGATGTTCACGGATGTACATGGCGCTATGACTAGGTCTTTGCTAAAGTATGGGAGCCATGATAGGGAGCAGCGGTAAAATCTCTTCGTGCAAGCTAGCATTACTTAACTCAAACTGTGATACAAACATTGAAAGAACAGGAAAAAGGAAAATATAGAAGAAGAAAAAATAGGAAAAAAAACAGAGGAAAAAAACAAATTATCACACGAAAGATTTTTTGAACGTTTCTTTGCTCAAAACAAGTAGATACAATTCCCAGGCGTGAGTTTGTATGCGTCGGTGCGTTCGTGTAGTGTACATTTGGTCCGCTTGTGTCTACGATATTCCCTTGGGACACCGGCTAGGGTGCACGTGTGTGCCCCACGCCGTGAAGAATGTCTTGGTCTCATCTTTACTATTCGTCCTCCGTATGCCTTCATTAGTTGGCCAGGGGGCACGGGTGGCCCAGTCGTCAAAGGCGCCGCGATTCGCTGTGCAGAGATGCGTCCCTTGGGCACGCCAGAAACCTGTGATTGTGGGTTCGAATCCCGGTTCGCCCCGATTATGCTCCTAGGTTTGTCAGCACCATACCCGTGCTCGTGAGTTTCACCGAAGTGGTAAACGTCTCAGACCTGCATCACTTCGGGCTTTTCTCCCACATTAAGCTGACACGCCGTCATATAACTGGAATAATGTTAAAAGCGGCGTTAAACCTAACTCACTCATTCATTAGTTAGCCATTCAAAACATAACGTGGGAAATTACTGGAAAGAAAACCCATCAAAATGGGAGGGTGACGTAAGTTTCTACTCGGATACGGGAGTAAAAAGATGTTTTAAATTTCACCATTGCAGTTATGGTATTTATCATTTTCAAATCGCAAATATAAGACATAACTCAGAACCTGTACATAATTATACATACCAGATTGACAGATAGATCATTCTCAGTCGATTTAAGAGCTGCCTTCAATATATGTTTTGGGCTTACGGAGGTATAAATGTAACGATCGGTGTGCACACTGTAAATAATTAATGTTATTGTATATTGATAGTCTCTCTTAGTTTAACAGGAAACGGCTTGTGTAATCGTAGCTGTGTTATAAAGTGTATACATTGTTTTACATAAGGTTATCCAATATCCGTCGGTCTGAAAGGAGCTTTCAGACGATCAGAAGGTAAAGTGTGTGTTATACATTTAGTGATATTATCTCCCGACGATCAGTAGATACAGTGTGTGTCATCCATTTAGTTGTAGTATTTCCCTATGATCTGAAGGTACAGTGTGTGTCATACAGTTAGTGGTAGTATTGCCCGATGATCAGAAGGAACAGTGTGTTTCATACAATGAGTGGTATTATTTCCCGATGATCAGAAGGTACTGTGTGTGTTATACAATGAGTGGTATTATTTCCCATGATCAGAAGGTACTGTGTGTGTCATACAATGAGTTGTATTATTTCCCATGATCAGAAGGTACTGTGTGTGTCATACGTTGAGTGGTACTATTTCCTGCTGATCTCAAGGTACAGTGCCTGTCATCCATTTAGTGGTATTATTTCCCATGATCAGAGGGTACAGTGCCTGTCATCCATTTAGTGGTATTATTTCCCATGATCAGAAGGTACAGTGTGTGTCATACATTTAGTGGTATTATTCCCATGATCAGAAGGTACAGTGTGTGTCATACATTGACTGGTACTACTTCCTGCTGATCAGAAGGTACAGAGTGTGTCATACATTTAGTGTTAGTATTTCCCATGATCAGAAGGTACAGAGTGTGTCATACATTTAGTGTTAGTATTTCCCGATGATAAGAAGGTACAGAGTGTGTCATACATTTAGTGTTAGTATTTCCCATGATCAGAAGGTACAGAGTGTGTCATACATTTAGTGTTAGTATTTCCCGATGATAAGAAGGTACAGAGTGTGTCATACATTTAGTGTTAGTATTTCCCGATGATCAGAAGGTACAGAGTGTGTCATACATTTAGTGTTAGTATTTCCCGATGATCAGAAGGTACAGAGTGTGTCATACATTTAGTGTTAGTATTTCCCGATGATCAGAAGGTACAGAGAGTGTCATACATTTAGTGTTAGTATTTCCCGATGATCAGAAGGTACAGAGTGTGTCATACATTTAGTGGTAGTATTTCCCATGATCAGAAGGTACAGAGTGTGTCATACATTTCAGTACAGTATTTCCAAATGGTCAGGGTGCACGGGTGGCCCAGTCGACTAAGGCGCCGCGATTCGCTGTGCAGAGTTGCGATTATGTTTTTAGGTTTGTCAGCACCATACCCGTGCTCGTGGGTTTCACCGAAGTGGTAAATGTCTGAGACCTGCATCACTTCGGGCTTTCCTCCCACATTAGGCTGACCTGCCGTGATATAACTGGAATACTGTTAAAAGCGGCGTTAAACCCAACTTACTCACTCACTCAAAATGATGAGACGGTACAGTGCGTGTCATGTCATTTTGGTGGTATTATTTCCCGATACAAAACTGTGTGGTTTCTGAAGAAAATCGTACATGATTTCCGGTATCCCCCATATCTTTAACAGTATTGTTGTTAACATAGTTGGGTACGTAAAAACAGTACTATATTTATGTTCTTTCCTCCCTAACTATGTTTCTACATTAACAATGATTTGGTGTGAAGGACATAGTTAATATTGTTCTTAAAGAGAAAACATAATACAACCTAAGCCGGAACAGGCCTTAAAACATTTTTCTACAATAAGAAATATAAATCTGTAAAATATTAATGATAATTTATTCATTTTAATAGTGCAGGGAACCCACTTAAGATAACACGCCGAGTCTCTTGCCACTTAATGTCAGAACTAATAACTTCAACAGGCAAACGATAAGAAGCTTGCAAAAGGGTGAACTGAAACATTATATTGAAAGAAAAAAAAATGGTTAAAATCCATGTCTATCTTGTCATTGATACTGTAACTGCAAATGCCACACAGCATGACATTAGGCTATCGACTGAAACAGAGGGTTTTTGAAACCTGGAGAAGTCTACAATGGCATTCTAGTGTCGTAGGGTGCAACATAGCATTCCTGTGGTCCATCGATACGGAGAGGTTATAGTGTCGGTGTATCAGATGGTCAGAGGTTACTGGTTTTGCGATCTGATTGTGCGACCTTCAAACTATGTTAATTAAACTGTGGATATGTATATTGTGCCGTGTTTAAGTAAGTGAACTTTATATTGATGTCAAGACACAACAGTGTTCGAAATAGACATCGGCCCGTATGCCCGAGGCCGAAAGATTTGTTCTCGGGCTGATAGTCTTAAATTTCAGCAGGCTCCTTCGGCCTGCAGTTTATTTAAGTAACTATGTATTACGCTTTATTTAAGTAATGTGATAAACATATTTATAAACAGCAGTATTAGACCTTTCAAATGGTGTATGACCTGTAGTCGCAAAGATGTTTTACGAGCTGATATATTGCTGAGGGCGGCGTTAAACAATAAAGAAACAAACAAGCAGATAATTTCCCGATAAATGTAGGCTTCATCTATCACCACAGAGTCTCTGGAACACGGTGTGATAGCAGAAAAAAACTTCTGGTTGACTGGTTGTGTTTTGTAATTTATATTGCAAGAGTATGTCTCCCTGCTTCAGCTAAAATGTTTGGGCCTACAGTTTTTCCAGAGGGCCTACGTTGTTGTTTTTTTAAATGTGGTGGCCCTTTAGGTTCAGAGATTACTCTTCTGAGTTTCAGACACTGAGCCACAAGCCTCTCTATTCTCGAATCTCTAACTTGTTTAACCTTGTAGTTAAGGTACTGGCTGTTACCCGAAGCCCAGGGTTAATTCCCAACATTCCTACTTCCATGTCCAGAACTGGGTCTGTACTATCATATCGTTGCCAAATTTACGCCAGACGTAATGACGTCGGTTTGATCTTCACGCCATATTAAGCGTATAAGCCATGATACAGTTGAACGCAACTTTAACTTACCCACTCAATCTCGTGTGCTACTGGTCAGTGTTTATAGGCTAAGGAAATAATCGGGTAAATCATGAATAACGTCATTTCAGAGATAACTTACAGATTTACCTCGACAGGCCAATGATTCACAGAAGCTTAAAACTTCAAGCAATAAACTGCTGTAGGTTTTCGTCAGGGTTAATTGTCAATAAAATACTATCAGACTCGTGGTTATGGGGTAATTATTAATTCGGGGTATATGTACGTTAAGTCCTTATTATGGGTTGGTCATCATGGGTTGACTTTGTTAATCCAGAATCGATCGGAATCGGCAGTTAATACTTACGTCGATCCTCTTCTTCATACTCTTTCTTCTCTTTTGTTTCTTCTTCTGGCTCATCCTGGACTTCCTCCAAAGGATTCACGGAAGGTGATGATTTACTGAAATGGATTCATGCAGTGCATGTTATACTTCTATGTTTCATCTGTCTGAAACAATAGTGGAAATGATCTTTAAAAAGTGTAATAATATATATTCAGTCATTTCAAACTGGATAGGTGAATATACATTTCCGAACTTACATGTATGTATATAAAAATATATATATTTCAGTCATGTAGAGTTGGAAATAAAATACATCTGAACTTTTAAACGAGGGATTTAACGACTGTTTATCATTTTTTTAAACATTTAAACAAACATTTTACCTCCACGTATAGATAATTAATGTTTACCTTTAACATTATTCGACCTTTAAAGATATATAAAAAGGTCAAACTTTATATATGCTTGTATTAAGGATATAAGTTGATACTTGTAACATAAGCTTACTGACATAAGAGTAAGGTACTTACAAGACAGTTCTCTTCGAGAGGTAGAACGCTGCTATACATACGAGAATCAGGCCAAGGATTCCACTAGTCGCCTTAAAGATGTAGTCCTCAACTGTCTGGTCCTTAACATACTCGTTGACTTCTGGAAACAGATGAGGCATGAAATCTACAGTACTTAGTGTACCTGTTTTTGACGATAAAGTCAACCATCGCTACTTTTCTTTACTTAATTCTAGACGTCTAAATCGCCAATTTGTTATTATCATGGGTTCAAATCCAAGAATTGTCCTGATTTTGTTTCTAGGTTTCTCAGGAACATACGTGCAGAGTTGCGCCCCTTGGGTGCGCCAGAAACCTATGATTGTGGGTTCGGATCCCGGTTCGCCCCGATTATGTTTCTAGGTTTGTCAGGACCATACCCGTGCTCGTGGGTTTCACTGAAGTGGTAAACGTCGAAGACTTGCATGCCTTCGGGCTTTCCTCCCATATTAAGCAGATATGACGTGATATAACTGAATTGCTGTAAAACGCGGTGTTAAACCTTTCACTGCACAGATAACCTATACCTACCACAAGATCGCGGTGGTTTCGGAATCCTCATCACGCCCTTCTTCCTCATCCGCCGCCGTCGCGAACTTGTTGAACAATCGGTGTAGTAGACCATGACGTAAACTGACGTGTTCAGATGTGGGTTCCTGAGGTCACAGGCTGTCACCTTCATTACCTCAAAGGTCACCTGGCGGTCAGCGGTGCCGTTTAACACACGTTTGAGTATTAACGCTCTCCTCGATGTATCTAGTCTTGTATAATTGCTGGTATTAGGCGTCATTGTTAACGTCAAAAAGGACGTTACGTCGTAGTCGGTGACGTTAAACGTTAATAATAACTGTTCCTCGGCCTTCTTAGAACAACCGGTATTGATTCGATAAAACCCCTCGCTAAACACTGGGGCATTGTCATCTGCGTCGGTAAGGAACAGTTTTATTTTACGCACGGAATACCTGTTCGGGGCCTTCCTATTCGTCGCCTTGACACTGATTATATAGAAATTTACACCTCCGGTTGGTTTGTCATAGTCAAGGATGGTGATTGCTTTTAAGTAACCTTGCCTCTGGTCAATTGTGAATTTCCCATATGCAGCCTTCCTCATATCTGCAATAAGACATATTAATGGTCATGTATATTTCACTTTAACGATAACAAAACATCAAGTGTTATATTTCCTATGCCTTATCGCTGTAACGTAAAACCGAGATGCTAACTATGGTACATTTTATGAATAATTTACTGTCGGCATTTCAGAATCAAAGATAATGAACTATGAATCAGCGTTTGAGAGGCAGAGGGCACACCTCATTTGCCGTGTACATAATGTAGATATAGTCATAGCTCACCTGGCACACCTCACAACGCAAGTACATGATAATATATTATCACCAGTGAATGCATAGGTCTGACATGCAGTGTAGTAGTGAGTGAGTGAGTATGGTTTTACGCCGCTTTTAGCAATATTCCAGCAATATTACGGCAGGGTACACCAGAAATGAGCTTCACACGTTGTACCCATGTCGGGAATCAAACCCGGGTCTTCGGCGTGACGAGCGAACGCTTCCACCACTAGCTAGGCTACCCGAGAGCCCCGGTGTAGTAGCGTCACATGTAGGCCAGTAATGATGGCCGTGTATACTTCATAGGAGTCAAATGAGTGAGTGGGTGAATATGGTTTTATGCTGCTTTTAGCAATATTCCGATAATGTCAACAGGAACAGACTTCACATATTGTACCTATGTGGATAATAGAACCCGGGCCTTCTGTGTGAAAAGCGAACGCCTTAACCACTGGACTACCCTACCGTCTCTGAAAGTTGAATGAACTCGTGGAAGTCCGTTATCGGTTACTGAAGAAATGTTTCGCGTATATGGTCGCATGATTAATACTGTCGTTCGTACGATGTAATCTGAGCGCTCATAGGTCTTAGTACTGGCTGATTTCCCCGCGCTGGTTTTCCTTTCAAACCAGGCCGTGGCTTGATTCGTTGGTATCAAATAGCGACTACATTGCAAAGTGGCCGTGTGCATTCTCGGCTGATGCAGGAACATAGTATGTCATTCAGGAAAGTGACAAATTCAAAAAAGTAAGATGTCGGATTTATATCTTTAACCCATAGGTTTGGCAGTGGGGGATAATCAGACATATGTGTTTCCATCAACTTCTCAGGGAATTCACAGCAGAAGGCTATAAATAGTAGCTGTATGGGTAATCGGCCTGTTTTACTACGTCGTAGGCATACACACGAACTGAATGAAAAAGTGAACTTGTAATCCTCGAAGTGCCAGGATCACCCAAACCCTCTTAGCTGCATTTATTTATGTTTAATAATAATAATAATAATAATGATGATGATGATGATGATGATGATGATGATGATGATGATGATGATGATAGGAGAATGCCCTCATCTGCCCACTCATCACTAACCTGACATGACCGACTCTATGGTGTAGACGATGTCGCCGGGGTTGCTGCCTACGCCCAAGGTGGCGTTGAACGTCGTGATCGTCGTGAAAGGGGGGTAAGTCTCAGGAATCTTGAGCTCGGGGACACCCGGGGCCGAGGTTCCTGCTGCCGGCCACACCCACTGCGGTGTGTTGTCGTTCACACTAGATACCTGGGGCGGGCAGAAACAGGCCTGGTAGTCAGCCTTTCAGTCAGATCACACATGACAGTTTGTTGTGATGAATAATTCGTGGTTATCAGCTTAATATAAGCTTCACAACCTCCACCAACGGTTTCCCCCTGAACTATGTATGTACACATTTCGAATTTCAGTTAAAATCACATATTTTCTTCTGTTTTTAACTCTTGTTTTAAGTGAAACATCACTCTTCAGTACAGTTTTACTGCTATCAAATCCTACATTGAGTAACTTTCGTCGGCAGGATTACAATACATGACAACAGAACTACACCACAGGACACTACACTATAGGACACTACACTACAGGACACTACACTACACTACAGGACACTACACTACACTACAGCACACTACAGTACACTGCAGGACACTACACTACACTACAGGACACTACAGTACAGGACACTACACTACAGGACACTACACTACAGGACGCTAAACTAAAGGACACTACAGTTCACTGCAGGACACTACACTGAACTACAGGACACTACAGTTCACTGCAGGACACTACACTGCACTACAGGACACTACAGTACACTGCAGTACAGGACACTACACAACACTTCACCACACAACACTACAGGATACTACACTACAGGACACTACACTATAAGCAACTTCACTACAGGACACTACAGTACACTGCAGGACACTACACTGCACTACAGCACACTACAGTACACTGCAGGACACTACACTACACTACAGGACACTACAGTACAGGACACTACACTACAGGACGCTACACTATAGGACACTACAGTACAGGACACTACAGTACACTGCAGGACACTAAACTGCACTACAGGACACTACAGTACACTGCAGTACACTACACTACACTACAGGACACTACAGTACAGGACACTACACAACACTACATCACACTACAGTACACTGCAGGACACTACACTGCACTACAGGACACTACAGGACACTACAGTACAGGACACTACAGTACATGACACTACACTACACTACAGGACACTACACTACAGGACACTACACTACAGTACACTGCAGGACACTACACTGCACTACAGGACACTACACTATAGGACACTACAGTACAGGACACTACACTACAGGACGCTACACTATAGGACACTACAGTACGGGACACTACACTACACTACAGGACACTACACTACAGGACACTACAGTACAGGACACTACAGTACATGACAATACACTGCACTACAGGACACTACAGGACATTACACTACACTACAGGACACTACAGTACATGACACTATACTACACTACAGGACACTACAGTACACTACAGGACACTACACTACAGGACACTATACTATAGGATACTACAGTACACTGCAGTACACTACACTACAGGACGTACCTCTATCTCCACCAACGCCGTGGCAGTGTTTGACCGGGATGTGTCGGAATCCGTTGCCTCCAGCGTCACAGTAAACCCCTCCCCTAGCTGGTCGATGCCCTTCTCTTTGTCCTTGATGTCTAGCTCAAACGCAGTGTCAGTCCTCCTGATGACCAACTTGTCTGAGAACTCTGTCGGTTTCATGATCACCGTCAGGTTGGCGTTGTCCTCTAGATCCCGGTCCTCGCATCTGATTCTGGCTAGTGGCTTTCCTGCGGACAATAAATAGAGAACCTCACCCGAGCGTCTTTGGTCTTTATCATCACTCGTCAATAAAAGTTATATTCACGAGTGTTGATATGATATATTTCATATCAAACGACACGATGGTGAGATTCTATTTAACATCCCAAATCTTTGTGACAACTTGTTCAGTGTCTTGAGCGATAAAGCACAGCTAACCAGCTTCAGTGGCAGAAAGAATAGTGACGTCATGGTAACCGGTGTCACAATGGGCACAATGGGGCCGCGGAAGCTAGTTTTGGGTGATAAAGTACATTATCATTGCGCGTTAAAGGATTATGCAATCTGATTTGCCGGACGCCGTCGGCTGGCTGGCCTGTACAGATATCACGACGCCATTTTTGATTTGACGTTACTGGCTTGTCACGTGCCAATTGACCTTGTTCGCACTTCGAGATATGACACCGGGAGTGCGATAGATCGATATAGTTGTCACACAAACGTATTTCATCTAATAAGTCTTTTAGAGTATTACGAGCTGGACGTGTAATGCCTGTATCTTCGGCCCTATGTACAATCCCGACAGCTCATATAATCCTGTTGTATAACACCATAGTAGAAATGGTCCTAATTTTAAACTTTCAAATTCAGTATTATTTACATTTCCACATTTAAACTTAGTTCACGAGTTCAGTATTATTTACATTTCCACATTTTCAGATTGACCTGTATACTCCGCAGGGAGTTCAGAACGTATGCTTGAATGCACACATACCTGATGACCGGGTTAATCAGAAGCTCTGACTATATAAGCGGCCCATCATTATTGTGTACAAAGGTTAGTGACTACTTAAACATCTTTTCTTTTCAAGTTACACAGACAGCTCCATTACTTCATTTTAACGGTACTTGCTGATGAAATATATATTTGAAAGCGTTTACTCTACACGTATCAGTAGTGTTGGAACTGCTTTCAGTCCGCCTCAGTGGCGTCTATGCTTCTATAGATAAGAGAATACATAACATTGAACTCTTTCTGAACATTAACTTTTTCTGTTAAAATAACACGCTATATCCGTTATGTTGTTTCTTTGTGTTATATCTGATTACTTACTTCGAGATCTTTTGAACAGGTCCATTTTATCTAGTCTGTTATTATTTAAGAATTCATTGACCTTTCCGACTCTGAACTTAAGACAAATATCTGCATTGTCTTAAAATGGCAGTGATCTTTTTATACGAGCATCAGAGACAAATTATTGTCAGTATATACGAAGGCAAAACTTGCTTCACACCGAAGTCGTTTCGATTCTCTGAAACCTCGAGGGTGCTTTCTTACCACTCATTAACAGTGCCATGCCTACCAGCTCACCCACTCACTCATTCTCATTTACAGTACCATGATCACTTACTCACCCATTCACTTTCAAAACAATGCCATGCTCATTCACTCTCATTACCAGTGTCATGTTTACAACTCTCACATTTACACTCATTAACAGTGCACACTCACCTACCCACTCACCCAACCATCCAACCACAACCTTCCCACCATCACAACCACACTCAATCATCCATCCACCACCTCACTCACCCAAAACACACCCACACACTTACTCATACACTCGTTCTCAGAGTCACCCACCCACTCACCCATCCAACCACAACCTACCCATCCAATCACTCACTCACTCATCCATCCACCCACTCACTCACTCACCCATCCACCCACTCACTCACACACTAGTTCTCACACCAATCTACCCACTCACTCACCCATCCATCCACAACCTACCCACCATCACAACCACACTCAATCATCCATCCACCACCTCACTCACCCAAAACACACCCACACAATCACTCATACACTCGTTCTCAGAGTCACCCACCCACTCACCAATCCAACCACAACCTACCCATCATCACAACCACACTCAATCATCCATCCACCACCTCACTCACCTTAAGCACACCCACACACTCACTCATACACTCGTTCTCAGAGTCACCCACCCACTCACCCATCCAACCACAACCTACCCATCCAATCACTCACTCACTCACTCACCCATCCACCAACTCACTCACTCACTCACACACTAGTTCTCACACCCATCCACCCACTCACTCACCCATCCATCCACAACCTACCCATACAAGCACTCACTCACTTACTCATCCACTCACTCAGTCTTTACCTGTATCGTGCGGTTCCTGGAGCTTTACCTTGTATACAATTTCATCGAAACGTGGGGCATTATCGTCCAGATTAACAAGCCTCAGGGATAGATTTGCACGTGCTTTATGACCTGCGTCGTCCTCGACCTGAAGGGTCAAACTGTCAAGGACACGGGGTGAACTTGAGTTTTCATAGTCCAGCCTGTCCGTCATCATGAGCTCGCCAGACAATGTGTTGATAGCAAAATACTTGGAGTGCACCCCTGAAACAATCGAATGCTTTAGATGGTGTTGGTACAGGTAATGACGAAATTAATTTGTCTAGTAAAAAGTATTTACCACTAATAATTGTTTGCCGAATATGCGGATGTCCTAAAATATGAACAAAATAAACATTGTTTGGATCTTATTTCAAAGAACAATATTCCATGTCTTGAAGCAACAAAGACTTTAAATATTATTACGGGAGGGTAGCTTGTGCACGTGGGACGAGAGACAAACGTATTGTTTTATTTGGAAAGACCTGACCGGTTCCCTACAATACTGAGCAAGATCCGGAATTCGAAGATCCACATCCCATGGGTGTTTGAGAAGCAACACCTACGCGTCTAACGTTACTAACCTTCTAGATGGTATTTGAGTCCTCTACCCATGTCCTTCTGTGTGACCGTATACAGCCCCGGGACCGTCTCCCCTAAGGGGAGCTCCTCAGGGATGGTTTGTGTTGGAGATAGTTGGATCAAAGGAGGTTCGTCCAGCACGTTCGTGACGCTGACCAGGACTGATGCATTGGTGTCCAGTTTGCCCCCCATTGCTCTGATCAATATACAAACGGTGGTTTAAATAACATAGTGACCACAGGGAGGGGGGGGGGGGGGGCATTTCGAATAGATCCCAACACCCTATTGTTGGTTACAAGGGGCGACTAAACTGGATGGTGGGTGTGGTCTTGGCCGATGGAATGTCATCGTGCCCAATTGGGGGAATCGCTGTTCATGTTTGTCTGGCCTAGATTCGGTTATTAACAGTCCCACATGACCTTTCACTGTGGAGCTCGACTTGTATCTATATACAATATTAGTAAGATATTACAGCTAAATCAGGGCAGCCTGCAAATAATTGAGGCTGGACCACACAAATCAACGGTGATGCCACGAGCAACGATCAACATCTTCATGCTATGGCGGAAACCTATTCTCAACACGCGATTTCTAATCTCATTGGCCTCAGGACAACCGTAAGGTACCCCAAACAGGGTATAAGCATGAGGTACCCCCAACGGGGAGACAAACATGAGGTACCCCCAACGGGGAGACAAGCATGAGGTACCCCCCAAATGGGAGACAAGCATGTGGCCTTGAGACACCAAGATGTATTGTGAACACATTGTGTCAGGCAACCAAACGAGAGACAAGTATGGTATCCTGGGAACCATTTTTCCGAATTCCCAGTGTAACAAAACGTGATGTACTGGTAGCTTTTCTGTTGCTCAATCCCTGAATGTTAGACTCTATCAGATGCTGGAGACATGCATTCTACCCTGGCATGTCTCCCTGACTCTAGTTTCACACGATACAAGCAAATGTATTCGCATTGTGAATCTTAATCACTTTGTTCTTGAGAAACAATCAAGTGAAATATCCAAACCCATAAAAAGCATTCCGACAGATAGATAGAGAATAATTTAGTAAATTGAGGAGCAAAAGAAACTACACCTCTCAGCTGATTTTATCACATGTTTCACGTTAAATTGATATTATATTAAATATTTGATTTATAAAATTTAACTGTACTGGCACTTGGTCAGCACTCAAAGAATACTTCTACATGGTTTTAATTTCTAATTATAATTTGATTTAAAACTTTTAAAAGTTATAAAAAAAACTGTTTCATCAAATACACAACTGCTGAAGGGTAAAATTACCCAGCCGGAGGTTACTTTTTAGAAACTGTTGCAGGATTGAGTGACGGTCAAAAAGACACAATCAAATTTAACGACGGTTCTTTCAATTTTCAATTACATAAAACACAACATTTAGATTAAATGTACTGAACCAGTCACTAAGCACTATCACATACTGTAATTTGATTTTGGTGAAGCTCTGTGTACAACACGAACGTAAGCCTCAATGGGTTTGTCTGACGATCCATTTTCACCAAAAGAAATATATTATATTACGATTAAACTAATTATAACACGCACACCGTGGATAAAGGTTCAAGTTAGTTTCAGGTTTTAAGATGCAATCCGGACAATACTCAATCCGTCATAACATGAGAAACGTGAGCCTCGATAGTTCACCTGATCAGCACGCCATGGAGTCTTTCTGTCTCGTAGTCCAGCTCTTTTATCAAAGCCAGGCCTGACCCGTTCATACCGAATGTAGCCTTATTGACGCCGACGACGTCATACGTCACGTTGTCATCCGGGTCCTTAGCTTCAACCGAGAAGATGATCGTACCAAGGGCGGTGTCTTCAGGAACATCAATCTGTGTGACGTCACCAGGCCAGGGGGTGAGGAAAACTGGAGGTTCATCTGGAATAAAAAGAATCTCTACGATACATCCATCCATCCTTCCATCAATCCAGCTATATATCAATATAAATATCTATCTATTGATTTTCTATCTATCTACCATCCATCTATTCGTCTATCATTTATATTTTATATATCTATCCCTCGTCAATCCATCCATCAAGCTCTTAATCCATCTTCTAAATATCTACAAATCCATCATCAACCCAGCTATCTATCTATTTTCAATCTGTCAATATATCATGCGTCCATCTATCTATTTTCGATCTCTATATCGTTCCATTATCCATCCAGCTAGCCAGCTATTTTCAATCTGTCGATGTATCATCCATCTCTCTATCTATTTTCCATCTATATATCCATCCATCATCATTCTATCATCTATTTGTCTGTCTCTTTTCTATCCATCCGTCATCCATCTGCCTATCTGTCTATATTCTATCCACATATCTATCCAACCATCCAATTGACGCTCTTTCGACAAAGAAGATGACGCCCAGAGGGTAGCTACTATTTCTACAGGGATATACAAATAAAAGCGACAAAACCTTTTCCAAAGGAAACCCCGAGTATCTGAACCATACCTTTTGAAAGTTTCCACTCTCCCTTTTTCCTCATCCCTGTAAAGAGGGAAACAGCAACCAGTGGATCTTTTATCTGGTGTAGAGTTCGTAGTATTTCGTTCTGTCCAACGTGACTACCAATTCCAGCGGACACCACCCCAGGCATCGCCCAGTTTATCCAGAAGGTCTTATAGGACTTGCAGTTGAGGAGACCCTTCTTGTAGGTCGACGTCTTCATTCCTCCTCTAGCTGAGCGTGTTGTCAAAACGGACTCAGGTTTTCCTTCGTTTTCAATTATGAAAAACACAGCTTCTTTGGCCCTCTTTGTCTTTATCATCACTCCAGCATGCTTACACGCCTTCACCTCAAAGACAAGCTTCTGGCTGCACGCATCAAGGTTTTTCACAGTTACGCTTTTCGTCATAGTGCCGATTGTGCGGTAACGCTGAGCATCACCTTATAACAGACATAGATAGCGTGATATAGTAAAGAGAATATTCTGAGTATCACCTTGTGACAGACGTAGATAACGTGATATAGTAAACAAAGCACTCTCAGCATGACCTTGTAACAGACGTAGATAACGGGATATAGTAAACAGAGCACTCTCAGCATGACCTTGTAACATACGTAGATAACGTGATATAGTAAACAGAGCACTCTCAGCATGACCTTGTAACAGACGTAGATAACGGGATATAGTAAACAGAACAATCTCAGCATGACCTTGTAACATACGTAGATAACGTGATATAGTAAACAGAGCACTCTCAGCATGACCTTGTAACAGACGTAGATAACGGGATATAGTAAACAGAACACTCTGAACATCACCTTTTACAGACGTAGATAACGTGATATAGTAAACAGAACATTCTGAGCATCACCTTGTTACAGACGTAGATGACGTGATATAGTAAACAGAGCACTCTGAGCATCACCTTGTTACAGACGTAGATAACGTGATATAGTAAACAGAACATTCTGAGCATGACCTTGTAACAGACGTAGATAACGTGATATAGTAAACATAACACGCTCAGCATGACCTTGTAACAGACCTAGATAACGTGATATAGTAAACAGAACATTCTGAGCATGACCTTGTAACAGACTTAGATAACGTGATATAGTAAACAGAACACTCTGAACATCACCTTGTGACAGACGTAGATAACGTGATATAGTAAACAGAGCACTCTTAGCATGACCTTGTAACAGACGTAGATAACGGGATATAGTAAACAGAACACTCTGAACATCACCTTGTAACAGACTTAGATAACGTGATATAGTAAACAGAACATTCTGAGCATGACCTTGTAACAGACTTAGATAACGTGATATAGTAAACAGAGCACTCTTAGCATGACCTTGTAACAGACGTAGATAACGGGATATAGTAAACAGAACACTCTGAACATCACCTTATAACAGACATAGATAGCGTGATATAGTAAAGAGAATATTCTGAGCATCACCTTGTGACAGACGTAGATGGCGTGATATAGTAAACAGAACACTCTGACATCACCTTGTAACAGACTTAGATAACGTGATATAGTAAACAGAACACTCTGAACATCACCTTGTAACACACGTAGATAACGTGATATAGTAAACAGAGCACTCTGAATATCACCTTGTAACACACGTAGATAACGTGATATAGTAAACAGAGCACTCTCAGCATGACCTTGTAACAGACGTAGATAACGTGATATAGTAAACAGAACACTCTCAGCATGACCTTGTAACACACGTAGATAACATGATATAGTAAACAGAACAATCTCAGCATGACCTTGTAACAGACTTAGATAACGTGATATAGTAAACAGAATAATCTCAGCATGACCTTGTAACAGACGTAGATAACGTGATATAGTAACTTGCTTGATAACAGTGTTAGAACTTACACCGAAACGTTGCTCCTAATTGTGATAAAGAAGTTGTTCATCCATATATCTTATCCTTACTTAGTACTCCAACTTCTAAATGCCCTTCAAAGAAGATATAGATAAAATTATATAACCACAATGTTTCACCAAGTCAAAACAAGCTGACATCTGGTTACAAGAACAACGATTCTGTGATTAGTTACATAAATCTGATCCTCACAAACACGTATCCAAAATAGATTCAGGAAGTATTCAATCATGATTTGTTCCTGTAACTTCCTGGTTCGAATGACAAAAACTTACATCGCAGAGATAATCAAATAAAAAAGAATGAATCATTAGTGTTGTAAGTGCAGTCATACAGGTTCAAATAAGCTACAACACATCGTTCAATCATATTTTATATTAAAGCGTTCGGGACTTCATTTCTCGGCGAATGGATGTTCCACAATGAAATAACTGTTAAAGGGTAATTTGTTTGGCTTCACATTGCTAAGGAACAAATGTATCTCTTAGCATATTGTACAGTACGATTTCAGTGTATTTGTTTCTAAACGGAATAAAAACCCTAAAGGTGAAAATAATAAATAGAATTCACACGCGTGTTTTTTTTAATATTGGGACCATGAAGATCCACCCGTTCATGGGTGTTTGGAGAGGCAAAGGCTCGGCATATACCGACTATCTTTGACTCTATTGTCACTTCCCATGTTAACGTAATGAATCATATGTTTGTATAAAATCAGAATGAGAATCACTGAATGGTCGAAAACAACATTACATAAATATTGTCACTGAACACTCAGAGTATCATTCTCAACAGCTCAAAAGGTTCGGTTGACTTTTTGCAATCTCAGAAAAGGACCGAGTTCACTTCTGCCAGAATATATGATTTTTCAACTTTGTACACCACCATTCCACATGATAAACTTAAGGAAAAACTTCATGCCTTGATCCATGGTAATGTTGTTACAAAACGTTGTTACCATATATACAGCTACATATCTATCTTCAGGTTCAGGACAATTTGTCAAAACGTGAAAGCAAATGCCATCTGAAGTTTACTGAGAAAACAATACGTAAAATGCTGGTCTCATTGATAACATCTAAACTTCATGTACAATTTGGAGGTAAGACATTTAGGTGAGGTGAGATGAGGTGAGGTGAGGTGAGGTGAGGTGTGGTGAAATTGGGTTTAACGTCGCGTCCAAGATTATTGCACTTATATAGCGACGTGTATGCACGTGTGTGTGTGTGTGTGTGTGTGGCTGCTTGTACTAGTCCGGACTGATGCCGATTTATAGTGCTAGCTCACTGAGATACCATGCCGCAGTTTAACATGAATATCCCACTCAGACACAGTATACTGACTCCGAGCCGTACGGGCCTTGCTTTAACCCTTAATGCCGAGCGCCAGACAGGGTAACAACAAGTACCATCTTTTAACGTCTCTTGGTATGACGCGGCCGGGGATTGAACCCCGGACCTTCCTCTCTCCGGGCGGACGCTCTACCACTAGACCACGGAGGCGGTCTAAGACATTAAGGCAAGAAGTAGGCATCCCCATGGGCACCAATTGAGCCACAGGTTTACCCACCAAAGTGAACGAAATCAGTGAGACTGCTTCATCTGTTTCATAGTTAGAGCTATACATAAAGGTTCAGAGTGACAAAACAATCTCCACAAGACTGTATGGCAAGAGGGATGACTTCAACTTTCCAATAGTCGAGTTGAAATAGGGATTTGAATCGGACATCATTTGTTGTCACTGGCGCGTTAAATTTGGAAATGTCCTCAACATGTCTTCTATAAAACGGTTTGAAAGTAAGTAAGGCCTCCAATATTATAATCTTGATCAAATCGGGTTGCCCGTTGCTTCTTTTGAGTAGTATATGAAAGATTACCTAGCTATAGGCTGTTGTGTCGCAAAATTTTATTCCATTCAAACGTGGTTGCCATACTTGATATGGCATGACAGATTAACGATAGTGACATTAAAGAATCACGTGGTCTTTAATTTGTTTTGAGAGTTTAACTTACACTGCAAAGGCCTTGTGGTTTCAGCGGATCTGTCGAAAATGTAAAAATGTACGACGGCGAACGACGGACAATGCGCTATGCCATTTGCTAAAATAAACTGACTGGTCAGGTAAGCTTCAAAACGATGAAATTCAGTTGGAACCATAGCTGTACTAGGCTGTTTTAGTTACTCAGATAACCCATAGAACTAAACCTTATAAGGATAGCTAAAAATAAAAATCAATTGTGGTGTGTGGGCCAAAAGCGATAAAGCTCCAACGACGATCTTAGGGTAGACCCATCATAGATTTTAGTATGTCAAAATTCGTATTTAATGCATCTGAACCGAAACATGGGGTGCAATTGTTTCCGATGAATACACTGTCTGCCTAAATCTATTTGACACATGACCACATATGTTCCGACATCGAAGTGTAGTGGTAATTATGGACACATAGAAGGAAAGAGACGTCTTTACGTGGAATTGGTAAATCTGTTAGCCTGAAGAGAATATTGAGATATGCAATTATAATTCTGGTTTTTTTCAATTCAATTTAATTCAAGCTTCTGTGTCGTTTAATTCCCTGAGGCAACATTACAACACTGCTGTGGGTTTCTGACCAATGAGATCATCATAAGAACACGCGGAATACGTTTATAGACCGTTATACATACCACAGACACCACGCGTGCTGTATTGTATTTTATGTAAAAGTATATAAATGGCTGTGCTTTAAGTACATGTACGAAAGGGAATTGATAGAAAGGAATCGCTTCGGAAAGAAATGCTTATCTTCGCTTCGCATTGTTCATGGAAGCAGTACTTTAGCAACCCTATAAATGACATGGCCGCAGTAACACTGATAAAACTGCATAGAAAATGGGGACCATTGTACATCTGTACACAACGTGGCTACCGTGATACATCTGTACACAACGTGGCGGCCGTGATACATCTGTACACAACATGGCTGCCGTGATACATCTGTACAGAGCATGGCGGCCGTGATACATCTGTACACAACACGGCGGCCGTGATACATCTGTACAGAGCATGGTGGCCGTGATACGCCTGTACACAACACGGCGACCGTGATACATCTGTACAGAGCATGGCGGCCGTGATACATCTGTACAGAACATGGCGGCCGTGATACATCTGTACAGAACATGGCGGCCGTGATACATCTGTACAGAGCATGGCGGCCGTGATACATCTGTACACGACATGGCGGCCGTGATACATCTGTACAGAGCATGGCGGCCGTGATACATCTGTACAGAACATGGCGGCCGTGATACATCTGTACAGAACATGGCGGCCATGATACATCTGTACAGAACATGACGGCCGTGATATATATGTACACAACATGGCGGCCGTGATACATCTGTACAGAAAATGGCGGCCGTGATAATCTGTACAAAACATGACGACCGTGATACATCTGTACAAAACATGACGGCCATGATACATCTGTACACCACATGGCGACCGTGATTCATCTGGACAGAACATTGCGGCCGTGATACATC